TCGCTCACATCCCACAATGCGGTTCAGTAGCTAATCTTCGAGACATCAGGTCAGGGCTTCAAGGAGCCGCACATTCTTTGGCCGCTGGTGATCGAGATTTATTGCAGCTGAGCATCAGCAACGCGTCGGATTTGGTCATTCATCGGTTATTCTGTGATGTATATTAGTCTTTCTCACTGTTTTTCTTCTTGGACGATGTGATAGATCATTGATACGTTCTTTGCTGTTGTATCGCTTTCAATCTACGCGAACAATATCTTGTCTGGGGTAGAACACATTCGCCGGCCACTCTCAGACTTATACCAAGAATGATTTATTCGATACTTGCATTCATCCTGTCCCCTCGTCCAACGACACTGGTCTGACGGCCAAAAATGACATGGCTATCTGATATGCTCCATATCTAACTGAAAAGTTCTCTCTTACTTATCATTCCCTTTCCTCCCGAAATTTGCAAGTATCATTCTTGTGGCGGGCGAGATTATCATCTCTTGTAAATCCCCCACCGCAGTCGGTGCACATGTGCTTCTTCGGATTTTCCCTCTTCTTGTGCAAGGCGTCTCTATGTCGTTTTAGATCTCTCGAGGTAGCGAACCTCTCTGGACACAGTGTTGGAAATGCCCTTGCCATGGGGAAAAGACATTGATAAGGCCTCAGGTGGATGTCTCGGTGTCTCCTGGATGGAATTATTACATTTCTTGGACTGTTGGGGCCCATGTGGATTACTCACGTAAGATCCCGAGCTTGTTCAAACACCTCTCCACAAGGCTCGCACACATGTTGGATCTCATATGCCATTTGAGCAGCCCGGGCCGTTGCCTCTTCATCAGTCATAGCTGACCCCACCGGAACCTGCGAAAGCCGCTGATCGCGTTGGGGGTTTCCCCATGGCAGCAATCCACCCTCAGGAGCCTAGAGCTCTGAAGATTTGGTTACGGAAGGATGGCCAAGAGAGACGAGGTGATGGGCTTGGTTATTCAAGGCAGGCCCGTGGAAAGCATTGGGTAGACCGAGTGTGCCATGAGATGTCGGACCCAATTCGTACAAGTGTTGGTCGTCCTCAGAGAGAGCCTCCGACTGCCATGCTGTGTTCAAAGAATAGAACATGTCTTCTGACTCGCCATCATCAACTTCTACGCGCTGCATCTTGGCGAATACCAGTCCTGTTGCACACATATGGGGGTCAGTAGAGCCCCCGATTCAGGATGGGCAAGAGTACATACACCCACGGCCTGATTTGGCGACAGCTTAAGTCAGAGCAGCAACGCCGTTGGTGAACAGATAATTTCGTATCGACTTTTTTTAGTCCTGTGGGTTGAGTCAGTGGTCTATGGTCACTCGTGAGAAAGGCCTCCCGCAGTAGCTGATATTATAGGGTGGTGATACATACTAAGGTAGTTCAATGATGCACAAGAAATTTGAGAAATTGATATGTGAGGTATTAGTGAAGATAGCAAAGCCAAAAACAAAAACCAGGGAATCCGTACTTAAATGTGCGCAATACAGCAGTCTTTCCAATGAAGTCCCCTGGGGACCGCACATCAGTCAGCACGCGTAAGATCTGCCCTTACGAACTGTCGTGTACTGTTTGCTCCGGCGAAAGTGGGTTACTACCTGCAGGAGTGATGCCATGCACTGACAGACCTGCCAGCAAAATCAATATTAGGGACTTGGAATCACTCGTAGTCTCCTCCAAAACTTGGTAGCTATTGATGGTGTTGTCATCCTGCTTCGTAATAGGCAAGGAAGTAAAGTCCCACAAGGACGCTCGACCAACCATTTGTCGCTACAGCATGAAAATGCATATTGATTGTCATCTTCCTCTTTCTTTTAGGCTAGCTCAGAGAAAATGCATATTGATTGTCATCTTCCTCTTTCTTTTAGGCTAGCTCAGAGAGCCTTGGAGTTGGCCTCCGGCATTAGCTTCAAAAGTGTACATGAGTGTGAACCAATTAGAGCAAGCCTTGCGTCGAAGGAGCCGTAGTTTAGAGTGTATCCGGGGTGTCGCAACTGACTTCTATTGTCAGTTCATTGAGTAAAAGTCCTGTTTAAACCCAGCCAATGATCTAGACGTCCTTCTAATTGAAGGAAAAGAAGTACGATTGTCATAGCCCTCAAGACTGGATTGCTAGGCGGTGAGAATTTCAAGTGGGAGCCACTCAAGCAGAGAGGGCAGCATCATTTTGACCAGGCTAACTATGTCCTGAACGCGCAAAGGTATCAAAAGTCGGAATCCGATGTGAATGGATGTTGCTAAGAGATGTCGAAATCTTACGAAATCATTCAGAAATGTATAAATATGAATTTCTTTTATTGACTGACTACCGATATCCAGAATAATTGTAAGGAAGACTTGAGAGGGCTAAGAATTCTTAAATGCAGTGCGACGCAGTGACGTGATAATCAACATCTCAAATTCATAAACGCAAACTACAACGAGAAATACAAAGCAATATAAACGCATTGCCTAAATTATCAACCCATCGTAAATGCATACCCGCTATAGCCTCTCGATTAATGCTGCTTCTGCTGATGGCGGTGCAGGTTATCGGCCCTTGTGAATGTTTCGTTGCACTCGGGACAATCGAAGTCGCCTCTTCCAATGCCATGGTTGGCCTTGTGTCGGTCCAAACCCTTCTTATCCGCAAATCTTGCAGTACAGTTATCAACTGTACAAGCGCATGGCTTGCTATGCTTCCTCATGTGTCGACTGAGGGTCTAATGTCAGAAATACCGTGCAGGTATGGAAGCAGTGAGGTGTATGAACTTACTTGAGCTCATGCTTCTTCTCATAGCTTTTGGTACACTTTGGGTCCCCGGTACAAACGAAACGAAGTTGATGCGGTTGTTGTGGAGGATTCGACTGAAGGGGCGGAGCGGCGGCAGTATCGAGGGTCTGAACCGCCTCTTGAGCGTACATTTCGGCATCCATATCGTTCCAAAATTCTAGTCCCTGTGATAATGGCTGATTGGAATTGACGCCGTGCGGAGATTCACCCCGAAACGCCTAGAGCGCTTGAGATGCGGCTCCAGACGACTGATATTCAGATTGCGTGGCGTAGTAATCGGGGCTGAATGAGCTCGTTTGCGTGTGAGATAACAGTGAAGGATCAATGAGATCGTCAGACGTAGGGGCGTAGGCGTTGTTTATGTAACCACTTGTGTTTGGCAGCCAACCCCATGGCTCATTGGCCCCAGAATAGTCGTGGGTTGCCCGTGAGGTTCCGTGGTGTTGAGACTCCCGACGCATGACAGTGTTTGGACTTGAGCTTGTTCTCTCGGGGCAGTATCCGGTACTTAGATGATTCTACTGGCTCGTTCTTTCGTATCGCTGTACGTGACCTAGAGCAAACTTGGTTAAACATCTGCTGCAGTGGTGCCCTGACTTCTTGAACATGACATACCTCTTGGAGTTCCGAGCAAAGCTTGGAATTACCAAAGCAAATTGTTCTTCTATGGGGGATAATATTGAAGTCAAGCTGACAAGGTGTCGTTAGCGCAGGCCTCCCGCAGTGTTTCTTTGGTTCCACAGCGGTGAATATCCTCAATTAGAACCATAGAGGTTGACACACAAATCAAAGAAAGGTTATGGAAACATGTCAGTACTCACGGCTTTCCAAACACAGGTTTATCTTCCGAAAAGTATAAGTCTTCTCAAACGGGTCGAGATAATACAGCGATGGATGGTGTGCATGAAGTACTATGTCAGGAGAAGAAGACTGCGCTCAACTCATCAGATTTAATATGAAAGCGTGTAGAATGCCACAGGTGGTGTATTTGACCAGAACAAGAGGCCCCTTTTAAAGTATTTCCATCTTTCAGAGATCGAATATCTATGCAATCTCGAACGGCTTGATTAGAAGAACTCGGCTTTTACACTTCTTTCTTTTTCTTCCAACTTCTCTTGACATGCTCGTTACCTATTCTCTCTAGCAGCGAATCATTCGTCGCCCGACATTCAATCAGAGCGGCACTACTCGCGCATGCTGCAAAGATTGGCTGGAGTGTTGGCTATACTTCCAACGCACGTTGTCTTAGTGGAGAAAGAATTCGGTGAACCTGTCGCGTGCGGATGGCTTGATGAGATGGGACTAACGTACTTTGCAGCCGGTTGCAGGTCAGGATGCGGGAGGCCAACCATCCTCACGAGCACGGTGACCAATTAGCATGAAGTGGAAGGCTCTACTGACGCCTCAAAGTTGTTGGAACATTCAGGCGACCGGTTTGCTGCCTAACTAGATAAGTAACCAACAGAAGATATTCGGGATGACATCAGGATGCCTTGTAATATGCCTCAAAGCATTGTACCAGCCTTGGGCATTAGCAGTCGCTCCTCCTGGCTCGAATGGCACCATGGTTTAACACCAAGACCCGACATGTGGCATATGAACCTCAGGACCAACCATTGCTCAGAAGCTCGATTGTCGGCCTCCGCGGCCTCCCACTTTTATGCAATCAGCTGCACACTAGTGCCATTTAATCAATTGGTGTGGCTGCAAAATGAACAGCTGGCTATCAGCAAATCCGTGAGATATGTTGGTGAGGCCAACAACCTAGGTTGCGAGTTGGCGACCAACGCATATGCGCGCGGGACTTCCTTTCCGATTACTTTGTCAAGTTTTGCGCTTACTCGGCGATGTTTGGCCCCCTCGGGCCGCTGTGAGCGCTTTGAACGCTACTTTGTGTGCCATGCGTGAACTCTTGTGTACTTGCTTAAACAACCAAGATTCCCTCGAATTTTGAAAGAAACTTACGCGTCGTTCATGTTTAAGTAGTGCGGACAGCACATTTAGCCAGCTCCTCACTTGATGTATTGCTAAGTATCTCATTCCTTGGCAACGTACTATTCCGACTCAATCCATTTCCTTTTCTTAGCTTCATTCAAATGGCCAAAGAGAAATCCACGATGCGAAGTCCTGCTAGGGGATCGGGGCGAAGTGAGATATTGTCATCCCAATTCTTGTGAAAATTCTGACTAATCTGATGCCACATTGACAGAGATGGTGACGGCCGACGGCCTGGATCACCCCATCAGTCTCGAGCTCTGCAAAAGGCTGAACAGATTCTACGAAGCCTTGATACTGCTTTCAAGTCTGATGCAGGCTTGTTCGCGCAATGGACAGCAACCATACAAAGCTCCGAGCGATGTTTCTGAACCAGGAGATAATTATAGAATGACCCAGGAATGCCTCATGAATAAGCTGGCGCAGCTGTGCGACAATCGACGGGGAGGCGACACTGTCACAGCTGTGGCCATCATCCAGTTACCTGACTGTTTGGTCTATGCCTTTGCGTCCAACCAGAGATCTCCTAAAGAGATCAAGGAAGCAGAGACATTTCTTCTGGATCTCTTCGAATACTTGAGTCAAACGAGTGCAAGTTCGTCCGATTTCATGGAAGACGCCACTTCGAAACCGGCCAGCTCTATACTAGAAAAGATTTTGGCTTTCAATCACGAGCGAGTCCAGTGCTACCGCATTGGTCTGGTTCAAGGGCTCACAAAGTGCATTGAAGATTGCGATAGGCGTGGGTCTGTGCATGGTGAGCCTCGAAATTCAAAGACGACTAGCTGTTCTAATGCCCCTTGGAGATATTACGGTCAAACAAGCATTACTGAGGCTTCAAAGCGTGGCCGACAGATCAATAAACTCAGCTAGAAACACCTCTCCTCCAGGTAATGATCAAACCTCTCTATAATCAGAGTCTTGGTGAATCTTGCTTAACTCATCGACTAGTTGCAGAGAAAAGCTCGCAAGACGACGAAGCACTTGTCCGGGCAGCTGCAGACCTACGACAATCACTGATCTACCATTCCATCGTCGACAGAGGGAAACTGGGAAGGTTTGACGAATCACCCCATTGGGCTGAACTGCAACATTTCATCGGTCGCCTTGTCTCTTACCTGAGAGCGACTCAGACTATCTTCGTGGCACGAAGGCGTCACCCAGAGCTTTTCGACATTGACAGCATCAAGATCAAGTTTATCGCCTCAAGCAAGCCACTGCCCAACCCGATGAACGCATTCCAGGCCGGCCTCAACCCCTTGCAACGACAAACAGTACGCTCCGCGCATGATTTAATACCGCGAATGACGGGAGATGCGAGTATGATTGAGACGTACAGTCAATACGCGGACGAGCTCCAAGTATGCAAGCTCGATGAGCTGATCGCGGCTCAGTGCTGCAAATCCAACCCAAGAGGTTTCCGACCGATTGTGCACAGTGAGGTCCTTCTTCTAGATTGGCTTCGCAAACAGTTTGCAGAGGACATGCACTCAATCCCTTTCTACGAAGGTAACAAATACATCGGTTGCAGCAAGCCCACCTGTCGACTTTGTGAGTACTATTTCGCTGCTCACAGCAGCGGCGTCAGAGTCCGCTCCCCTCACCGCAATGTATACCGAAACTGGGCTGTTCCCGATACTTTGGTAGAGGGAGAAAGCTCACGATACAAAGACAAAATCATTGATGCGGTTTTGGTTAAGGTCCGCGAAGACGCTCTCACTGCGCTCAGGGAGAAAGTTTGTGTGAGGAAGAGATTCGACTCTAACACGTACTCGTCGATGCCGACATGTCAATCGCTTACTGGCATCTCAATCACCTTAGATGACCTGTCGTCTCGGATCGGAGGCCTGTCCATCTCGTCTCAAGTGCACTCGCGCGTCTACCCGTCTGTCGTGAAGAGCATATATGTATCGAGCAACGTTGAAGACACTTGTAGCGTCGCTGATCACGGGGAAGACGGTGGTAGCGATGATGAAAGTGGTGGTGTACTAGTATTCTCTGGTCGTAATAGGCGTCCTTAGAAGTCGTGTTGGTGTGTCGCTGTCGCAACAGTATCCTTTGGCCTTCCCGAGCTCTGATGGTAACAACATCGAAGGTCGACGTATCCAACAGTCCTGACCAAGGTAGTCTTTCATACGTTAGCCTCTTTCTTTTCAAAATGCTTCAAGTTATATGAGCTACCTGATATATCTTCATGCCAGTACATGTACCTAAGCTACCTTATGAATGAATGCCGTTGAAAAGTTTGGGTTCCTGTTAACCCCCACATTGAAGTAAGATCAAATGTTGTTGGGTGGCATCGCCACCTTCCTGAAGAGGAAACTGCAAAACGCAAGATGTGTCCGGGATGAATTTGCGCCTTGAAAGCCTGTATACCTTCGTTTGACGAAAACGCGCCGTTTCAATTTCTTTTCCAATTCTATACCTGAGGAAGGATGAATATTCTACTTGTCGCACAATTACGAAAACATATAACATCACGCGTTGTTATGTGTCGTCCTTTCCATCCCCGATGGCTTCGTTCACCGGGTGGAAATCCCACCAGTTTTGGCTGCGCCAAGCATCGTATTGCGAGACTATTGCTTGCTAGCGCCCTGGCATGCTCACATAAGCTTGGAGGCTCACCGACTCCACATTGACAACAGGTTAATGAAACTGACCATTAACGCACAAGATTGTGAGTGCGGATGGAGCTTTAAGAGGCAGTTAATACAACCTTGGACCGCCGGCCCGGGCTTCCAAGAAGAGAATGCACGACACCGATGGGTGGGAGCCCGGGGTATAATGTGGTGCCGCGGGGTCTTGAAAACGCCATCGCTCGACGTATGCCTCTCCGTGTTCAGCCCCCCTGGCCCGGCCCGCGAGCGGGGGAAACATTGAACATTTGGCGACCGCCAAGTTCCGTTGTGAGAGGTCAGCATTTTCTAGCGGATCTGAGGAAAACGCATGAGTGACGCCACGGCCCGCATCTATGCTACTGCACAGTGGCATCCTCTGTGCCCGGGTCGCATGAAATTTCAGCTGAGTGTAGTTGGATCGAACCACACGCAACCTGGGCTTCTGCGGCCAAGAGCCTGGCGCAACTGAACACGAAAATTCAGCATGTTGAGTGTATTCTGGATGGCATATAGAATGGAGGTGGTCCGCCAGTCGTCGCAACTTTTGATCGTCAGCTCATCTGGTGGACAGGGGGTTGCCAAGGACGCCCATTCAATCATTCGTTACCAAGATCTTGAGCCAGACGCTGAGAGACACGCACAAGATGGTCCAATTCAAGGCTTACAGTATCTTGGCTGGGGCCCACGGGGTAGTAGCTGCTGTTGCCGCTGCCTGTATATCTGATCTCCTCGTGGACGACTTCTCCAGCTCGTTCACAACGAACAGAAATAATCTTGGCTCATGGACTTCAGGTAAGATACCACAAATTCATCGGTAGCGTCCTATACTTCGGGTGGAATTGGCAATGATTCCCCACAAAAAAGCTGTCCAAGAGTCTCGAATGACCAACATATTGTTCAATAGATGATGCGAGCATGACCAGCATCTCCGCAGCTGGTGGCATCCTAAGCTTCACTCCGAAGAGCGGAGCTTACTACTACGAGACGTTCCCCTGCCAAGCATTGCAGACCGACCTGTACACACACATCCAACTTGACATCAAGGCACCAGTGTCAGGCGCAGCCTTCACAACCGAGCTGAACTCCGCCTCAAGCTGCTCAGCGACGACTAGCTCAAAAACGTCCTTCCGAGTCACTGGTCTAACCGGCGGCTGGCAGACGCTGCGCATCCCATTGAGTAGCTTTGCTGCCGGAAATCTCAATGCTGCCTTGTCGTTTGTCGTTGGGTCGTTTTCGTCTACCCAGGAATGGCAGCTTGACAAGATCTCGTTTGTCTGTGCTCAGGGGTCATCAGCAACTTCGACTTGTAAGTGATAACTAGCCGGGTTGGGATCAGACCGGAAATCATCCCGCTTATTGCTGACATAAACCGAACAGTCACCACGATTACTACAGTTACGCAGGCCCCTACAAGCTCGGTGCCATCTCCGACCCAGTCGAACAACCCATCATGCTCGGCGCTTCTGGTAGATGACTGGGCGTCACAATCACGCCTTGATTTCTTGCAGTACAACTCACTTCTGCTGCCGACAGGAGATGACGGAACAATGCAATCTAAGGTCGTTGGCAATCATCATATAACATTGAATCCGAAGGACACTTCTTCATACTTCTTCACTCAGGTCGGATGCTTGGATGCTTCGAAGTATGGTGGAATCTCACTCCGGATCAATGCTCCGGCTGGAACAACATTCAAGATCGAGTTGACTTCCAAGACGACGTGTGAGGGTGAGGTGACAGCGTATTCATCTCAGACAACCGCGCAACTGGGCTGGACCTTTGACGGAACCGAGAAGCTCTACAGCTTCCCCTGGTCAAAATTCAGCGGAGTCAACCTCAGCAAACTGAGATCCATCGTTCTCGAAGCGCCGACACGTCCCATCACACTAGGCCCGCTGGCACTTTACTGCGGAAGCACCCCGACTGGTTGGGTAGTGCCCACGGCCACCACCCCAACGGGGCCATCTCAGACCGTCCCGGCGCCAGCTGCTACGATCTCTGGGCTTGTGATTGACACGTTTGCCAACGCAAACACGAACTCGCTTGGTTTCTGGCACGGTGGCGATGAGTTGGATCTTACTTGGGGTTCGAACCGCGTCACAATCGTTGCCTCGGCTCCAGACTACGCCTTCACTAGCCTAATGAGCGGGGGATGTCGGGATTTGCGCAGTCAAAGTGGATCGTACTTACACATCACCTACTCGGGTCATACCAAGTTCTCCATCTCATTGCAACAGCACAATTCACAATGCAATGATGGCGTGGCACCATATCCTGAAACGAGAGACAGTTTGGAAGCAAGCCGGTACGCGACCACGAGCAGCGACATCTACATCCCCATCTCCCACTTCAACATCAACTTTCAGCGTGTCGCCAGTATAGCCATTAGGGGTATTTACAGTACTGAACCAGTGGCCCTGACGAAGATTGAGATCGTGCCCTTCATCCCTTCAGGGGTAAGCATCCCTCAGAAGCTGCCCTCAGGAACCCTTGTCTTTGCCTGCACGAGGCCCAACTCTTTCGCGTTCGGCATCGACGACGGAAACCCGAAATATGCCGCCAGACTAGCGCAAATAATCCGCGACGCAGGGATAAAAGTAACCTTCTTTGCCGTCGGCGCAGTACTTGAGAACCCCTCGACTGGTATGGCCAGCCTTTACCAACAGCTCAAGAGCGAGGGCCACCAGATTGCACTGCACTCCTACACTCACCCAAGAATGGAAGGACTGCCCGACACTGAGAGCATCGACTGGGAGTACAATGAAGATTACAGGGTGATGACGAACCTCTTTGGGGAGAGATCGAACTACTTCCGCCCTCCGTACGGCGTCGAAGGGGCGCGCATGCGTCAGCGCTGGGCGGCTGCCTCCGGATCAGACAAGGCGTACCTTATCAACTGGAGCGTCGATGTGCAGGACTGGCTGTGGGCCGAGACGAGCACGCCAGAGAAGCAGGTTGATTCATTCAACGCCGACGTTGCCAAGGGAGGGAACCTGGTGGTTATGCACTTCTCGTACAACACAACAGTCGAGTACTTCCCAGAATTTATCAGGCAGGCCAAGGCTACCGGTAAGCAGATCATGAGGATTGATCAGTGTATGGAGGACCCGAACGCACCTCCGCTGTGAATGCGGAGATGCCGGAGAGTGAGCGGAGATCGGGGAAGTTCTGGCAACGGCCTTCTCATCCGTAACCTTCCTATCCATACATGCAGCATATGATTGATAGGTGATTGATACTGATAGTTATACGAATGACTTCATCCCATCAGTCGAACGAGTTCCCTATGTCGCGGAAAGTTGCCCTCGCCAGTGTGCGAGGGTACAGTTCAAGCTTTTGTTAAGTACCTAGTATGAGGTGGTGATTCCAATTCAGCTGACTGAACCAACGAGTCACCGCCACCACCATTCAAACGACTGATGAACCTGTCGGCTTGTACTAAATCGCTAGTATACTGCCAAGACAATATTTCATCCATGTGCTAGAATTTAGAAATCGTGACAATCCGTCTCGTGGCCGAATCGTTGGCCAAGTCTGCCACAAGTTCTAAGGTGGACCTGGGAAACTTGAGTTGCGCACAAAGAGGGGCCGAAAAGGAGTGAGGATCCGCACTCCCAAATGGACACGCCAATAATATGACCTAAAAAAAAAACACAATCGAGGTTACGTGATTGTATCCTTGTAAGCTTGGTAGACTTTTTCTACATAAGACAATATAGTAAGGTAGGTCATGATAGCAGGAGGTGGTTGACAACTTCGCCCTTTGTCGAATAAGACGTAACCGTGCAAGGTGGCAGTGCTCTTTTCAGCGAATCCCCACAACCGAACGACGCTAATGCAGCCGGATGACATTTAAGCTTGGCTGTGATACCCTGCCGTTCGGCAAGGATGTTGAGTTTAAATTTTGATGCAGCTTGATGACACTGACGGCATTGTGAACTTGGCCCGCCCCTGCCCGTGCTCTATTGCGCCTGTGTCCAAAGAATAGCCCCGAACTTTCGGCTACTAGAAGAAGTTCGTCTTTCGTTCATCTGGCAAAAGAGCATGATTTCATGGTGTAATTATGAAGTCCATATTCCGAGGGATAAGAAGCGGCCTTGCTCGACAGTAAGTCTTGAGTGAACATTCTTTCAGACCAGTCGAGTGGCTAAATTCAAAGAAGATCATAGGAGGATCATAGATATGGTGATCACAGCGCAGCGAATACTCACTGCGTGGTAATTACTGAACCCACCTCAGTCGTAAGTTGGCGACCAGGGGGTAGCATTGGCAGCATCGCCGAAAATGGGGCCTCTAGGTACCTTATATCGCAATTCCTTTTTACTTGTACGCACACGGCATTACCAATCATGCGTAACTCGATGAGGCCTTAAGGCTTGTGTTCTGGGGCTGACGCGTGGCACTTTGATGATATCGGCCCTTTCGCATAGTGAACTGCCTCATTCGAATATGACATCAACGGCGATCCATGGTGGTAACTCGGACCAGAACAGTTCCCGCAATGCTGGCTATAAATCAGCGAGGAAATAATTTGAACAGGATGTATTTTCATCCAGATCATACCCTCTTCATCCCAAGATCCTGTCTCTATCTTGCCTATCAACCCACCTTGGACAAACATCATGAAGATCTCTGGAAGTAGCACTGCTGCACTTGCTCTCGCGGGCACGAAGGTAGCATCCGCTCAAAACCTTTCTTATGGAGCCGACAACTTCTACCGCAGCGACATTGTGACGGTGCAGCCAATCACCTTCCCATCTCAGAACCAGTTCACCGTTGCGGGAAACCTCTTCATCCGCAACAACGCCAGCCGCTCACTCACCGCCCCAGCCATCATCGTCGGCCATCCCATGGGCGCAACCAAGGAGCAGAGCGCCAACCTCTACGCCACAAAGCTCGCTGAGCAAGGCTTCGTCACCGTTTCCATCGACATCCCCTTCTGGGGCGGCAGCGATGGCGAGCCACGCAACGCCGTTTATCCTGATCTCTACTCAGAGGCCTTCAGCGCAGCAGTCGATTACCTCGGTCTCCAGGACTTTGTTGACCGTGAACGTATCGGTGGTCTAGGCATCTGCGGTAGCGGTAGCTTTGTCATTAGCGCTGCTAAGATCGACCCCCGCCTCAAGGCCATCGCGACCTCCAGCATGTACGACATGGGATCTGCCGCCCGTAACGGTCTGCGCCACGGAGTGAGCCTTGAGCAGCGCAAGGAACTCATTGCTAGCGCGGCCGCCCAGCGTTGGGTTGAGGCGGCTGGTGGCGAAACTGTATACGTTGGCGGAACCCCCCACGTGCTGACCAACGCGTCGACGGCGGTTGATCGTGAGTTCTACGACTTTTATCGCACCCAGCGCGGCGAGTTTACTCCGGAGAACACGACGGCGAACCTCACTACGCACCCTACTCTCTCCAGCAACACCAAGTTCATGAACTTTTACCCATTCAACGACATCGAGACGATTTCGCCGCGCCCGTTGTTGTTTGTCTCAGGCGACCAGGCCCACTCCCGCGAGTTTAGCGAGGATGCCTACGCACGTGCTGCTGAGCCGAAGGAGCTGGTTTGGGTTCCTGGTGCGGGACATGTTGATCTCTACGATCGTGTGGAGCTTATCCCCTTCGATAAGCTCACTCAGTTCTTCCAGAAGAACCTGGCTGCCAATGCAACGAGCTTGAGGGCGCAGTAGAATACAAATCCCGAAAGTACAGGCTATAGTCTCTCGCGCCTATGAGTCATAGGTTTCAATGAGAAGTGCGCTCGATGGAGTGGCAGAGTTGTAGAAAGGAGTGAAACATTCTTGTGCCAGTCGCTTGGTACGGAAGTCAACCTGAACTGCGGAATTTCTCTGCCATGGGATAATAGGTTAATCTACGAGTAGATTTCTTCAATTCCATCAATCTAGTCTTACATGAGGTCTTTCACATGTGCCCAATAAGCTAATTTTTCTTTATCAATGCTTCGCGTGCTGCTCATGAATTTCATTCCCCAACACAATCCCCACTTATCCCGGCCGTGAGCCGGCACTCATTACCCCACTTTCGGTGTTGCTGGCCCGAAGCAAAAGTCCGGGCGTTATCCCAAACGCATATTCCCAGTTCCTCATGTCTTATCTAGGTAGAGAACTATGATATTAATTCAATCTGTAATTTGCAACGATTGCATTGTGTAGTAGGGGGTTTAAATACTTTCTTCAATTCCTCCTTTTACCCTTATTACTGCTTTACTTACCTAAGGTCCCTTGAGGTATCTTAGGGTACTCACCTCTCACCGACGCCTTTCTGCACTGATATATACAGCCAACTTAATATGCTTGAGTACTCACTATCATTCGAGCGCCATTTGAGTCTCATCAAGTGATAATGTGTTGTTAACCTGGAGGTTGGAAGATCAATCAACTGGTCACGTACGGTACTTGGCAATTACTCGGAGAAGACAACGGGAGAGGCTGTTTTTGGGCCTCGGTAAGGTTTCTAAAAGTTTCTGCACACTTGATCATCTGCGGATGAAAAGGGCAACGAGCAAATATCTTCCTTGCCGGCAAAACCTGGTAATTTTTCCACGCGAATTTGAACCCTTCATCCGAATTGGCCTGAGCAGTTCATCACAATGACGAGGAAGGTCCATGTTGGCGGAGAACTTGCCCCGCAGCGATTGATCGCCGATCTCCCGCACATTTGGGGACATTCAGGCCCCCCTCATGCGGGGTAGCTGTCTTGATTGGGGAAGAAGCTGCCCCTGGCGACGAACGCCTTCGACGTCATCACCCGGTCATTGACGCCGGAGCTTTCATTCCAGCCCGGTCTGGCTCCTGCTTCCTCCTCCACTTTCCCAGGCCATTGGCACTTGCCATGTCACTTTTCAGCTCTTTGCAGATGGCAGGGACGACAGGGGTACGGTTTGCGCGAGTCCGGCAGGCGGAAGGAGCTCCTTCGCCTTGGTCTTCAGCTGCACCTGCCGTCGTCATTCAGACTCCAATTGCGTTTGAAGCACGTGTGACGAGCTTCGCCCCTGTCCACTTGTCCTCCGTCGCTGGTCCGACGCTAGCCATAGGCGAGAGGGAGGAGGCAATTGAGAATTCTTTCTCGTCCCTTCAAAAATCTGCTGTTTGCTCTCTTCTTTTCCAATTTCCCTATTGACCTACTACTTCCCGATACCATCTTTCAACCTTTCTTCCTTCAATTCCCCCAACTTTGAAGTTGGTGACCCTTCTGACTGTACACAACTTGCCATCATAATACCATCCTTTCACCAGACCGCCAAGATGATGTCCGCAAGACCTCTCGTTCGCTCGACGCTCCCCAGAGCTACCCGAGCTGTTCGCGCACCCCGCCAGCAGCTCCGTTTCCAGTCGACGACCACCTCGTCTTCAACAGGCGGAAGCAGCTCTCACTTCGGAGCCGGTGTTGCTGGTGGCCTTGCTGGTGCTGGTATCTTCTACGCCCTCTACTCCTTCACACCCGCTGGTCGCGCTGCCTCAAAGGTCAACAAGGCTGCCAAGGAGGCCGAGAAGAAGTACACAGCCGCCGCCCAGAAGCTGCAAGAAAACACACCCTCTACCGATGAAGCTATCGACTACATCAAGCAATTCGCTTACTCCTACGTTGGCTGGATCCCTGGTGGCCGCTCCTACGTCGACTCTGCTTTCAATGACTTCGAGACCGTCCGCAAGAACCACAAGGAAGAGGCCGACAAGATTGTTGATGACGCTTACAAGCAGTTCCAAGAGGTCGCCAAGGCCGGCCTGAGCCTCGAGGCCGTCCACAAGGCGTACGAGGTCCTCGCAGACATCACCCAGAAGCTCGCAAGCCTTGGAGGTGACGCCATTGGAGACATTCTCGACAACCACCCCCAATTGAAGGAGAAGCTCGGAGGCAATATTGACCAGCTCAAGGACTTGGGAGACAAGTACGGCCCTGAGGCCAAGAAGCAGGTCGACGAGACATGGAAGCAAGTCAAGGATGTCTTGGCTGGCGGTCTCACTGCCAGCAACTTCGACAAGGTGCGCAAGCTCATCGAGGAGAAGATTCAGCAGGTTCAGAAGCTTGGTGATGAGGCCTGGAAGAAGGCGCTCGAGGAGGCCAAGCCCTACCTTGACAAGAACCCCAAGGTTAAGGAGCTGATTGAGAAGAATGCCGACGCGCTCAAGAAGGGCAACGCCAAGGAGCTCTTCGAGAAGGCGAAGAAGGCTACCGAATCCGGAGACCTCGGAGGCCTCGAGAGCTATGTCACCGATGCCGTCGACAAGGCCAAGTCAAAGGGCTCTCAAATCGGCGAGAGCTTTGGTCTCGACCAGTACTTCAAGATGATCCCCGACGGAGACAAGATCATCCCCAAGCTGAAGCAGCTCCGCGAGGTCGCAGATAAGCACAAAGAGGAGGGAGAAAAGCTCTTCAAGGAGACCATTGAGGAGGTAAAGAAGGTCCTTGAGGCTAAGTCGAAGAAGGCGGAGGAGATCGCCGAAAAGGCTAAGAAAGATGCCAAATAAGGGACTCTCCGGCGTTCCTGCAACTGATACCCCCATCAAGACGTCTCGGTGGACAAAGACTTGTACAATAATACTTCAAGAGCATTTCCTGTGTAGCAAAAAGTCAACGGCTGGGATCACCCCCATTTAATCGCCCATGGTTCTGTGAAGTGTGAATCTGTATTGAGAAATTATATGCTTAGGTATTAAATATGCTTCGCACCCGTTCTCCTCCGTGTTCAGAACTGTGGCTTGTACAACACCCGTTCTTTCAGCAATCGAGGTGTATCCGGGTCATGGCTAGGAAGAACAACCACATCACTCTGTTTCGCAAACGCCTTGATCTTCCGCAAGCTGTCCAACGCCGACATAGGGTCGTCATTAATACCATCCGGCTCTTCCTTATCCAGCAAATCAATACCATAGCTCGCGTCCCCGAGCAAGCAGTACGTCGACGTTGTTCCGTCCTCGTTATCACCATACACGACAAGCGAAATGTGGCCGGGAACGTGACCGGGTGTATGCACCGCCACAATCTTCCCATCAGCCGTGATCCGGCCAGACGTTTCCCACGGCCCCACGGCCCCGGCCGAGAAATCCACAAGGGTAGGCTGGAATCCTTCCGGCCAGTGCTGTGGCACGCACCCCGCAAGCGTCGCGGTCACAGGGCTATTCCCGAACGCGGCCCAGTGCTCCTTGCTCACAAACACAGGGATATCCGGCGCGGCAGTCTTCAGAGCGTTCAATCCGCCTGCGTGGTCGCCGTGGAGGTGACTGAGCACGATGGCCTGCAGATCCCTCGGTTCCACGCCGAGACGCTGCAACTGCTGCACGATGCCGTCTTCGGGCTTGATGTCCACGCTGCTGAACATCTTTGTCGGGGATAAGTAGGGGAGGTAGCCCGGGTCGTTGAAGCAGGGGGACTCGCCCGTGTCGAAGAGGATTGGCCCATCTGGGTGGGCGATGAGGAAAACACCGATGGGGAGGGGTTCCGTCCATTGGCGGTTTGCGATGCAGCGGAAGCGGCGCAGGGTGACGAATTGGTCGAGGTAGGATGTTACCGGTTGGCTTTTCATGGGTAGTTTGATGCGGACTGAGCCGGTTGAGAGGAAGGTCAGGCTGACCCTCTTTTGTGCGTCTGCACCCATGTTGGAGGTTGTGTTGGAGGTGATTGATAGGTCTGATGCACAATAGATTTTCAGAAATCAAGATTGAGCCGTAGACCGTTGGGAATTTATTCAAGATGCTTGTCTTGTTTGACTTTGAGATTTGAAGCTTTCGATTCATAAGCTGAACGGCCTACGCCTTTGTGTGCCGAGATCCCACATGTACCGAATGCCGGTTGGCGCCCCATTCAATCCCGGCTCTAAGCCAGAATGGATCAGCTAGCGAAACAAGCTTTCCGCGAGCGATTCTTGACGATGGTATGCACGTTGACGATCATTTGAACGGTATAAGGAACTCCTCATTCATGTTCTACCGTCTTGATTGATGGTGTGTGCAGCACTTGAAACGTAAAAAGCCAGAGAGAAGGGAACCTAACTGACGTGTACGCATCGTCAAGATCTTACTCATTCTACCTTATCTCTCTTCACCATCAGGATCATTCAGATACCAAGTTGAATCAGACCCATCAAGCTCCTTCATCGATATCCCATTCCCTAGATACGTGAACCGATTTCTTTTCTTCTCATACACATAATCCCAATCCTCGCCTCTGAAGTTCTCCAACATGTGGAAAAAGTGGATTCTACTCCCGGGATGCAGCGCCGTGACAGGTCCATCCACAGCACCGCCCTTGAACCAGGATCTGCAGGACCCTGCCCACGCTGTTCGCGGCATGAAGGCTTGAGTATGTTCGTGAAGCTCATTGACTGCGTCGAGGCTTGGACTGATGGATTTGATGCCCTCAGTTTGGCATTTCTTGATGATGCCGGCGATGTACTTTGCGAGCAGCTCGGTTATCGTGAAGACGCTGCCGTGACCGATAGGGGCGTTGGGACCGAGAAAGACTGCGCCATTTGTTAGCACAGTGATGCGAACATCGATGGCACTGCCATGTATTCACAACATGATCTTACCAAAGTAATTAGGCATATCGGGAACCGCGCAAGACATGTAAGCTTTCGGTATATCCTTGGCCCAGATATCCTGGAGATTTGTAGACCGTCGTCCAATGATGGGAAACCGTGGGCGAAACGAGACATCGAATCCAGTGGCACAAACGATGGCATCAACCGCAATGTGTTCCCCAGATTCTGTTATCAACCCATCCGAGACTACGCGAGCGATTCCTCCCGAGATGACTCTCGCATTGGGTTTCGTCAAGGATTCTAGGTACCCGACGCCTGGTGTCATCCGACGACAACTAATAGGAAACTTGGGGATGAGAATGTCAATCATTTTCTGGTCGTCATTGAGCGCAGATTGCATGTACTGAGTGACGCCTTGTGTGACTTGTCGGTGAGTTTCCGAGTCTTTCAGGACCTAGAACCTCATAATCAGTAAATCGTTTAGATGAAGGAAGACTGAGTCACCAACGAGGAAGAAGTTGTTGTTGACCTGCTCCTCTATGGCCTTCACAAAAGACTTGTAGAGTGCAGGGTCCGCCTTGAACCTTTCAATCTGAGCCGGCGTAAAGTTCTCGTCATCGTCCAGCTCGATCTGCTCCATCGTTTCCTTGGCCTTTCCTAGTAGCAACGTCTGGACTCGGGGCGGCACAATCCAAGTTGGTCCTCGGATAAAATGAATCATTTCTTTCGCGTCTTTGCCGATGGTGTTAATATCATGATGGCATGCGACCGAAACTTTCCAGAACTCACCTTTTTGTACAGCTGGAACGATCTGAACTCCAGATGAGCCGTTGCCTATAACTGCCACTCTTTTTTCTTTCCAGTCGAACTTCTCATCCCAGTCGGCGCTATGAAGCAGGGACCCAGAGAAGTCGTGCAGACCGGGAATGTCTGGCCACTTCCAGTTGCTGTAGCAAGCTGAATGTCAGCACGAGAACACCAAAACCAAACTTGGACTGAGTTGATAGGGGTTTTTTCATACTTCAGAATCCCACTCGCGTTTAGCAAAAACTCGCAATAATCCTCAAACTCCACACCATTCTCCAAATTCTTCACCCTAACCGTCCATCGCCCGACACCTTCATTCCAGAACGCTCCCGTCACGAGATGATTGGTCTTGATCTGGCGCCGTAGGTCTTCATCATCACACAAGCGGCACAAGTACGCCTGGATCTCTTCCGCCGGAGACAAAAAGTTGGTCCACTCTTTGTTCGGCCTCCAGGAGAATTGGTAATTGTGCGAGGGTATATCGCACTTGCATCCCGGATAGCGGTTTTCGTACCATGTCCCTCCGACTTCGGGATTTTTTTCGTAGACGATGTGTTCGAAGTTTGTGAGTTTCTGACGAAAGGTGCGGATCATGTTGAGACCGCTTGCGCCGCTGCCGATTGTGATGATGCGGACTTTTTTGGCTGTTCCGAGGGGTTGTTCGACGACCGCGTATGGTGCGGCAGGGCTGAGATCTGGTGTTTGTGGGTTCCCGAGACCAAGGTGATTGCCAATTTGGCTAACGCGTGAGGAAGCCATGTTGATTCTCGGTCAAGAAGGCACAATAGGATAAGCAGAATGCCGGTTCGACTTGAGAGACCGAATAAAGTGAGGGACATGCGCGCCGCTACCAAAAAATGGGAAGGCACTAGATAGAGTGAATTATAGTTCCTTATACCCACAGATTACATCCTGATGTCTGATAAATGTATTTACTTGTTCACAGAAACATACGGTTCCACCTTGCTTGCCAGTAGGCATCCCAGGCTCGGCTCTGGTGGCTCAGCATAAGATTTCAATAGACACAGTCTAGGTACCTGGGAGTCAGGTAGCCTTACGACCAGTAGCTAATGTCACTACCATTCACCTCGAGGCATAGTGACGTGCCCATGTTTTCTTCCAAGCGCGAGCCGTCCAAGATACAGTTGTTTCACTGTAGGGAACGTACGGCCTCGGCAGACGATGATGGGCTTTCGGCACTCGGTAGCCGGCGCTCGGCATTCCGAAACTCCACGAAATAAACCTCAACGAATTGCGGGATTCGGCAAACACAAGGCCTCGACACCACGCAAGTCCGCTTGAAGGCCTGCACTCTACGCATTCGTGTCACCATCCATGGATCCCACTCAACCAGACATGCAGTCACTGAGGCTCCAGGATGCTCTGAAGCATCTTCAAGCAAATTGTTGGATTCACAATGGTACATGTACATACAACGACGAACACCTCCCTTAACACTGAAAGGTATCACATAATATTTGACAGATAAAGATTCCGGCATGTAGTATTATCTCTGTATCTGATTTGTCATACTCAGGGAAGTGACTAGGCATTCTGGCCACCCAAGCAGATAGCGCTAAGTGTAACGAGGAGTGCGGCGACATATCAATCGTCTTCTTATTTTGGAGTCTACATTCAGACTCGGCGAGCCTCATTCTCCCATCTAGCGGTAGAACAAGTCCTCCTCGCACTCGATTACTGGCACTTGTTTGCCTTCCATCAGCTTTGGTGGTATGTAACTATGCGGAAGACCAATGCTGATCAACATTTCGACTTCGACGCCCAGCTCTTGCATAAGATAAGCTGATACTTGCGGTGCGCCGCTTCGGAGCCAGCCCATAAAGAAGGTATCCTTCTCCCGCGGAAGCAGATGTCTCCTCTTTCTGTCCTCCTGCCTCCTGGGCCGCACAAAGCTCAGCTGAGCCGCGTCTACCTTTTGCTCCTCAACAAGGAACTTGATCACGTCGAGATTGAAACTTGGTCCCAGAATCGCAGCAGCTAGGACGCTTCCATATTGCCCATTCTCGAGATAGGCATTGACATCAGCGCCTTGCTCAATGAGAAAGCGAGCATTGCCAATTTTTCCCGATGATATAGCCGCTGCTAGAGGACTACCGAATATGCCGAACCTTGGGTTCATGTTGACGTCCGCACCCTGCTCTACAAGGAAGCGGACACAGTTGAGTTCATCTTCCATGGTGCCTCCCCATAGGGCAGCAATCAGTGGACTACCAAAGACTCCATATCTTAGTTGAGAGTTGACTCTTGCTCCATTTTCTACCAGAAAACGGACACACTCAAGACTTTTAGTAGCTGCAGCAGCTGCCAGCGGAGATCCCCACTCATCTCTCGATGTTTCTATGTTCACATCTGCTCCCTTCCTCACGAGAGCTTTCATTGCGTCGCAGTCGCGGTTCTGAGCAGCTGTCGATAAGGCAGATCCACAATAACGGCTGTGAAGAGCATCGACTAGATCGCATCTAATGTTGGGATCGGCGCCGTTCTCCAGCGAAAGAGTGTAATAATCTCTCCCCTTCTGCACTGCCAGACAAAGATGGCTTTGACCATCGATGATGCCATCAGGGCTTACGCCTTTTCCCAGAAGCAGGTTAACGATGCCAAAGTCTCCCCTCTTGATGGCTTCGCGCAATGCGGATTGGTAAGGGCGCTCGGTATCTCCGTTCATGTTGAACTGCCACTCCTTCCGACTGAGAAGGTCATTGAAGAGGTCCATGTGACCGTGACGAAGGGCAATTGTCAGTAAGTCTGAGCCATTTTCGTTGAGCATTGGTACAAGGTCAACATCTTGGTCCCACCAGCCAGCCAACAAATGATGAAGGCCAAATGTAACAATACCCAAAATGGGATTCGTCGGCGGCATGATGTCAGGAGACACATGAACGTAGGCCATGTTACGTCTCTCACGACACACGCCACCCAAGCTTCCGAGCATGGGAACGACGTAGCGACAAAATATTTGATACTCTTCCGAGGATTGTTGGGGGCCCTTTTCACCCAGAAATCTTTTCAGAGATTGAGTTACGACCGAAGCCTTTGCATCTTGACTCGAGATGCCGTGGACACAGTCCAACCAATTGAGTTGACTGTATAGTTGAAGCGGATGATGTGGATCGGAGGTATGAACGTGGCCCCGCGGCCTTGCCTGGAACCAGGTTTCCAAGTTGTAGAGACTCATTTCCTGCCATTCACGAAGCCACATATGCTCTAGTACGGGCCAGACCGTGCCGAAGGCTGAGCAGCAATCGATCAAGCGATTGATCAGGAAAGACGCTACTTCCGCTTTGGCATGCTCAACCCAAGGCTCCTGTTTTGTCCCAAAATATTCGGAGACGGATGCATGTGAGAATTTCCAAATACCAAGGGTGTCTTTCACCACTAGGTGTCTACAGATAACCTCCACCTTTTCTTCGGTGAGATCAGAATCCTCCAAGCATACCTCTTTTCCTATTGTTTCGCTCTCGAGTTTGATAGCTGGAAGCAAGAAAGAGCTTTCCAATGGCCCATTAACGCACATGGCCCATCTCACAGTCCGCTGCAGTATGAATCGTTCGGAATCTGCTTCCTTCGATTTATCATAGATTTCGTCGTACGCCTCTGAGAGTGTATTAGGAAGCTGTCCGAGTCTTTTGCGTATGTCATTTTGAGTCTTGAATTTCTTGAGCTGCTCCATTTGCAGGTATGTCCATCTGAACCTGTGGTCTGCTAGTCAGTCTGGTTCGTAAAAGGCTGTGTCATTCTTGAGCTCTGGCACTGACATTCCGTTACTCCTTTCCACGAGAGTAACTTTGACAAGCTCTTTCGTTTCGACAGAAGCGTTCTTCCAGTTTTTGGCCTCTGCCGTCACGAATCTTTCAATATCGCCGATGTTGTCAGTAGTGCTGATTTGAATCAGGGTCTGCGGAGTCTGTAACTTCAAGCAGCCTTCAGTTTCGAACTCTGGACGGCTGGCGACAAATATCTTCAAAAGTCGGTTGCTCTTTTGGATGAGGTCTGTGAAAAGGCGGACAAGCTGCTTTTTTGTCATACTGTCACACTCATCCAAAGCATCGAGTATCAAAGCAGTCCGGGGATAACTGTTGATGATCTCAATCAAGGCACTCTCGCATTGCCTGATACTTATGGCATCCTGTATCCTGCTCTTTGCCTGGGCTAGACAATAGGCAGCTCTGTGGACGCTGTCCGAGTAGTTGGGTATCTCACTGAGCTGTCGCACGTAGCTCCGGACAATGGAGTCATAACTCTTCCTGGTTGAGTCAGAGCCATTGCAGTAGAAGAAGGCGAATCCTTCATCGTGCAGACTAGGCGATTGGCTGGCGATCCCGTCGTGGACCCAATAACGGTCAATGACTTTTGACGAAAGGAACGACTTCCCGGTGCCGACTAAGAACGAAAGGTGCAACATTAGTTCGTCCATCAATCCACACAGCAGCTTCAAGGCGCTGAAACTCACTGTTGCCCTGTAGCCAGAAGACCGACGAGCAAGCCAAGTTTTCCCAGTCGCGAAACTTGGCATTGCTGATTAACCATTCGCATGTCCCTTCAGTTCTTTTTTCGCGCTTCTCGAGGTGGTGGACTCCTACAGGGACAGTACTGATTCTTCCCATCGCTTCTTCCCTGTCTCGTTTTTTGAGTTTCTCGAGAACCGCCGCAACGTTGTCATCAACACGTTTCAGTGGACCCTCGAGACTTTGAAGCAGTTTTCGATGTTTTTCGCTCACTTGAGCCTCGCAAACATGTGCGGCGAGCTCTAGATCCTTTTCAAGAGCCTTGATTGCAGACACTCGTTGTTCACCCTGCCCGGGGTCCAGGAGTGCGTCTAAGAATCTGCTCAAATTCTTGTTCTTCAATTCTTCGTTGACGAAGGAAAGGAACTCTAGACAGGTTGTATATACCTCGACTAGCTTTTCCTTTAGATCCTGTTGTGTCGCTGGTCTAGGCAGCTCGCCGATGTAAATCTCCTCATACACTCTACCACGCCTGAGGAGACAGAGAATCATGTCTGTGCAACCCATGATGGCCACAAGGTCTTGGCGCTCAGAGACATTGGTCTGGGCAAGTGGTCAGCTCATTGCTGTGGACAGCGGATCTTGACGTTGCAGCCCTTACCTTCAAAAGAACTCTGACTGCTGACCATGTCATCAAAGAAGGTGCCGGGGCAAAATTGATGGCAATATCCCCGATTGCAGTTATGACAGAGACGACCCTGTTCGCATAATCCCTCCACAAAATTTCACGGTTGCCGACCTTTAGTTTCAAAGCCTCGTCTTTATGCTTCTCCTCGCTAGAGCGAACCAAACTCACCAACTCGGGATCGGATCGGTAGCGTCAGTGACTGGTGGAATGCTGTCAAGCCAGTCTCGGGTCTTCTGGTCAACGCTGGCGTACGCTTCCTGCCATAAGCTAAGCATTGTCGCAGAGCTGTCTGTTGCGGAAGTCTGTTCTTCAGAGGTGGGGATTGAAGAAGGAGCGTTGTCTGTATCTGGTGCAGATGATGGCACAGGTGATTTTGCTGCTGGCGAAACAGGATCATTTGCTTGGGGCATTGTCAAAGCAGGCTTCTGACCAGCTTCCGGCGTCTGGCTCGATGGCTGACTGTGACATTCTGCCTGAGAAGCTAGAACGGCCGCTGGGACTGGAGACTTGGTAGTCCCTCGGCGCAGTTGGCCTCGTTTCCTTAAACAGAAACCTAAAGCCGAAAGACAACTGCCATCTGATCTATTTGAACTGGCCATGTTTCGTCGAGCGATGAAGGATGTTTCGGCGAAGGTGATTTGGCATGTAGTGAGGTGCGAAGTTGAAAAATAGCAGGCTTAATCATGATTGCTCTTTCCCACTCGTAAGTCGTCCATCTTCGGCGAACGCCGCGCCCTCCCGCTTTCGGGTTGGATGTAAGTAGACCATGCATGTTCCGTTTCTGATGCATGTTCCGTTTCTGTTGGTGCAAGATGCACGAGAAGGGGGCTGATCTTGTTCTAGATCCTATCAGCAGTTGGCAAAAGCCTCGGCATCATGGTCTGAGCCCGGAAGGAGTACATTGGTGGGTCTCTGGAATCTCTGTGTCCAATGCATGCCCATGTTGGGTTTGTGATGTGGTCAGGTAGGCCACATGCTGTTGGCCGATGAGCGATCCAGGTACAAAAAGCATTTTTTTCATTTGAGCCGGCGCTTAATTCAGAGCCATGTCAGACCAGGCTTTTGTGCCATCTTTGGAGTGGCGAAACAATGATGTCTGTTATTTGTTGGTTGACTGCAAGTGCAACGGCACACTAGGCATGAGCATCAATATTCCCCTCGAGAGCCTTGCATCCGATGAGTCTCTGCCAAGCGTCCCTCCCATCAGATAAGAACTTCAATCATCTGCTTACATGCGGTGCACGCTCTCATTATATTATCAGGACATCTTTGCTCTTTCCTCCTTTATAGTGCCATTTACTTTAGCAAAGATGTCACTCGCAACAGCCAAAGCTTCTCTGCCGGCCGGAACACCGCAGTATATCATCGCATGTCGACAAGTCTCCACAATTTTCTCCTCTGAAATACCAAGGTTGAGTGCTGCCGCGATATGTATGCGTAATTCTGGGGTTCTGTTGAGCGCTATCATCATGCCAATGTTGACCAAAGACCTCTCCTTGAACTCGAGTCCGGGGCGAGCATAACTGGAGAAACACACTTCGGCAATGTATTCGGCACTAACTTTGCTTGGCAGATCGTCGCGCTGTCATTATTCTATCAGCATTGTTCTTTGGACGGTGCTTTCGCGCAGTTGTTTACCTACTGCTTGCTCTTGAATAACGCTGAGAAGTTTGGCCCCCAAGAAGGCTTGAGCCATCTGGGCACCCTGTACCAGCTTTTCACTAGGTTCCGACATGATTTGGTTGCGGTATTGAAATCGTGATGGTTTTCCTGAAGGCGAGTATGTCGTCTGAAGTATGCAATTATAGCGGAAATACAAAATCTTCCTGCTTCAATCTTCAATTTGATCTGTCGGGAGCTTTCTCTGCCATCTGCTCCATTCGGATCAAGAGCGAAAGACTGAACAGTTGTTAAATAATATAATCTTAATTAAGATCTTCTTCCATGATGACCCGGAAACCGAACGACAAGAGCGGACGGTGCAGTGCCGAGTGCCGATTTGCCGAAAGCACAGAAACAGCCTCCGGAGAACATGGCGTTGAAGTCAGTGAACTCATGCCGAACTACGCATCGGCAATACCTTCACCAATACCGGGACCAAGCCTGGATTGAATCATATTGTATTACATAGTGATAACCGGTGTTCAGTGGCATGTGAAAGCCAGTGCTTTAACCATTGGCGCTATCAAAGTTTGTGAAGTCCATGCCAAGTACATCCATGAACGAGGTAATGTCGTCAAAATCTTCCCCCATTTGCCCAAAATTTCCAAAAGCGTCGTCTTGGAAGATTATTTCGTCTCTTGGGTCGCTATTCTGTGACAGGATATCCATGTTCTCGCACATATCTGGTGGGAAAGCAAACAGGCCACCCATATGGTGCTGCACAATCTTTGCGGTTGATAAACCATGAGAGCCTCCTGTCTCGCTTCTCGCGCATGACGACTCATCACCCCGCTCACCTCCAAAGTCTCGTGGCGCGTCTTTAAACTTCTGCAAAATAGCGCGAGCCCCTCCATACTTGGCGCTCATACCCTCCAGAACGGAATGTATAACATCAAGATCTCTGCGGAGTATAATCTCTTTCTCTTGCGATTGAGGCTGATGAGATATTAAGACGACGCCGACTGTCAATACAAGAAACGCATGGTAGTGTATCAGGTGTACAACTCTTTCTCTGCATCGGATTTCGTCATAAAGCCGAGCAGCACATGATGCAGCAAGGACCGACGCCGGTGAAGTTCTCCACGTCGGCGAAGTACTTTTGCTGATCGTCTGGGTCAGGATGATGGCGACGAAGTAGAAGATGAAAGTCTCCGCGCGTTGTTGATTGAATGGCTTTCTAGTCCCGTCGGGATTGAACAGCCGCAAGTCTTCGGGCAAGTCAGACAGCCAGCCGTAGAGGGATGAGACGACGGCTTCGGCTTCTGCCGACGTTGAACCACCTTTTCTGAATTTCAGAGTAGTGATGATTCCAACAATCTGAACGAGCTTCGTCATCCAAGTGGTAGCAATTGCTTCGAAATTCTGCACCGTAAAGTCTTCTTCTGAGAGCGGCGGTAAGTCAAACCCCCCACTTCCTGGCACCCCCCTGTTTCTGGCACCCACAAAAACGATGGGATCACAACCCAACCTCCTCATTACTATTAACTATTGATCCTCAACCACATACAACTGCCAGCCTCACTAGGGCATTCAGAGTCGCTGGATTCAGCCGTAATAACCTCCTTTTCACCCGCTTCGATTTGAGCCCGATGGATATCCCTGATGTTCGCAAACTTCGTGTTGGGATCGATCTGAACAGTCTTCCTCTTCCTAACTGCAGCGTTGGTAACTTGAGCCCTCAGGTGAGCCAGCTGCTGCTGGGCAACTGCCAGTTGCCAGGCCTGCTCTGTGAAGCCTTTTTTCACCTTCCTGAACAGCAGCCGTTGAGTGCTGGTATCATTGTCGAGTTGGGTGTATAAGTGCAGTTGACCGCTGAGCTCTGCCAGCTTCCTGGGTGTCGACCAGACCACTGCAGAGGAAGCAGAATCCATGGCTCAACAGGGGTAGTTTGTTGACCATTATGGCATCGCTTTTTGCCCCGACTGGTTGGTTTGGGTGTGGTGGGCTTAGCAGAAGGCTCAGGTAATACCATAGGGTTCATCAGGGGCTTAACCATCGCTACAGGGTGTAGACCAGTCCACTTCAACCACTTCTGATGTTCGAGACTGATAGACCAGCAAGTCGAGCCTTCTGGTAACAGTCCAGGAAGTTCCTTTTACCTATAATGGTAGAGTCGTTCCATTGAGACAAGTAACCGAGCTCCTTCCGATAGGCTGACTTAACAGGGCTGAAGACAGACTGGTCAAGTGGCTGGAGGACATGAGAGGAGTGTGGTGGTAAGAACAGTAAATGGATATTGTTAATATAGCAATTCCACATGAAGTCTGTCGTCGTATGACTCCCATGCCCATCCACAATCAACAGTCGAGCCTCGCCCTCAGCCTCGGGCATAGTCTGTGGGATAAACACCTTCTCTAACCATTCAATGGCAGTTAAGTCTGTAGTCCAGCCATTATCTGTTGCTGTAAACTCCACCCATCGTATGGAACCAGATGTAATGGAAACCACTGTTGTTGGACCGTCTTCCTTGAAAATGATAAGAGGACGAAGTGCCCTACCCAAGGCTGAGATACACTCAATGATAGAGACCCATGCCCTCGACCCAGGTTGTTTCTTGCGAACAGACGTCGTCTCAGCCATGCCCAGCACTAACCCATTAGCTCCCTGACCCTCGAGGATGCCAGTCTCATCCATATTATATCTGTTGGCTGGTTTGATGTCCTTGATCTCAGGGATAGCAAGAACTTAAACCAGTTCCTAATGACCTCAGTAGATGCCCCATTAACGCGTCTAGAATCGATGGAACGACTTCTCTGAACCTTAATGATAGGGTTCCTTCTCACGAAGGCATAGATCCAGCCTTTTCCTAATGGTTTGGTATCCCCAGCAGCCAGAACTCGCTCTGCGAATTCCTTCACCTGTTGGTGCGTTGGTGCGAGGCCCAGCGAAGCCTGAATGCGAACCCATTGTGCCAGCTTACTCTCCTGGTCAGGAGACAGCCTCTGCCAGTCAGCAAAAGCCACTTTCCTAGTCTGACCACCTTGGAGACGTAGTTGGAGGGTTGATCGTGGTATCCCATACTCCAATGAGGCTCTCTTTTGACTCTTGCCGTTTGAGATGTCCTCGAGAGCCTGACGAAGCTGATCTTCGGTATATTGAGGCATTAGATATAGAAGAAGGTATGTGCAAAAAATGAGCCCATTTGGACTCGAATTGAAAATGTTGTGATAAAAGGAGGTTGGGGGTGGGCATTGCGTTGTGGTGGATTTTCGCGTTTTTGTGGGTGCCAGAAACAGGGGGGTGCCGGGAAGTGGGGGGTTTGACTTACATCAGTGTCTTCGGGTCTGAGAAGAAGAGGTCGGCCCCAACAAGCTGTCATGAGGATTTCACTCGTCTGCGTCAAGTCAGATCTTCATGCTTCTTTGAGAAGCAATTTTCTAGGCCGGCGTTTGAGGAAGAGTGGATTCATGATACTCACCTGAAGGTGCCAGAATATTCGCCGCAAGCACCCAGCGCCCTGGCGATTGGAATACGATGACTGTTTCTGAAGACCCAGTTGAAGCGCCATTCGCGAAGCCATGCCTGTCCAGTACCATGGTCCATCTAGCGTGACAAGATAGGGGGAAGATGCGCTCCAGCATGACATCAGGCACAGAGACTTCAGTACCGTCAGCTGGTCAGGCTCGAAGCCAGTGTGGATCAGCGTTTTGGCCTTCTCGTATTGCGAAGCCGCGAGACCGACGCTGTCCTCCCCGTGTCGCATTAGGCTACCTGCTAAGCATACTGCTTGCTGGAGAAGCACCGACGCATTTGGACCAGCGACATCACCGGGATCGACCATGTAGTAGTAAAATACGACGTGCTCGAAAAACGAGTCCTTCAGAGCCTGTAGTAGTACGGGCTGCGGCAGAATACCAGCCCCCGTGACTCTTAGAATCGCCTCGTTTACGCCAGCGTTTCCAGTGGTAAGATTGTCCAGCACAACAGTGGGTGGTGTCTTGACTGGGTCGTGCATGATGGAGCCTTTGTCAATAAAGCTGCTAGGTCTCCACGCAACATCTCGCTGGCGACTGCTGCTGGTCTCTGACAGTTTGCTGACTGCCTCTCCTCTTGGACTGTCTCTCGGGCTGGTCATACGGTCTGGCACTGGCAACGAAACAGATGGCGTTCTGATGTCGGCCTCGCCAACATCAGTGCCCCGCGGACGTCTCTTGCGGACACCATTACGTAGACTTATTCCCGCTAGTTAGCATCTCTGTTGCAAGAGCATGCCATGAAGGAGCGAACGTACACGCAGGGAACTTCAGCACGTCGGCAATTTCGACACGTCTTGTCTTGGCTTACCTGTAAGTCGCATTTTACCTAAGGGCTTCGTGTTATCTCAGCTCCACGTCTAAATAGAGATGTAAATATTCTAGCTAGGAAGCGGCTTACTTTGCGTGAGTGACATTCGACGCATACAATATTCGCACGGTCCCTTAATGATCGCCGAGGTCTTTCCATACTCTCATTGCCGACTCAAAGAGCTTCTCCGTAATCGTTGTGGATGAAGTGAAATTCAACTGCATACAGACATGACCTGAGTTTTTGATTCTTCAATCCAGATTGAAAGCTCACGGTGCGGGGCAAAAGCCTTTTCTATGGAGCCTGTGGGCGGCCGGAAAGTCAACCGAGGCCCCACGGAAGCTCCGGGTTTGCGGGGTGCATGGACCTCCCTACGCAGAATCCAACAAAGAGCGGGTGTGGACGGGCCCTTGAGCTGGTCTAATTAGTACAAGCAGCGATGAGGATCTAAGACCATCAGTACGACACGTCACATTCGATAGAGACAGCGATGTCATGTGACCAGGAAGCTAATGTTCCACGAGTGCCCAGGTGGTATTCAACGTCTCTTTGAAGACTTGATTGCGTTTCTATTACAGGCCAGGCTCAGATGACTAGAGTCGATGTTAATGGATGCATACTTGCGCTGCTGACTAGTAGTCAGGCATTTCGAAGAGGAGATACTGTCTCGGAAGCCACACGCGACGAATAGCCGGGCGTGCCGGGCCAGGAGCAGATACACCTCCTCGAGCGAAACGTTGGGTGACCGAGATTCCCTTTTTTGGGCTGAAAGGTCATCGGCTCGCTTTGATTGCTTGAGTTTTTGATTTACCGGTTTTTCTTTTTCCGGCCCTTGATCGGACTCGTTATTGTGCGAGGTGTGGGTGACACGACCCGTTACACCGTGGCTAGGGCTATGTCTTACAGCGGTCCGCTTCCCGTCAAAAGAATCTAGGGGATGGCCGACGAGCCTCCCAGCCTCGGACTTACTCCCTTCCAAGAGTTTGTGAGGCCAATGTTGGCTCTCCTATCTTCGTCTCATCGTCATGGACTGGTGGTGAGGAGGCTCTACATGAGCAATCGCCCTGCGCCTCCGGCTCAAGGCTGCTCAGGTCATGTTTCATCGCGAGTTCTTAACTAGGTCTGTAAGAAAAGGGATAAGGGATGGTGATGGTGATGGGGACGAGAATAGGGAACAAGATCAGACCAGGAGTCTTAAAGTACGCAGCTGTTCACGCGCTTGAAAGGGACTAACACGTCCGCTGCTGTATTCAAATCACTGCTTCTCATTCTCATTTCATGTCCTTTACTTTGAGCTGTCTCTCCTGGCTCTCTAGCTCTTTGGGTGTTTTTGAAAAGTCCAGATTTCATTCACCGCTTTACACTCATTCATTTCAATCAGACTTTCAATGCAGTCAACTACGATATGGATTTTCACATTGTCGCTTCTAGCAAGGCTGACTTACGCCCAAGTAAATCTCCCAGTCTCTGGAGTTATGGACTACTTGGGGTGTTACGTCATCACGAACATGGCACAGTTTGAAACGATTCAGAACGACGCCAACGTGGAGCCCCAAAGCTGTCAAATACAATGCTCAGCCTTGGTACGCAGATTCGCTGGTTTGATGGGGACTACATGTCTGTGCAGCAAGGCAGGCATCAATAATCCAGCAGCCTATTATGACCCCGAGTCGAAGTGCAGTACTCTCTGCAGCGGGAACAGCACTGCTCGCTGTGGTGGTTTTGCAGATGGGCTAGACCACTACAGCATGTATTATGGCTTCCGGGAGGTTCCACCTGCTCCGACTACTACGGAATCGACTGAGCCAAGCACGTCGTCGACGACGTCTTCGGATTCAGAGTCCAGCACTGAATCTTCATCCTTTACCTTCTTTTCGAACTCATCCTCAACCACTCCGACTTCTTCTTCGTCGAGTTCATCAACTTTAGAGTCCACCACAGACACATTCTCAACCTTCTCCTCGACTTCCGCCTTAACTTCTCTGTCAACATCCTTTTCGGCTTCAGATCCCACCTTATCCCTGACCTTAACGTCGGTCTCGTCTTCGGACTCTTCTTCAATTTCTCTCACGAGCTCGGAGTCCTCAACAGACATATCCATAACCTCCTCCTCGAGTTTCTCGTCGACTTCCCTGTCAATATCCTCTTCAGCTTCTGATCCAACCACAACCTTGAATTTGTCTTCGACCTCGCTTACGGACACTTCTTCAACCTTTTCATCGATCTCAGAGTCCACAACAGACACACTCTCAACTTCCCTTTCAATCCTATCGACTTCATCATTGACTTCGTCCTTACAATCCTCATCATCGTCTTCCTCTCTCTCATCGTCGTTGCCATCATCTACCTCATTCACTGCCACCTTCTCTCCAACGACGTCAGATTTCTTATCTACTTCAACCCCTTCATCTATCTCTTCTTCAAGCTCATCAAGCTCTTTGTTGACCTCGTCGTCAACCGCGACCCCGACGTCCTCTTTCACATCTTCCGAACCCATTACAACCTCGTCCCTCACAACTACCAACATCAAAGTGAGCAGCAGCACACAGATCTCTTCAATATCAACCGCCGGGCCATTCGCAAACACGACTAGCTCTTCAACTTCTTCATTTTCCCTCACATCACCTACGTCTACGGTCGATATCACTACGTCAAACACTGAACCCACGACGTTCACTGGTCCAATAGTTCCATCTTCTCCTTCAATTTCTTCTTCAGAGTCAGGCTCAACGACTTCCACCTTTTCAACGACACTACCTGATAGCAGCTCCCTTTCCACAACTGCCCTTTCGACTAGCTTTTCTAACTCTTCGACGTATCCTATCAGCTCAAGTTCAATAGTGTCGACGTTTTCGACTTCTTCCTTATCATCAATCGGTTCTGTCTCATCCGCGAGCTCTCTTTCATCGACAAGCTCTCAATCATCAACAATTTCCTTTTTAGTAACGTCTATTTCATCAACGACTTCTCTATCATTTACAGATATCCCGACATTAAGCAGCAGCTCGACGACTGAACTGCTCTCGAGTACGGGCACACTCGTGACGTTGAATTCATCTGACTCAACAACGTTCCCGACATCTGCTTCGAGCGGCACGTTCTCGGATATTCTTACGAATATTCTGTCAAGTAGCAGTACTTCATTAACGGACAGCACTACTTCTCTGAGTACAACATCTCTCCCTAGGACGACTACTGCAACCTCTGGAAGCACAGGGTCAACCAGCAGTTCTTCAATATTCCCATCTTCAACCAGTCAAGCAACCACTCTGACTGATTCATTCACGAATACGGCTTTCACTCCAGTCTCAGTATCCACCTCAATCTCATTGACAAGCAGTTTGAATCCCGTCTCAAATCCAGCCTCTTCTATCACGCAAGCACCGTCTTCGGACTTGGTTACAAGCACAACGTCTGGGCCCCCTTCCATCCAAGCAAGTGAAGGTACGAGTCCCTTGAGCTCGACTTTAATTTCGGACCTTACTTCAATAGCCGTCGCAACGTATTTGCCAAATATATTGTCATCAACAGCCTCGGCGTCGACCACAAATGTAGCGACCGTTGTAGGGAACTCGGCAACGGACGCAACCTTGGCTCCATCTATGACTACGCTTTCTTCTCTATCCGAAAATTCATCGCCAACTATTCCGATAGACGTTTCCGCCACATCTGGTGTTACAACAGTGACTGGACCGCCCTTAAGCTCCTCTTTCATTACCTCGACCCTATTACCATCGCCAACATCAGTGTCCATTGTTACAGACCAGCTTTTCCGATTGACCGTATTGCTTGTTGCTGCAGAATCGGCTTTGCCACAGTAACGGAGTTATGTATCCCAAAGGGAGTCCCAAAGGGAGTTTTGTTGCTTCTTTTGTTTTTGAGGTTGAATGCCGATCACTGGTGTGGGCAGCACTGTTATTAGACGGCCGACGGCGTTTCGGATATTCCCCAGGGCTCGGCGTAGAGAGGAACACACGGAACGGTCTTCTTGTTCAAGTACAGACCGGGTTCATGCTAGGTGCAAAATTAGACTTGTTTTCGTCCAATGAGACCAATTACCACTTCAAGCCGCGGACTACCGGAAAGCATAGAATCGAGGGGTTCAGTCTTCTTAATTCGATTTGGTGAAGTTCGTTTGATCGAGGCAGTGTGTCACATTCGATTGGCGATATGAACATTCTCTGAACTTGAACATTCAGACTTATTCCGACAATTTCGACGAAAGAGTCCAAGATGCTGGCAAAGCCTCAAGACTTTGATGGTGGTACACGCAGCTGATAAACGACTGGTACGTCTGTGTGAGTGTCTCACTCGTTTTGAAGCCAACATGAATATATTTCGCCCGCTTGTGATATTTTGCTTATCCGTTACCTCCAAAGCAATGCCGCTCGAAAGCCAAGGTCTTTAGATCACATGAGTGGAAATCTGTTGTTTACACGCGAACTACAGCAAGCCTAGTCCAGCCAGATCAGGTGTTTTTTATAGATGAATATGTTATGCTATGCGAGTCTCGAATAATTGAACAACAGATTCACGATGCAAAACGATTCGTGAAGGAACAACGAAATGAGCGACTTTGCTGAATTGCGCAATAGTACCTAATACCTGATCTCGTCCCACATCAATCCTCTTCGCAACTCTGACAGGTTCATCGTGCTCTGAACGATGCTTGACACCAGCTCAATTACTACAGTAGTAGGTCGTGTTCAGGAAAGCGCCACAACGTTTCCCTCCAGAGCCTGGCTCACCGATACGCTACTCGCTGCGTTACCTGCCTGTCCCTGATTGCTACTCGCGGGCTGAGATCCAGTTTGCGGTGTGCCAGTTTGAGGCTGGCTCGTCTGCGGAGATCCGGTTTGAGGTGGGCTCATCTGAGGAGAGCCCCTCTGACCAGACTGGGAGGAATTTCCTGGAGAACCTGTCTGAGGCGAACCCGTTTGAGGGGCTCCAGTGGCTGGCATAGCTGCTGGAGGTGCGCCGCCCATGGGAGGGCCCATACCGGGAGGCATCGCCAAAGGGGGGTTGGCGAGCGACACAATCCCCATTCCGACCGAGCCACCAGCTCCGGCAAACGCGGCCATGGCGCTTTGGAGACCCTCTGCAGGAAGTTTGGAAAGAACGACCTGGCCAAGTGCAGCCGACAACATGTTCTGGTTCATGAAGGATTGGAGAAGCATTGGCGTCATGTTTATCTGGTCGAGCGTCTGACGCTGGAGCATTGCTGACATGACCATGATCTTCACGCTCTTCGTCAAAGTATCGGCGGCGTTCTGAAGAGCGATGCCGTCAGAGATTCCAATCGGCGAAGTCGGCGCAACATCAGTGCGGGCTTGTGCGAGTGCACCTTCGAGTCCCATCATCGCTGGGCCGAGAGCAGAAGCACTGTTGGGGTCGGGGGTCAGAGCCTGATATCATGTTAGTCAATTGGACTACTCAATTGGAAGTGTAAACATTCAGTGCCCATTCTCGAAGTTAACTTACTCTGATGGCTGTATCCAAGTTCGATGATGCCACTGAAATGGACACGAACGCCCCCTGAATTGTTTGGAGGTCTCTCTTTTGGACGTCATTTGCTGGCGCCGCAGCCACAGTGCTGAGCACCAATGAGCCCACGACAAAAAAAGCTCTCATCCTCACGACCTTCGCTGACCAGAGCGAGAGAGATTGAGGGAGAAATGAGTGAAACGAGATCGGAATCAAACAGAAGAGATGGACAGGTGCCAGACCGGATTAACAAGTCGCTTGGTTCACGTTTACATCTACCAGGGGGCATCAAGGTCTTTTATGAAAATATAACGAACCAGACGTTTAAGATGTTGGGATGTTTCCCACGCCGGACGACGTCCCAAAGATCTGGGTCTCGCCGGCAGCCGGTTGGAGTGGACGTATCTGGTAGAGCTTGCTGTGAGCGCTTCAGATCTTGCGACGCTGCGGCATCCGTCCCCTGCTAGTAGACAATCGCGAAGATCCCGTCATACGAACAAGGCCCACACCAAACCATCTGGAGCTGATCCAAACGCCCGGGTCAGGTTCTGGCCTTGAGGAACTCCCGTTTGAGGGAATCACGGAGGTCCGATCAAGGTCGTAGATGGGATGAAACGCCGTCGCGGGTCACAGTTGCCTTGACAGCCTGCCAATTCGGGGAACTGGCAGGAGAGTCTGAGGGCTTACTTGGAGACGGAAGTCTGTGCGATTTCTTTATACGGCGTAGAGCAAATAAAGATGGTGATGGCGAGTGCGATCAGTAGACTGGCTTCTGTTGCGGGAAGCCTAGCTGGGTCATCGATTGTGTGCATGACCAGCCGGGCGGGCTGCCGAAGTTTATTGAACGTGCTTACCTGACGACATTATGAGGCTGAAGTTGAGATCTTTTGATCGGAGAGGAGATTACTGCCGACCTGCGACGGCCGTTGATGAGAAGCCGGCTCCGAATGGGAAGAGATTGTCACCGGCAGGATGACCCGCTGTAGCGAGAAATTAGAAACCGGCTCCGTGTGGTAAGGATGAGAGTGGTTCGATTGTCAGTGTTCAGGGCTGCTTGGCTCCCTCAGAAGCGAGACCGAGCTACGCTGGCTTATTTGATGCTGCCTCTCCCGCCAGTAGATTCCTGTGAGTTTGAGACGGTAATACTTTAAGTCATGCCCTTCGAAGGAACTCAAGAAAGCCGTTGCGCTCTTTCGATCCAGGGTATAATAACGCTCAAAAGCACTCACCCTAGGCTTAACCATTTACTACAGATGTTTGCTTGCTTACTAACTTCGGGCAACGGGGGTTCACACCCATTCGTTCACGCCCGTCCGTACATACAATCACAATGGCAAAAGAGGCTGCATAACCTAAGCGGATGCTACGAAAGTAGACGACTCGTTTCTGGTCGTGCCTCAAGAGGTGGAGGATATGACCAACACTAGCATCGCATACTCAGCTGTTGACAGAAACCACGCAGCATATCTGAAAATGCTTCACATGTGAAGCAGGCAGCGTTTTCAAAAGGTCTAAGTAGGAATGGACTATGTTTGAAAACTCGATGAGTATTGAGCATGCTTACCACCTATAATACTGCCTTGCACAAGAGAACAAACAGTAAGGCATGCGAAAGAGAAACAAGGCAGGGAAATAATATGTAGATAAACCGCGGCCTTCCTCAACCCTGGAGAGACACGCCACCAGAATGTTCAGCATGGCCATAGCCTGCCCAATCGTCTTCATCTGTCTCTTGTTCCTCTGCTTCTGAGTAGATGCTCCGGGCTTCTTCTGATAAGGATTGAAAATCGTCCATGTCGGCTGGGTTCACGAGAGTTAGGTCTCCCAATGCGGACGCTAGCCCATCCGTGTTTGGCCGATCATTGGTTTCCAGCGACTGATGTGTTGGGTAAGAAGAGTGAGTGTCTGAGTCAAATCTCTTGCCATCGGATATTTTCTCTCTTAAAGCGCGAAGTGCATCCTCTCTAATCTTGCTGATGACCTTGTCGAGCAGGTCGTCTCTCTCGTTCGCTTCAGCCAAGTCGTTGGCAAAAAGATTTGGGATAGTCCAATTTGAGTAGACATTCTTGTGTCCGGGCCGAACTTGGATGTCCGTATTATGAGCAGCGAAGTAATATTCGCACAGCCGGCAGGTGGGTTTACTGCAGCCTATATATCTCACATCGTCGAAGAACGGGATGTGATGGCGATCTCGGCCATATTCTCGACCGAGAAATTGCAATAACAAGATTTCGCAATGTACTATGGGTTTAAAAGACGTCTTTTGGCACTGGTGCATGATAGACTCATCCAAGCCACAGGCCTGAAGAGCTTTGGCCTGTTCGAGAGTCGTATCACGTTCTGCCGAGTTTCTCATCAATCTCCGAATAATGTTGTCTGCTGAACGCCTTTTTTTCTGCGTATTCACACGCATATGGCTTTGGAGGGTGTCCATCGGGTTGTTCATGGGTATACTTGACGGCAGCCAAATTATTTCGAAGTTTTCGAACAAGTCTGGGTGAAGCCGTCTACGGCCGGAGACGATGGCCCGAACAGCACCATGATACGAAGAAAGTCGTCCGATGAAGTGCTGTAGCTCACACCAGCGCTCAGACTCGTCGAAGCGTCCTTCCCTGGCTCTTTCAACGACCGATTCGTACATCGGACTTTTGCGGAAGGCCTTTACGGTTAAAATTAGATGTTCGAAATGGCAAGCGGCTGCATTGGCATACGGGGTCGGCTCAGCAATTCTCTTCGAAATATGGAAAGCCTAGACCAGACTTACACTCTTCGCTGTCATCCAAAGAGACCTCGGGCTTGATCAAAACCTGGAAATGCTCTAGCTCATCAAGGAGAGGTTTCCCTGGAGAAACAGCTTTTCGAAGATTAGCTGAGTACCTCAGTTGAATAACGCAGACGCCGTTAGCCTGATTAATGGAAAACATACCCGCATCCAAGGACCTAGTCTTCAACTCTTCAATGCATTGATCCAGTCGTTGGTTAAGTCTCGATTCATAGAGAGTAACTCGCTGCGTATGAAATAGGAGTATGCTTCGAAGAAGTTCGCGAAAGACTGGGGATCGATCATCGTCTCTAACGTCGGCGCGTGTCTGTAGAGCCATCTTGTCAAGAAGCTTTCGGATGGTTATCACTGCAGACTGAGCATCTTCAGGGCTTCGCTGGTTGGATGTAATGATGTACTGAATCTTGTCGGGCTTTTGGATGATGGCGAGTGCTGTGATTGTGGACCCGAACGGTTGGTTATCACATATCTGAGCCAATTTGTTGCTGAAGAACTCAAGACTTGTGCGAGAATTGCCACCAAGCTCGCCTGTTTCAGAAGACTGCCGATATCGTCCATTTTGCATCCTCTTACAAGCCTCAATTAGGCCACATAGCAATACCAAAGCCTCGTACAACCAAGTCAACCGGTCACGGAGCTTGACAGTGAGGACACCGATACCTTCCACATCCACGGTTCCTTTCGAACCAAAGTATCAGCGCACAGCTCCCGCAGGAACAGGGAATCTCTTACGTTGATTCCTCGCGCGAAACGGTGAGGCCATGGAGATGGGCTCGTCTTCCGCCATCATCGGCAGGTCCGATAGGGGGTGTCACTAGCAACGGGCGCAGCAGTGACCGTAGTAACACATTAAGGATATTGAATGGGAATATCAGATCTTTCTAGAAGTGCTTTGAATTTAAGGCTTGGACCGAGTGAGCCAAAAAGCTCAATTGCTCTTACGCAGGGCAACTTAGTCTGCCAGAAACCAGCCCTAGGTTGCTTACCTTAGGTAAAGTAACACGAAGGCGACACGGCGAAAGGAAGCTGGAAGCATTGAGTTCACTGGAAAGGAAATACATCCAATCAAGCCTGGTTGTCGATGCGTCATGCATGTTGATGCAAGGGTGATGCGGGACGAAATCACCAATATGGGATACGTGGTGACCATCAACCACTCAGCTCGCCTGTTGGTCACACTTGAGGTCGTCTTTTCTGCCCTAAGTGACACCGCCTCAAAACTTCCAAGAGTTCATCGGCATTATGATTGGCTCTGGATGTATTAGCAAAATGCGTCCTCGGCAGCTAGAGTCGGAGGACGACCATTTGTGGCGTTCCAAGGCGGATGACTCGATCATCGGCAAATGGGGATGCGACAATTATCATCACCGAGACTGCTAACAGTCCTTGAAAACAGAGATGTCTGATATGCTGGACTAGATGCCTGCGCTTAGACTTCAAGCTACCCTTAGCAGATGTATGCATGGCAGCCCCAACACTTCAAAGTTTATCAATGCACCTCTTAACAGTTGAGGTGTCTAAGGTAGCTAGAGTAAGTAGACTTCTTGCTGCTATTTGATGCATGAGATCTTAGCCCGTTCAAGAACTCGTAAGGCCTGCACCGCAAGCCGCTGTAGCCATGGTATGAAAAAGAAATGTCGGGACGTTCACTCAGCATCCACATTCCTATATTATGTGCGACTCGCCCTGTGTAGTATGCTCAACTTACTTGTACGGCCGGCTCTCACTGCAACTTCAGAGTTTCTCACTGGTGTGTTCAATGCTCGAAGAACGTCTTTGCGACAGAGCCTTCGCGAAATTTACACGACGGTCTAGCCTTGCGAATCTTCACCCTTTCTCTTTGCTACCCCACCTCTTCGAACAAAACCAATCAAGGATTGTCACGGACAGTCGAAGTAGCGGCTGGTTAGTTCAAATCCCGGTTCCCATTCTTCAGGTCAGGTTAGGTGTGTAAGGCAAGGAAGGACCTAGCGGATCGCCTGCGGGAGGCCCTTGCGAGAGACAGGCTGGCGTGCCGTCCAATCTCTTTTGCCATTACTACCTAGTCTACATGTAGGGTGTGCAGAGCTGTAAGGCTTCGTTCTCTGGTCGCTTGGTGTTACCTACGTCAAGCGAAGGAAATTGCTGACTAGTAAGTGTTCTGCAGTTTCAACAGGGCCGGCTCAATTCGATCTTAGCATGATGTGCAATATCGACCAGGATGCTCCTCACGACTCTGAACCCTTCGAACAAAACGACCTGGGGTGGTTCCATATTGGAGATGAGGGTTCTTCCAATGCCATTGAACCGCCTTCTCAAGATAGGAGCCTTCACTTGAACATCCTACTGTCCAGTGGACCAAGTGATGACTACCAAAGCCCCCTTATGTCATCTGACCACACTCCGAGAACCACATCTTCAGAACATTAGGCTTCTGAAGGTGGATTGTCACAAACCGAGGCTCATTGTCTCAGCCTGCGGCACTCAAAAGTTCCAGAAGGGTGGGAGCTACAAGATCAAGAGGCAATGAACTTGGCTCTACGGGTATTGGAGGAAACCAAGTTTGGATGCCACTTCTGTCCCATGGGGTTTCCTAAGAAGTACATGCTCAAGTAAGTCGTGAAGCCCCAAACCCTCGGTCACGTTATGCAGCAGAGCTGATTATGGTCCAGCAAACATCTAAAAACTCACACGAAGCCAGTCAAGTGCCTCGTTCACATGCCCAGGGCCGTCCCTGATCGCTGCTCCGAAGGATTTACCGACAAAAGGGAGCTCAACCGCCACCGTAACACAGCCCATGGGAGGGTTGAAGAATGGTATTATTGCCCTCGTTGTGGGAAAAGGTTGGCAAGGCCGGACTACGTTACGCGTCATCTCAAAAAGTCGTGCTCAATCACAAAAGGTGGCAAATAGGCGCCCGGGGAAGGGCGAGTCTTGGTGCTGGGCTTCATGCTTCTTGAGTTACTTTGCTTCGTGGTTTTCTTTTTCCGACTTCATTCTTCATTCTCGCCGGACCCGCGCTGCTATTTCATTCCTTGATTGACATTCCCCGCAAGCAGTCTTGGCAGTCTTTCCCTGATGAGAATTCAGGACGCCGGTCGATCACTTGTCCGCATACTGGCCCCAACACTCTTTAGAACCCGTAGCATTGATTCAATAGCTCTTACAACCTCCCTCAGAGATACGTTGTGTTCTTCTTGTTGATTCGTGATCTGAACAGTCAACCATTCGACGCAGGAAGGAAGCAAACCCCACCACCTCACTGCCTGCACCAAGACGCATTTTGACGAACATGCCCTCGATCCGGGCCTCTGGTAGCTCGTACTAGCAACAACGTTAATCTAGTTAATGTTAGCGCTAAGATAGCCGCGAGCGGACAATCGCATGGCATGATGCGCATCATTTTGGGCAGTGATCATGACCACTCATTGGATGGAGCCGAGAGCGGAAAGATCATGTCTCAGGACTGGCCAGTTCATTGGTCGTGCAGGAATGTCAACTCCCATCGTCAGATGAGCGCCGAGAGCCCGAGACGCCAGCCGCAAACAGATGTGTAGAAGTAAACAGAGGCTGCTTTTGATGCTATGATATGTGGCGAAATGGAAACATGGTCAACAAACCTTCAAAATCACTCATTCCAATGTTGCGGATCTTAAATAGCGGGGTTTGCCCGTGGGAGCCAAGGGCCCTGTTGCTCCATCGCCTCAAGGATTTCTTGACCAAAGATCAAAGATGAAGTGGACTGCTTCCCTAACAATTGCGCTTGCCGCGGTGCGGCAGGTTGCTGCTACGAACTCAACATCATGCACCCCGAGGCTGATCAGCTACTGGATCAACGCCAACGCCTCCATCTCAACCGTCGAGTCGGTCGATGCGGGCAACGGCTTCTCCGAGGAGGGCAACGTCGCTTTTCCGGGTAACGTCACGAACTTGCCTAGTCTCTGCGCCGTGAGCTTCATCGCAAAGACATCAGAAGGAAATGAGTACAAGTTTGCCATGTTCCTGCCAGACGAGTGGAACAACAAGATCCTCACGGTGGGCAATGATGGCTTTTCGGGAGGCGTTAACGCTCCGGCCATGGCTGTCGGCGTCAAGTACGGCTTCGTCACACTCGGAACCGATGCTGGCCACAACTCTACCCAGAACAACCTTACCTGGGCGCTGAACAACAATGGTGCCAAGCTGGACTACGGACACAGGGCACTGCACAACTCTCTGGCGCTGGCTCAGAGAGTTGTCGAGAAGTACTACGGTCTGGCCCCTACAGCGTCCTACTTCTCCGGCACGTCAGATGGTGGTCGACAGGGTCTCAAGGCGGCTGAGCTGTACCCTCGCGACTTCTCGGCGCTCTTGATCGGTGCCCCGGCTTGGTGGCAAAGCCATTTACAAAGCTGGAGGATCGCGATTGGTACCACCAACCTGCCCACCGATAACGCGAAGCATATCCCATCAGAGAAGTTCACCGTGATTGGCGATGCCGTCAGGAAGCAGTGCGATGCTGCGGACGGAGTCGAGGACAGCATTGTCAGCGATCCCGCCAACTGCACTATCGACTATGACCTCTTCACCTGCGGCAAAGACGGTGTTGACGCAACAGCTTGTCTGTCCGCTGAGCAAGTCACCGTCGCTCAGGCGCTGTACGCCGACTACAAGGTCAACGACGAAACTGTCTTCCCTGGCGTCAGCCCCTCCTCCGAATACGGATGGGGATCGCTGCTGGGTGGCGGTAATGGTTCTGAGCCGAACGAGGTGGCCGTCGGCTACATGAAGTACTTCCTCTTCAATGACGCGGAGTGGGCGTGGTCAAGCTACAACGAGACTGTCCCCGCGTACGCCAACGAAACGAACCCTGGTGAACTCGATGTCAACACCTTCAACCTGACCAAGTTCTCCAGTCTCGGCGGCAAGATCATCATGTACCACGGCCTGTCCGATGCTGATGTTCCAGCCAAGGCATCGCAAGTTTACTACGACAAGGTTGTTGCGCAGTCCGGCGGCGACGTCGAGGCCGTTCGCGCTTGGTTCCGTCTCTTCTTCCTCCCAGGACTGGGCCACGAGACCACAACCGTCGACGCGCCTTGGTACATTGCTGGACCGGGACAGGCGGAACAGCTGCTCGGCGGTGGCAACTACTCGGTGCCAGGCTATTCCGACGCGACACACGATGCGCTTCTTGCGCTCCAGCAGTGGGTTGACGGCGGTGCCGCGCCGGACTCGCTCATTGCGACAACGTGGAAGAATGCGACTGATCCGACGACTGAGGTCCTAAGGCAGAGGCCGATTTGCCCGTACCCGTCAACGCAAAAGTTCACCAGCGGTGGTGATCAGTCAAAGGCTGAGAGTTTCACGTGTTCAACTTAGAGACGCAGGGAATTGATGGCATTTAGTTGAAGAGACTGGTCAAAAAGACAGCGGCAGGCGATTGTGGGCAGCCGGAAGCGGCGTTAGGAGCTAGAGTACTGCATAATAGCAATAATGTTTAATGTGATATAGTGTGGATAGGAGTCTCCAGTTCCTATATTTCACGTTTAACTAAATATCAACTCGTGTCTGCACCACGTGACCCCGCGCCAGTTTGCTGACAACGCAGCCAGAGAGATCCGACGCGTCGCCACTTTGCAACCATCAAAGCCATGCGAATGGAGGGGCATCATCAATCCTCACCCATGTGACGTGAAACTATCAGCACCGGCAATATACTCCACCAACACATACGGCACTGACTAAGGAGACATGCCTTTCACGATAGTTGCTCCGGCATCTCTATACGCTTCTCTTTCAACGTTGTCCATCATTTCACGATGACGGCATCGGCGACGTCCCCGCCGTCCCTCGACGAGGTGCTGGAAGATGCCCATGGGGAGTTAGAGCATGACACTCTCAAATACTCCCTTTTGGGTCCATCCCTTACAAAAGCTGGGCAGGATGCTGTCGACCAGTCTAAGGTATGTCTCCAGCCTGCACTATGGCGGGGTGCCAATATCCCTAACAGTGGCCTGTCAGGTGTCCGAGATCATCTACAATGCCTCGAAAGGATCAAAATTCTTCAATCGTGAAGAAGAACGCGACAAAACCTTGACAAAAAAGATTGAACAGATCCTCGAAAAGAAACGCCACCTCGAGAAGCAAGACCTCAGTCGAGAGCGTCGTCTCGCTGACCAGCTCATCACACAGTTGGAGATGTCCCGAGATCTGACTCAATACATCGTGCATGTCGACTGCGATGCGTTTTATGCTGCCGTCGAACTCCTAGACCGACCCGAACTCAAAGATATCCCCTTCGCTGTTGGCGGCGGTGTTCTGACGACGTGTAATTACGTTGCGCGAAAGTATGGATGTCGGAGCGGGATGGCTGGATTCGTCGCCAAGAAGCTATGTCCCGAACTGGTCCTGCTCAAGCTCAACTTTGAGAAGTACACGGCCAAGGCACACGAGATCCGCGAGATCCTAGTCGAATACGACCCTCGATTCGAGAGCGCGAGTATTGACGAGGCGTACTTGAATATCACGGAATACTGCACGAATAAGGGTATTGAGCCGGCCGAAGCCGTGGAGCAGATGCGGCGAGAGGTCCACGAGAGAACCAAGATCACAGTATCAGCGGGTATCGCAGCAAATGCGAAGCTTGCCAAGATCTGTTCAAACATGAATAAGCCCAACGGCCAGTTCGTTCTGCCAAATGATCGAGGCGAAATCTTGCGTTTCATGGCGAAGCTCCCCCCCAGAAAGGTCAATGGCGTTGGTCGTGTACTTGAGCGGCAGTTGGCCGAAATTGGTATCAAGACTTGCGCAGACATCTACCCTTATCGCCAATTCCTCCGACCGCTCTTTGGCGACAAGGCGTACGAATTCCTGATTAATGTCTATCTCGGCCTAGGGCGCACCAAAATTCAGCCGGCAGAGGAGTACGAGAGGAAGAGTGTCGGCACCGAGAGCACTTTCAAGGATATGTCTGATCCCCAGCAATTGAGAGAAAAGCTGAAGTGGACTGCGGAGGAGCTGGAGAAGGATATGAAGAGGGCAGAAGTCAAGGGTCGCACGCTGGTTCTCAAGGTGAAGCTTCACACGTACGAGGTCTTTACGCGACAAATCGTGTTACCGAGAGCAATATGTCTGGCTGACGACCTTTATCATTTCTCCGTTCCCATCTTGGCCAAGTTGGAGGAGGAAATGCCAGGGATGATGCTGCGCCTAATGGGCCTACGATGCACACACCTTGTCAGCACGAAGAAGCCAGATACGATGGCATTCTTTGGTTTCAGATCACGAAGACCTGATGGCCTGACATCACCCCAGAAGGACCCCAGGCCTGTGCACCCTGGAGCCAGCGGTGAACTTGACGATGACGGCTGGGAGCGGTGGCCTGAAGCAGAATTTTTGGGGCTTGGCAATCATGAGGATTTCCAAGCAGTTGACATCGAGAGCGATGGTACGAACATCGACAGCGAGCCAAGCCCAGCTAGAAGACACGGCAAGGAGATTCTACCGAACCCTGTACCGGAATACGCACCCGTCAACGATGAGATGTGGGATTGCCCAATTTGCAATCGCCCACAAGCGCCGGATGAGCGGCAGTTCAACGAGCACATCGACCTTTGCCTCTCAAGACAGACCATTCGCGAAGCCGTGCACGAGGACATCCCCCCTGCGCAGCCCTCGAGGTCGACGACGCCAGACGCAAAGAAGGTCAAGGTCGGTGGAGAAAAGAAACGCGGCAGACCACCCGCGAGACCGCCGAGTGACGACCCACGGCAGAAGAAGCTTTGTTTTGGATGAGCCGTGATGACAACCCGAGCTAGATGATACCCGTAATATTACATGATCTCAATAGCTTTTGCCGGGCGTGGAGAGGCCTCGTCACCCCACCTCGCCTTTGTCTGCCACGAGTCGCACCTGGTACCCCGGATGGCGACTCACTTCTTCCTTCTGGGCAATCCTGTTACTCACACTATCCGCCATTATCACATACAGACATCCTTGAACACAACAACTGCAGAAAAGTTCTCAAGTTGAGGTGGCACGTGGGTGGCAAAAGCCGGCGAACATTTCGCTCCGGGGACCTGCAGGTTCATGTCCGCGCTAGCTAGCGCGCGATGAGGACGCCACGGCTCCTTTAGCCTCCAACGCTTGGGTCTTTCGTGATCCAATGAAGCAAGGCATCGAGAGAGGTCCTATGAAACTTTCCAATCCATGCGTTGGATTCCTCACAGATCGACAGGAGTGATCTCGCTTCTTAGATAGATCCATTGTCTTCTTGTGCGCCTCTTCGCGGATAAGCATCTAAGATCTGAGATATTTTTCTCCGTGCGTCTATCGGGGACCACGATTCTTTCTTTGAACGCATGAGGCTTACGTTGGTCCGAAGGCATGCCGTTGCAATTTATCCAACCGGGCCGGAAAACGGCGCAACGCCGTGCCCTCTCACGAGGGCTTACTTGCAGGATCCTCCCACGGGCAATCATGGCGCCAACGTTGCAAACAAGTGAACAGTGACGCCTGACCAAAAAGCAACATGACGTTGGAACTTTGGGCTGGCTGTTGTAAGGGAGAGTGACCCAGAACCACGTGTGGAGGCTCGTGGATAGGATTCAGAGCAGCCACTTGTATCACAATGGATAATTTCCTCCCTTTTTTCTGGATTGGTCGGCCGATGGCTCTCACTTGCACGGTATCAGAAATCAGAAAACAGAAGCTTTCTATGTTGGCTGAGAGTCTCATGAGGTCTCCCTGCGCTCGTTCCCCGACAGAGTCAGCACACATCGTGAGATTCGGACCATGGGCAAGACTTTACGCAGCTGGCCAGGGCCCTAACACTCATCACACCAGTTCGTGTCTGCAGTCAGTGTCTCATTCTCGTTCAGCAGTGACAACCTCGAGATCAAGAGAACCGTGCGCCGGCGTTATCTCAGATAAAGCAATGTTTTCTCTTGACAGGTCCGATTCAGCGACTCATGAATCCTCACACTATCCAAGGCTCTAATGATTCGCTTAGAGATCTGCGATGACGCTTTGTCTTGCGGATCTTACGCCGGTCAGCGGACTGGCTACTGGCTGAATCGCTAGGCGACATGGACCCCAAGTAAAACCACGACGACGGCCAAACATAACGTTACCCAGCATGGCTCAGCTCTACGAGAGTCCGGCTCCTGGTTAGCGTCCGGAAGAGAGACGTCCCTTAACACTAGCGCCAGCGACCTGCTTTTGCACGCAAAAGCTTATGCAACCGACGATCCACACTGGAAGCCATCGTCTAAAACTGCGACTATTGCTTGCACCCTCCCACTCATACCGAGGGCGGCGCCTGTGAGGGGATGCAGCCGTGCTCCCTTGCGTTGCAGTTTCACTTCAACGGCCCCCAGCTCGGGCCATGAAGCCTGGCCATTTCCTTTCAGACCAGCAACTGACAGGACTCGGCGTTCAACTCGTCTTCAAATTCTCCCTGCGTTGAGCAGACTTTCGAGATGTGATCGACATCGAGGGCCAGCGCTATTGTTGATGTAAACAGGGATCTGCGCGACGGTGCGCCGGCTTCACCACCGCGTTTGGCTTACCTCGAAAAAGCACGATGGGTTCGCCCAAAGTCTTCTAGAGTGGTTTCTGGCTGGTGAATCACGGGTGTGACTGGGAAAGCACTTTCGCATTCCTCGAGGAACCTTGTTTTCCAGCCCCATCTGCATTCCACCATATAACCAAGACCTTCCTCGGATTTTGAACATGGAGAATATCTAGCTCTATTTCCTACGCTCCTTTTCTGCTCGCCAGACGGCAGCTTCGCACATTACTATTAGATCTTGAGTCAACGACAGAGAGATCGGTCATTATGGAGTCAAGTGCAGAGGCTACGTCTACACCAACTGCCGCAGCAGCGGCGCCTGCGTTCAACACTGCGCCAGTTGCGGTCTTCTGGCTTGCCTGGGGTGGGTTTTGGACAGTGCTTTTGCTCTGCGGTATGGCATTTCTCTTTGTCAACCGCAAAATGCCCTTTCTGAGGATCCGCGGTCTGGCTTTGTCGTTTGGCGCTGTCACTATGCTCCACCTCTACTGGCTTTCGGTGCAGATCGGGCTTGCCATCGGCCAGTTCGTCCCCGATGGCGCCGAGTTTTGGGTGATGGGCCTCTACCTCCCCTTCGGCATTGCTCTTTTCCACGCTTCCAACAGCCGGTTCCTCCACATCGCCAAGGCGCAGCGGAAATATGCAGATAAGCCGCTCACACAGTCCAACCCCCAGTTGGACACCAGCAACGGGCCGGACAAGACCCTGACGGGGAAATTCCGGAAGCTCGATTACACCACCAAGATGCTAGCCGTCGTGTGCACGGGCATGCTTGTCCAAGTGAGTTGATGCAGGGTCAGATGGCGGTGCATGTTTGACAGTTGACACTTGATGGCTGACGTGCTTCATCATCAGCTTCTTCTAACAGTGGTCATGTATCTGGTCTCGCGAAAATATCACCCGTCGTTTGGTATCCCCGGCACTGAAGTGACGGGAACTCCAGCGCAGCAAAAAGTCGAGATGGGTAGGGGCTGGGAATGGTGGCCTTCTGTATTTTGGCAATTTCTCTGGGCTTGGCTGGTCGCACCTGTGATTCTCTGGAAATCACGGGGAATCCAGGACACACAAGGGTGGCGTCTGCAGACCATTGCATGTTCTATCGCAAGGTGAGTTGAAATCCAGGTTAGCGCTTTGCCGCTTCTCCGTGACAAATCCCCCGAGCCAACACTAACGAGTTCAGCCTTCACGCTACCCCTATGTGGCTTGTCGCCTTGTACGTCCCAGCGATGGCGCCCGTCAATGCCTACTTTATCCCCCCGCAGTGGTAAGTTATATGAAGCAACGCATGGACTTGTTCTTCTTCCCGAGCTCGATGTTGACTTACTGGTAGGATCTGCCTCTCCATCACCTTCATTGAAATCTTTGCAATCTTCATTCCCTGCTGGCAAGTCGTCAAACATAAGACTCTTAGGCAGGAAACGCTCGAGTCCATCGCTGTTTGGGAAGCCAAGAACAAGTCACGCGCCGGGAGAGACTCTGTCATCACCGGATCGACCAAGGTCGGCAGCCAAGCTTCCGTCAGTTGGAAATCGCTTGCACAGCTCGAGAAGGATACCAGTCAAGCAGAAAGTGTCTACACGATGGGTGCCCTCGAGTACGTCTTGGACAAGAACCCCGAGCCCCTCCGCAAGTTCTCTGCCCTCAGAGACTTCTCCGGCGAGAATATTGCCTTCCTGTCAGCCGTTGCCGAATGGAAGTCATCAATCCCTCAGAGCCCTGGATCATCACATCGATCAGCCGAGATCTCACGGGAACGTTTCAACCGTGCCCTGCGCATCTACACCGAGTTCATCAGCCCTTACCACGCCGAGTTCCAGATCAACATCGCATCACAGGACTTGAAGCGGTTAGAAGGCGTCTTCGAAGGCGCAGCTAGAATACTATACGGCGACCGAACGGAACGCTTCAGCGACCCTGTAGTGCCATTCGAGGATAACAGCTGGGGTGGACCTGAGTCAACAGCGGGTGGCTCTAAGATGAGCTGCGTATCACGAGACGGTAGCGGTGACCCCATTGCGGATCGGGTGCAGTACTGGGGCGAGATCCCCGAGGCTTTCAACGCTGCTGTCTTCGACGACGCGGAGTCGAGCATCAAGTACCTTGTCCTCACCAACACGTGGCCCAAGTTCGTCAAGGAGAGGAGGTACTCACTAGACTCTGAGGACTCTGGGGAGACGGTCGAGACATTTCAGTCATCGTCAACATTGTCGTCACGGGTCAAGAAGTACTTCCGTACCATGAAGGTCGTGGTATGATCTTGGAGGACACGAGGCAAGGCACGGCATTGGTTGTTTTCTCTTTCCTTTTTCCTGCGATGATATCCCCAGTCTGCATGAGTTTCCTATACCAATTTGTAATTCACCATCACCACAAAAGCCAACATCAATGCCAAAGTCACTGCCATGCACCATATTCTCCCATCGCAAGATGCATGCAGCGTGTTGTGGAATCTGAGACAGAATCGAGATCCATCCACGTGTGCTCTGTCTCCGTAACCTTACTGCTGTGGAATTCCATCAGCAAGCCAAACTCCGTGGAACCACACCTTCTGTGCCTTTGTCCACCTCCATGCTATGGTCTACTCGTGCACAGCCATGTGGCGAACGTTTAGATCCGGGATCGCCACGCCACGGGCCGGGGCACAAACAAAGGCGGAGCGGGCGTTGGAGGCAGTCGACTTCGGCATGTCGTGGACACGAGGACGGGATCACTTATGATCTTGTCGCTGCGGGAGATGCCGCTGTGGATGGAGAGGGAAGAATCATCGTAGAAGGGTTCAAGCTTTCAAGATCGATGGCGCCAAGGTTAATGGGTCGCGGAAGACGGTTGAGTATTGGTCTCTATCGGTGTCGCCTTTCCCGTGTGTATCTCCGCTAAGCGGACTGGCTTCAGACTTGACTTTAGACTCCGATCAAGGTTTGCATCGTCGCGCATGTCTTACCCCAAACGCCAAAGACGGGGACTTTTACTTCGATGCTTCTCAACCTATGGCTTTTCTTCCATAGCGATATTCAAAGAGGTATGCAATTGAAGGCTAATAATTGCGTGCGTATCGTCATACTTGTGATTCCGCTTCCGGATGTTCGGAGTCTGTGAGACAGTAACACCAACTCAAAAAGTCTCGGTCTAGCCGTGTGTAACTGTAACCATGATTCATGGAATCCAAGAATTTTCCCCAACTTTTGGTAACGTTCGCAGATTGGCGGACATTGGGAGTCTTCAGTATTTGGCTTCCCAAGTGATGGTAAAAATCGGTTCGATGTATGTTACCGGCGGCCCGCCGGGCGGCTGTCATCCATAATCCCGTAGCGGCCGGGAGTGTGCTCAACCTGCACCACGGCCGCTCGGGATGATTACATATACCACCAGCTCATGCGTTATGTTTAAGGTTCCAGGTTGTCTAAAAGAAAGGTTTTAACTCTGTGGATGAACATGGTTTGTGGCGATGGTAGAAACGGGTCGGGCTTGTCCAGTGTAAGGTAAGCATTTTTTTCTTCGGCGGCGAATTGATAGACTTTCAGGTAGAACTAGCTGCGCAACCTGACCGTAACTGTACTGATCGACCATAAATCAATCCATGTTGACTCTTAGAAATGCACTTGATGAGTCTTTGAGGACCCTACACTAGATGAATACCTATAGTCGTTTGCCATTCAATAACCTTAGAGTGATTGGATTAGTTTTCAATACACATCTTCAACGGACCATAACATCAGAGACGCACGCCACGATCTAGGGTCTTCGTCCTTCGTACAGATCGTCCAATCGCCAGAAAGAGAAATACTATGACAAGGAGGAAACCCCCAAACGGGACCTTGCATGGCACTCGAAACGTCCCCTCGTGCCCCTCCCGGCCGTCATTGCCAACATCGGGGGCCGGTGAGGCCACGAGTGGACACCCTGCCAGCGCCGAGACCGAATCGGGTGCCGCGGCGACCGCTGTGCCGCTGTTTTGCAGTGTTAGTGCTCACTCCCGTCCCCGTTCTTCAGCAGGGAAGGCAGCGCCAAGAGCATCAACTTTCATCCGAAGCTTACCTCCAATGGATGGCAGACTCCGCGCGGCCTTATGCACGTCAATATTGGAGATACAAAACTGTCGCGATTCGACGTTGTTGAAGCAGTTCATTGTGCCGCTGAGTCATTATCTCATTCTGAGGATCTCATCCGCACAACTCGAACCAGACTGCCTATCGCAAGAGAATATCGATAATCGACGCCATGGCGGGACTCGCCGTATATGCGGCCATCGTCGCTGCTATCGCCATCTCCATTCGCCTCTTCTACCTTCGACTCTTACCTAGGCCGATCGCTGGTGGACCGCCATTCAACCTCGATTCTGCTAAGCGAATCCTAGGAGATGCACCGTACTTCATCGAGCTCGACAATGCGGGGGAATACTGGCTCAAGTTCTTCACACAGCTGCTATCCAAGCACAACACCCCCATTGCCCAATTCTTCCCCGGACCTCTCGATAGGACGCACATCGTCATTTCTGATTATCGCGAGGCTCGTGACTTGATGTCGAAGCGGGGCAAGGATCTAGGCCGTGGAGTTACCAACGATATCACTTGGAACAGCGTGATTCCCGGGCACTTCATTTCTATGGAAGATTCGCATCCTTCTTTCAAGGACACCAAGTTCCTGACTAAAGACCTTATGACGCCAAGCTTCTTACATGGTGTATGATAACTCCCGTAATTGGATGACTTGAAATTGAGGGGTGTGATGCTGACAGGGTGCAGGTGTCGGCGCCAGCTTCGCACAAGATGGTTCACAAATTCATAGAGCTATGGAAGACCAAAGCCGCCACCGCTCAGGGCCGGCCTTTTGAGGCAGACGCCGATCTCGAGGCTTTTACCTACGACATCATGAACGCCGCGGCTTTTGGCACCTCTGTGGAAAATAGCTACACACAGGAGAGGCTCTTGCTGCTTCCCTCACCACACGGATCCGAATTGCCCAAGTCTGACGTCTCACAAATTGCTGAGTTCCCGAAACCCTTTCCACCACCGCTTCTTTTCGCCCTGAACACTCTCAACGAAAGAATTAACGGCGCCTTCCGCGCACTCATCCCCAAGCTCTTCTTTCTCTACGACAATAATCGACCGACTATCCGCCGGGCATTTGGCTTGAAGAAAAGCATCCTCCAGTCTCACATTGACCGCTCCGTCGAGAAGTTGTCCCGCAGTGATAGCTCTAAGGAAGAGTTCGCCTCGGCAGTAGACTATATCGTCTCGCGCGAGACTTCAGCGGCAAACGCCGCAGGCCGAGAGCCAGTCTTTAACTCGGCAAGGATACATGATATGATCTGGGGCTACCTCGTCGGCGGGCAGGATTCTACGCACAGCACGCTCTGCTTCACGGTCAAATACCTGGGTATTCACCAAGAAATTCAGTCTAAGCTGCGAGAAGCGCTGCGGCTGGCATACCCAGATGCAGTCTCGGAGAAGCGGGAGCCTACAGTCGACGAGATTACCAAGACCCACGTCCACTATCTCGACGCGTTCATCGAAGAGACTCTGCGCCTGAGCAGTCCCGCCGGAGCCGTCATGAAGGAAACACTCGTCGACATGGACATGTTTGGGTACCGCATACCCAAGGGAACACCGCTCGTCTTTCTCTTGGCGGGGCCAACGGTCTCAGAAGCCGGTGCCAAAGTCGACGAGGCGAAGCGTAGCGAAACATCACAAAAGGTTGCCAACGAAGGCGTCGGGGACTGGGCCCTGACCGAATACCCTCCCGAAGAACTTCACCCAGAGCGCTGGTTGCAGCCCGACGAGAAGGGCGAAATCGTGTTCAACAATAGAGCTGGTCCGTTTATGAGTTTCAGTTATGGCCCGCGAGGATGCTGGGGCAAGAGACTGGCGTATATGGAGTTGAAGTTGATTATTACACTCTTGGTTTGGAACCTGGACTTTATGGGGTTGCCTGCTGAGTTGGAGGATGATGCACTCCTTGAGGGGATCTTCACGAAGCCGAAGTCGTGTCTTGTGAAGTTGAGAAGTTGAGCACTAGGATGCGGAAGGCAATTCTACAGAATCAGGGAGGTCACCAACCAAATGCTAATTATTAGAGGGGAAAGTCGAGTCAATTAGACTGAGGATCAAATTATATAGGCTCGACTGTAGCAGCTCTCTACTCATTCATGCGCTATGAGAATTCACCCTTTACTACTATCGTCGTCTTTGTTTGACATCTCAACTGGCCGGGTCTGGTTGTACTCCCAACACAACAGCATGCAGTCCAAGTCATGCGATTCGATCAATGAGTATATATTTATCAACGCAGCCTATAAAGCCGGCTACATGCAATCAGGTCGCTCCCGTTCAAACGCCATCCTAAATTCCCATCTCTGGTGTGACCTTATCCTCTTTCAAAACGATTTCCCGCTTGCAAGTAAATGTGTGCTTCTGCCAGTGCTATCCCAATCTCAGCGAACAGATGAACCGAAAATTCTTCACCTTTGCAATCTTTCCAAGTCTACATGCAGTCTTCCTGTCCTACACGCCGCGCGGGTTCGTCAACCGACTGTGTCTGCCTCTACAGTCCCCTGCGGGCTGAGTGAAGCTAATTCAGCAAGATAGTAATCACATGCTTCCACCGACAATCCGTTGACGAAATCCCTAATACTCGGGTGCTCGTTGATCGCCCCTGCTCCTTCAGAGTGGTCGACTTGTTGAGTTTGCGAGGTTGGGTTATTTCTCTGGTCTGTCAAGTTGATTTCGTCGTCGATGAATGACGTGGAGGAGTTCTCTTCTTCGGGATCGAGTAAGAATCTCATGGCGTTTCGTATGCTCCTGTTTAGGATAGCCCTGTTTGCGTCACTAATGCCCGCTAGGTAATCGGGTGGGTGGCCAAAAAGGGGTGGTCCGACTTAAAAGATGCCCGTCAGTCACAAATATCTAAATAGGTACCCAGGGTGAACACCACAGGGTCGAGCGAGGAATTGCAAACTTACTCTGCATCCCGAAACCGGGACGATCGTTTCCATACAGCGAACGCCATAGGCTCGAGATGCACGTGATGCGGTGATTCCTGTGCGCATCTTCTGGTCGAGGTCGACTTTGATCGAGCATGCTGATGATGGCGACAAAATGATTCCAGCCCTCAATAGTAAGGCGATAGGTTGGACACTCTTCCAAAACTACTTTTGTCGCTTTAGATTGGTAAGGTTTCAATGCTCTGGACCTTGCGTTATGTCGGCTGGCGATGGCTCCCATGCGGCGTTGTTCAGCGGCCTCCTCATGGATAATAAGGTGTTGGTCGTTAATGTGGACATGTGATTGCCAATTGTGTTGTCTGTTAAACACTGTCAGCCACCATCACATAAGTAGGTACTTAATCCAATAAGTTGAGGCAGAATAAAACAATCCCATACTTCAGATCGCAAGCGCGCGTGAATATACGGCGACAATTTTTGGGTGCCGTTGTACCGTACATCAGAAACACCGCGCAAATCAAGAAGTCCGCCTGTGCGTTGTCTTCAGTTGCCTTGGTATCATTGGAGACAGCAGTGGTGGCAGTTGTGAGAGTCTGTTGGCCGGCGCTAACCGAATCCCTCTGCGTCTGCGCCGCCGTCGACGGCGCTGTCGACGTGCTGGGGCCGGCGGCATGACCGGCGATACCGCCGGTGGTGGTATCGCCGGTGGTGAGAGACTCCTCAATTCCCCTGCGTCCAGAAGGCGGGGTTTGAGTCAGAGACTGGCTCGGGGCGAGGACATTCGTCTGATTCAGCGCCTCCTGAACTCGGGATCGTCGAACGTCTGACCTTTCGAAAGGGATGAAGTCGTCTCCGCGGGGGATTAACTGCGAACAGTAGTATTAGCATCGGTGCTTTACGCAGTGGCGGCCATGCTTCGGATGCTCTTCCCGGAAGGGATGGAGCAACCTTGCACTGAGGGCATCCGATCCCATGGGATGGGGCCGAGATGAGATGAGCGAGAGTGCCGCGAGCTTTAGCGACGGTGTGGAGAAACATGAGATGATGGGCAGGGGAAGCTTGTGTTGCAAGCGCAGATGCATGTTGGAAACAGGAAGGCATCTGAAAGGCATCCGACAAACTCACCAGGTCTCTGCTGCCTTGCCCATTGTCTTCGGCAGACATGTTGGCAGCTCAGAGCCAACTTTGTGAGGTTCGTGATGTGGTTCGCCAGATGGTTTCAATCTTTGGGTATATAATGGAAGGATGAATTGGCTTCGACTTTGGATGAGGGCGCGGGAAAAGAGAGATCTTTGGCTGAGTTGCCAGCGTCCCTCCAGCACAATGGTGCTTTGGAGGTGGTGCGGGGGACGTTATCAGCCCGTTGGGTGGTGGCTTGACGTTCCTTGGCACTACTTTTTCTCCACGAATATTTCATCAGCAAGAATCCAGTCAAGGAAGGATATCTCCACGAGCTTTCCCCTGCGCAAGCTGCTCTGCTCCAGAGCTAGCGACCTCATACCGGAGCAGTGCCTGTATCGGAGGGTATTCTGTACCTTGCATAAGGTAGGTATGGCACCCTTGAGCCGCTGTCACCATTGGTCGTGAAGAAATCGTTGGTTGGGGCTAGTTAAGGCGACCTTATCCCATTTTTCGTGGAGAAATCCAAGTTCGGGGCTAATTAGTGAGCAGAAGATGCCGTCCGACGTCATTGGCAAAGCTCCATGATGCGGTTTTCGCATCGCCTCTTTACAACCACAACAACTCGAAGCCTTTGCAAAACACCTCGACTTAGGAGTTACTCTCTACTCTGATCAAGCTTCGGGCACGAGGAAAGTGAGTACGTACGTACGTATAGCTTGATCGTGTTCAGGGGCTCCGACATAGTGTACTACAGCACCACAATCCCAGCGGTGTCCGGCTCTCTAGCGTACACTACTCCGATGCAAGCCGTTACAAAGCCGACTAAAGAGTCGCGAATTCAACAACGCGCGGCGGCGCACGAATTGTCACCAGCACACCGTGGACTCACCGATTCCGGATCTTGGCTGTTGTTTGTCATTCAATAGTAACAAGAGGCTCAACACCGTAATTCCCGGCTTCGCAACACCATCTTCAGCAACGTCCCTTAGTATGATGGCTCTTGCTCACGTGCAACATCGCCTTTGGTCCTCTAACGTAAGTTGTTGGCGCTCGCGGTGGACATACGGTCCTAGGAACACTTGTCGGCGTAGCTCGAAACACAACGTGTGCTGGACTTGATGCGCGCCTTCGCGCTCTCGCAATTTTTCTACACAATTTGATCCCATCGTGACGTATGACACAGTTACAAATCATGTCATTCTCGGTATCGGTGTCATGTGGTGGTATCCTGCCCAGAATCACGGACTTATTCGTGTTGTCGAGACTCGTTGTCCTCGATTCTGTAGATACGCTCACGAACCCGCTACTGTGGACTTTTCCACACATCTACGTAGATGTCGTAATGATATCCTCGGTAAGTCTGCTCCAACTACCGGTTGACGCATTGTTATAAAGTCTCTGATGCCACTCCTGGAGGGCATTGATGGAACAAACAGACTACACACCAGACTACACACCAGACCACACCATAAATACAGCCTACTTTGCTCGTCAAGAACCATCAAATATCTCAAATCATGGCAACAAAGTCCTGCCTCCTCCTCACTAAATCCTCCGTTTCTACACGCCCTGGTGGCACGATCTTGGCAGCGGCCAACTACGAAGATCCGCAAGGGCTCGTGGAAGCTATCGAAGGCACACTTGAGGCGAACACCAGCAAAGTCAACCACTTTCTCAAGACCAACGTGTTGTGTCTCAAGCCGACTGTGTCGATCGCCACACTTCGCCCGGTAAGCCCTTGCTTGTCCCCATCAGAGTCTATTACCTTCACGATTACTAACAACCAGCAGATCGAAGTTCCCGACCTCACGGCACTTCCCCCCTACAAGGCCTTGATCCGACACTCCGCTCTCGACGAAGCCTTTACTGAGGCGGTGAACAAGCCTCAGTCAATGGATCAGGGGTTCTACACACACATGTTTGAACTCTATGACGATGTCTTTGTGGACATCGACCAGCAGGAGGATCGCATCGTTCTACCCAAGCACGCGCTGCTCATTGAATACAAGATGTCCCCCAAAGCCAAGAAAGTCATTGGAGGGCTGGTTTCGGTGATTGGAGGCTTGATCGTCATTGCAGTCAAAGCTGGGGAGGGATCGGTCAACTGAAGGTCTTCGAACATCACAAGGTTCACCATCAAGTACACAATACACTCCGTCTCCTCCCATCCCTCCTCTACCCCTTGTCTTTTCTTCCTTTCTCTCCTTTCGATACACAGCCCCAGTAACACCAGAACCGCATACCCTACCTTTTTTCCTGTCTCATTTCGTTTGCATTAGATGTAGTCTACAATTAGATAGCAGAAGCAACCCAGTTCCTCCAAACACTTCAATCGCTCTCCCCCAATTGCCAGGCGAGGGCAGTCTTCTTCGCCCGGGGCACATACTCTATCAAACGAGTGCCCCTGCCGTCTTGAACAACCACTTTGTAGGTCTTCTGGATATCATCAATGCAATCACTGGCTCGGGACACGCTCACAATCTGAGCTCCTTCCCACAAGCCTGCTTCATCCGTAGTTGAGCCCGAAATAAGCCCCGTGACAACGCGAGAGTTTGTGCTTCGTTTATCAAACCCGAATTCCATGATAGGAAGCTGAGCTGCCTTCAGTGTCTTGGATGGCTCGCCCAAGAAAAGGCCATCAAAGTTCATAACCGCCCTGCCCCGGAGCATGTCTTGGTAATGCTCCTCGACTGGGAAGTCGTCGCCCACAAGAGACGTCTTTAGGGCGGCAAGCCAGTCACGGGCGCCCACAGCCTCTCCTTGCTTGTGCCTTGTTGTCAAGTCGAGAATGATGGAGTCGAGGGGCCCTGCGGTGGCAAAGTCGTACGAGTGAGTGTGTCGTCGCAGATAGAGATCCATGAAAAGGAGGTACGCGAAGCCGCGCTTGTAGGAAATCCACTCTGCGTACCAGTCGTTGAACATGGCCGCGGCCGCATCGCGTATGTCCATGTTGATGCGAGGGCTGGTGAAGTAGCCTTGGAGATGGTCATTAATGGTGCTGATCAAGAAGTCTTTCCCACGGAAGCCGAAACGATAGGGCAAGTACGAGGAATACAGCTCCGCAAGTCCTGCATGGTGTCAATTTCTAGATGCCAGACGATGGGCCGTGTCAGAAATCAGTACCTTCTTCAAACCAGTCGTTCTCATTTGCCTCGCCTGAATCAATCGTGGCAAAGCTGTGCACCATTTCATGCGTAAACAGTTGGATAAGACGGTCATCTTCGACGTCGCTACTCTTGTCATCGTATTCCAGCATGTAACTTGCATCGAAGCCGGTACCACCAAAGCCAACGATGGATTTGCGCATAAACATGCGATAGGTCCCACCTGACGACCCAAAGAACTCCGCCATCTTCGGGAACAGGGCGGTATTGTATCCCTTCACCCGGTCGAGATTCGGCGGAAGGTCACCGAACCAGTAACACGCAGATGACGACGCTCCGGAAGAGCTCTGAACGGGACCAACCATGAACATGGTGTTCCGAAGGACTTCGGAGCGATCGACGCGGATCATTGGCTTAGTACCCTCTCCGTAGCTCCACACGCATCGCGTAGAGGCCGGCGCGTCGGCCGGGAGGTTCCACTTGACTAGGACGGTGAAAAGCTGATCATTGATGAGCTGCGGCAGAAACCACATGCCGGCGCCGTGCAGGCCGCCCTGGTCGCGGCGGAGGTCGATGCGGGCGCCGAGCGGGGTCTTGATGTCTACTTTCCGGGGGAAGACATTGAAGCGCAGAAGGATATCGCCCCGGGGTTCTCTGGTGAAGGACCAGTGCTGTTTCCTGTCCCGGCCCTCTGAAGGGAGGTCGTGGAATTTGAGTTCTAGAGGGCCGGCATCGTCTGTCACGTTAATGTCTTTTTCTTGATACGGATGCCCGGGAACATTGCCGTAGAAGGTGTTGAAGACAAACACGGGCTTGTGGGCCTTTGTGACTGGCAACTGCAGCCGGAGCAGCACCGATAGGCTGCTCGCGCCGTCAGCATCGAAGCGCGGCGTGAGCTCTAAGGAGTACAGGGGATGCGGCGGGAGTTGCATCACGGCTCTAGTAAGTGAGTGAATGGATCAATGAACTGGATTTTGACGTTGATAAAAGCTATGAAGCTTGTGACAGCATTATATGCGCCAAGCCTTTTGACCGACGAGTCAACGGTTGCGTGTTTCCTCGTAATTGAGTTCGTCCTTGAACGTTGACGTTTACGCGGCGCAACTCAAATAAGAAGGTGAGGTGTTAGCCTGCGGGGGCTACGGGAAAACGGCAGAAGGAGGCGCGCGGAATCCGCGCAGGCTTCGGTTTCGCTGAAGAACTTACCTTTACCTGAATTGATCCTCCTCCATCACACCAAGTCACCCATCGGCACTCGCTGAGAAGCGGATGCGTGAATGAGCCCGGGAAGCAGTCAGCTTGAAATCCATACATGAGACTCAACTGGGAAAGGTGATCTTAGTCTGTAGTCCTGTCTCATTCTGAGGCGTTCATCCTTGAGAAAGCTCTCTAGAGCCTAAGTCAGTTACTGGATTTCGGCAGACTGCAGTTTCCAAGTCAGGTGTCACGGCAGCGCACATGGCTGGCAATTTCGATGGGCATCTTGGTTCAGGGCATATCCCAGTCCGCATATACCTACACCACGGCGCTAGGCCCGAGGTTCAGTCTAGTCCACATCTCCACAGCAATCAGAGGATTACCTCGAGTTTAAAATGCCGGCTCTGGCAAATCTTAGCCAACTTGAGACCCGCAATGAGGATCGTATCTTTGCTCGCCAGTCCCTTTAACATCAAGGTCTGATACCCCGAAAGGTCTCTTAGGCCCTGCTGTGGCTTAGCTGCATTCACATAGCCAAGTTTGAAGGTGTCGAAGGCTGTCTTGTGATGACCGCGATAACGCAACCACAGACACTTCCTGAATGTCTCGTAGTCACTTTACGTTATGTTCTTCTCTTCGTCGGCCCGAAGAACTGCATATTGTGTGGCGGGATGCAGCAGGCTCTCCGCCGCCCTCCATTTGAGATTCAGGTGCATTCTTGGACGAGAAACCCTGTTGGACCTCAGGATAGGTACCCAGTGGAGTCCCCTGAAGGAGCGGGAAGATCCTCCCCCGATCGGTTGACATTCCCTCCGCAATGAGTTGGGATTCCGGCTTGTTCAGATAGTAAAACCAGGCTGAGGAGCGATAGTTATCTTGCATCGCATCCTTGTGCTGACGTGAGATTTTAGCACTCGATATGCAATATTGGACTGGCCGATAAATATAGAGACTATTCATACTAAGGTAACCATATCCACCTTGCATCCATCGAAGACTCTGTTTTCCAGCCTGCGAGAATTACTGCCTAACGACCACTTCATCATCGGCTGTTTGAGCTACAGCCTTCTGCACGCAACATGAACATGTCTAAAGAAAAGATTGTAGGTTCTGTGCGATGAACATCACAGGTCCTTCAACGTCTAGGTTGCTCTGTCATTCCTTTTCTATCCCTTACCGTCGTAGAGGCACAACGTACCTCTCGATAGCCTCCTACCAACCAACAAGCGGTCTAGGCAGCCGCCTGATGCCCACCCCTTATTTCGACGATGGACACAACACGACGATTTGTCGCTCCAAACGACAGGAATCATCCTGAAACTCCTTCAGGTCAGAGCTCGTCTCCAAGTACTGTCGACGCGTGGTCTATCGCTTCCGCATATGGTCTCTCTAGCGAAATCAGCCATGACCCAGGGTTCGGCAGTCGAGAGATCCCGCGATCTCAGCTCTACGATCGTTCGACATCAACTACGGCAACTTATCCAAAACACCAACGTAACGAAATCTGGGGGCCAGAGTACGACGCATCAGATGTTGCCTATCCGCTCATCGATATTCTGCGAGACCATAAGCCCCATGCCGACATAGAGCCGACTTCTACAGTCTTCGATGGACGGTCGGAAAGCGTAGAGGCGTTGAGAGGAGGCGTATCAGAGCCTTTCATACGTCGAGCGCTATGGACGCCTCCTTGGCTTCGAACGACCTCTTTACTCGGATTTGCCTTTCTGTTCACAGCCCTTTGGATTGCATTAGTGGTCCTAGTCCGGTACGACATCGCAAACTCGGGATTCATCATCACGGCAACATCAAGCAGGTTTTCCTGGACCTATGGTCCCACCGCTGTTTTCGTGGCCATTACGGGCCTCTGGAGGCAAGTCGACTACCATAGCAAGATGCATCAGCCATGGCAGCAAATGGCCAAAGGCCCAGTCCCGGCATCCAAGAGTCTCCTGCTGGATTACGTCTCTCCAATCCTCTCGACGGGGCTGGTCAGGTCATTCCGAAACGGACACTGGATAGCAGCAGCCGCCATGACAGGTTCCGCTGTTCTCAAGTTGGCTACTCTGCTATCCACGACCCTGATGGTACCCGTAGCCATCAAGATGTCGGGGCCGCTTCCGATACAAGTGAACTCAGCTTTTGACGGATCGGCTTTCTGGCAAACCACAAAATGGTCTTTGAATAATAGGACAGACACCATTGTCTTTGGGAATGTTACGTACTCGAGCTATTCGTTTAGTAACATTTCTTCAGTCTCGGCAGTAAGATATCTACAGTTGCTCCAAGGGCAGATCTCTGAACCGGTGGGAACGCAAGAAGGGATTGTCTTCCAGGACGCGTCAGTCACTGAAACACCAGGAATCAGTGACATCGAGCATGTTTCCGCTAATGTTGACTCTATCATTCCACACGTGAGCTGCGAAGAACCAGACATCACCGTTTTCGATAAGCTGGATGGCAACATCACCGAATTCAGCGGGGCAGTGGAAGTACAGATACCTTCTTGTGGGAACACAAGGATCCTTCTTAGCACTTGTGCCGATAACAGCGAGAGTTGCCTGGGTACTTTAACGACGTACAATATCTATAGGGCATACTGCTCCGACACAGGGGTGTCCCGATCCGATGGACTTCAAGCCGATCTTCGCCTACTCCTAATAGCGAGTAATATCACGCAAAGGAATAAGCCTGGAACCGAGTATAATGATTATGACTATACAACATCGATGGCCAATATCACAGCAGTATCATGCAAAGTCGCATACACCATGGGAAAGAGCATTCTTACTATGGGCACCAACAAAAACGAAACCCTGATTCATCCTAAAGAACCACTCGACCCCGATAAACAACTCACCGAATTGACGGACCAGCAGCTGTCCGAGTTACTGTACTCTGTTCTCGTCGCCGCCGACTCAACTATGGATGGGCCACGCAGTGACATTGGCAACTCCGCTCGAAAGTATACTTTGGGTAATGATACAGCAGGTTCTGCCGCCATGTTTGAACTTATGAGCCATACATTACAAGACCTTTCAGCTGGATATTACAAGTTCTTCGAAATCGACACCATGAATTCATCCGCAATCTCTGTCATCACCCAGCTTGCGGTGAACTTTCTCAAAGAATCTTTCATGATCGAATCCCATGGGATAGCTTCTGCTGAAGGCACATACACCCAAGAAAGACTTCGATTCCGACCACTCTCTCTGTGGATCATGGTGGTTAGCATGATGGTGCTAAGCTTACTCGTACTGATTATTATCTTCATGTTCACTCCCTCCGTCTCTCAGGATCCCAGTTTACTTGCGTCGAAGGCTGCTATTCTCGCTCGGAGTCCGTCTATCGATATCATCTTGGCTCCTCTTGGAGAATGTAGAACCAGCCAGATATCATACGAGCTATCTGGACACAGGTTCTCTACAGACTTTGATGGATCGAAATTTCAAATCCAAGCCCGTGAGATACTTCTAGCTGATGACAGTTTCATTCGCAAGCCGAAACGGAAACAGCGTAGCTGGATTCCCATGACAGCGCGAGTGTATTTCGTGATAGCTACCTTCACGCTACCACTAGTCACTATCATCGCACTGGAAGTCGCGTATCGTCGATCTGTCAAGAACAATGGGTTTGAAGTTCAAGATATGTTCTGGGCGCTTTACGGAACACAATATAGCTCAGCCCTCATCGTATTGGCCATCGCCAGTATTTTCAACAGCCTTGACTTCACCATCACCACATTCTCAATCTTCAGTTTCATGAGAGCCCGGGCTATATCATCACCTCAAGGAATCACGAACAATCCGATGCGAGAAGTAACCCCTGTTGCACTATGCAAGGCTCTCAGACGGGGTCATTTTGGGTTATCCTCTTCCATCCTCGCGGCGTTCATAGGCAGCGTTCTATCCATTGTTGTCTCCAATTTATGGGCTGAGAAACTATTCACCACGAATATCAACTTCAATTCTCAGCTCAAAAATACTTGGAACCTGGACTGGACTGACAGTGCTGTTAACGATGGCGGTGCAGCGACGCTTCTGAACGATGTGCGGCTGAACAAGACGGAGAGCCCAGACTCAGCAACATGGGATGATTTGGTGTTTCCATCATTCGATGCCATATTCGCGCTCGGTAATGGGCACGAGATTTTGAAGTTAGGTGGCTCGACCCAGAAATTCAACTTCAGTATTGAGGTGCCTTCGTTGCGACCAAGACTCTTTTGTCACCCAGCTACTGTTAGAGATATGGGAGAGTCCACCACCGGAGGTGCAGTGTCGACAACGATAACTGCTATTGACCCTCTCCCAGTGGACTGTCGGGTAGGGGACGGCAATCAAGTCAGAAACGTGTCATTCAAAGCAACAGGAGATAAAACGGACGGGCTAGTGGGCTTGTTCCTCGATCTCGACATTGGAGTCCTCGTTAGTAAACAGTGCTCCCCCTGCAAAACGAACCCAGACTCGGCGCGTCCAGATAACCCGATGGGCTGCCCATCGATCGGGGTATTCTTCGCAGAGAGACCCTTTGTATGTGCGCAGGTTGTACAACAGGTTCAGGTCGGAATGAAATTCACGTCCCCCATCGGGCCAAATGGCGAAATTCTCTTTCGAAGAAGCAGCCTCACATCTGCACCAACTCCTTTGGAGTCAAGTGCAAGAAACCTCACCCGCGATAACTCCGGGCTAGACCTCTTTCCCTATCGCATTCAGCCTCACTTCGACAAAAATCTTACGAGCTCGATACCAGATGATCCGGCCGATCCATTCTTCAGATACATACTTTCTGGAACCACTGGGGTCAGCAGGGACGATTTGACCAAGAATCCTGGTCAACTAATCGATGTCGTAAACGGCCTCTACGCCAAGTTCATGGTGCAAGTCATGGATTCGAGCATCTTTCGAACGCCTATCGTCGCTTCAACTCAGACGAAGGAGCAAAACGAAAAACAAAGTGTAAACGGCACAATCTCACGAGAAGAATCTCGCCTGGTAATGAACTATACGCCGAAACTCATTCTTCAGATCTTGCTTGGTGCCATGATGATCCTTGGACTGACGGCCTACATCATGGTCGATCTCAAAGGCACTCTTCCTCGAAGCCCTCATTCAATAGCAAGCAGCATGGCCTTATTCGCAGGGAGCGAGTTGTGTGCGAATCACATTCCCGAATACGCTGAGTGGATGAATAAGCAGCAACTCGACCGAGTATTTCAGGGATATATATTTGCCTTGGGGTGGTGGAGTCGGAGTGCGACCGAGGCAGATTCTCGCAGCATCGATAGCTTGTTGGATGCTCCAGTTGCGGATGAGAGGTTCGGGATTGACGTTGGAACGCCAGAGAGGTTGGGTTTTGAAGCTAAGGGAAACAGAGGTGGCAGACTATGGGGCAAATGGAGTGCGCTCTAGCCGATACTTCTCATTAAAAGTACATACAATCGACTTGGTGGCCTCTACCCGATTTCTAGAGACCGCGGCATGCCTATCCTTCCCACACGAAATCTTGCTCAATACCTGGAATCAGTGGCCGAAGGGCCATACCGTAGTCGCCAGCGTTAGGTGTCCTCATAAGAGTGTGAATGTGAAACTTAGCGGGCTCCTTATTTGTCAAGAAGACTCCTGAGTGGTGATCGAACTCCACGAGGATGACCGGGCTCTGGATACGGTAGTAAAAGGGATCTTGGTCACCGAAGCCGCCAATCCAACTAAAGTACGTCTCCTGGAAGAAAGACTTGATATGGTTGACCCGGATCTCTCTGGACTTCTGAGGAAGATAGATGAGATATTGCTCCAGGATACCCAGGATCAGTTGCTGCTGCTCGGCTGTCATGTCCGACACCAAAATACCCTCATACGGCACAATTCGGTTATCTCGGTAGGCGCCGCAGAGATGTCGCTGGTCGTCATGATTCCACCGTCCTTTCGGCATTGCGGGGTCTTTGAGGAGTTTGTAGGTCTGCGCCTTTTGCTGCAAGTTCGCTGGGAGCGACTGCATAAGCTGCAAGCCTAGCCGTTCCTCGGTCTCAAGAATACGAGTGCCCTTGTACGGGCCATCATCAATCAGGTTCGGCTCTGCCCCAGTGAACCACGGCGATGCTACGATCTGGCCCTGGTACAGGAAAATGTTCAGGCACAGGTGGTGGCCGTAGAACGAGAAGCCCCATGGCCTCGTTGCCGAGGGCAGTCCGAAGAGGACAAAGTTGTAAGAGAATTCGTTGCAAATGGTGGGTGTCTGTACCAATTCGCCCAAAAAGCCGTTTACGCGCATGGCACCGAGCGCCTTCGCGTACCCCTCAGGGGAGAGCGTCGTCTCGAGGACTTTCAGGATGCTGTCGCGGATTTGCGGATTTAGCTCATCCAGCCGTAAACCCTTGTCGCTGAGGAGAAACTCGGGGTTCGACCATGATCGCCATTCCGGGGAATCGACATGGTATGAGAGGGTTGTCTTCTGCTTGTCGTCTAGCTGTGACAGAACCGCGTTTGTAGCATCGACAATTTGCTGAATCGGCACGCCCTCGTCGGCGATCTTGAATAAGTCCCGTTTGACCGTGCCTAAATCCGGGTCAATTATGGTTTCTTGGCGGGAAAGTTAGTGGTTTTGGGTGTCACGGCAGATCTCACCATCTGTTGTGATGCCGGTGTATGGCTCTTTGAAAAGACTACGCCAATGAAGGTATAGAGCATGTAGCCACGGCGGGTTGCCGCTCTCCTTGAACACCTTGGCATATTCGTGAGCATCCTGGTTGCGCATCGTCGTGAAGCGAGGAATGCTTATGTCTGGAAGGTGCTGACGGTACTCGGCGCCATGAGGCGCCTGTTCCTGTGCTCCGGGCATGCTTTGCTGGTGTTCTCCCACGAATGGTATTTGTGAATGTCGCGGTGTAATCGTTGCAGCAATGGCTGAGAGTCTTCTGGCAGCTTGAGAGCTTCTCTGGTCGGTGTTCCTCATGCAAAGTCTCCGGATGTATGTGTTGTCAAAGCTGGACTGCTTACACGCGACTGCGTGACAGGGAAAGCAAGTAATAATAGCTCCGAGACCGACAACAGATAGTTATTGTCACAAGACGCCCACTCTGATCAGACCATTTCTAAAGAAACCGTCATCAAGTACCGGCGAATCCACAAAGCCACGACGTCGGCGATGGTCGGCGCATGTGCCGCCGACAGCGACCCCTCATTTCTCGGCCCCTCCATCCCACATCGCCATCATCCCTCATCCTCGCAACTCCCCCACAATTCCCCCAGCTGCGCCTTTGAGTTGCCCGGCTTTTCCGCAGGCGTCGATGTGTCAGCCGGCCATTGACCAATCACGGTGGATGGACTTACGATTAGCACGACGCGGCGTCAAGATATGGGCGCGAACTCTCGAACTTCCCGGACCTCCGAGCCGACCACCCCCAACCATCGGCAATTGTGCGGGGGAGAACCCCAGCAAGGGTAGCGGACTTGCTCCAGTCGGATTTCACGATGCGGGAACGGCCCTTACTTCTACCCTCCTGCTGGTGAATATCATCCGAACTGCCACTCCAAGTCTGACTTGAGCTTCGAATCTTACGATACCACTGCACACCTGACTTTGAGGAACGCACCAGACAACACATACACCATGGCTTCACAAACACAAACGCCCTTCACCCGTAAGTTGTTCATCTCGCACGAATGGATGTTGAAACTAGAGCTTCGCCGCTGACAAAGTCAAGGCTTCGTGCGGTTTGTCCCCCGCTCTGATTCCAACAAGATCCTCATTGGTGAGCCTGAATCAGAGTCTGTTGATGTTGGTCTTGCTGTGCGCAAGGGCGAGGAAGTGAAGGTTGTGGTGTGGTCCGGATCCAGCGTTCTCAAGCCGGGTTCCAAGACCGAGGAGCGGGCCGTCATTGACCGCATCCTCTCACCCGTCTCTGCCGAGGAGGTCGGAACGATCCGATGCATCGGCTTGAACGTGAGTAGCCAATGATGTTTCTCTACTACGCTGGCCAAAGACATGAAGCTAACCACAAACAGTATGTCCAACACGCAAAGGAGACTGGTCTGGCACTGCCTACGGTCCCGACTGTGTTTCTGTCAGTTCGCTCGGGCTGGGGTAAATCGCGGTGGAATCAGGGCTAACTCAATGTACAGGAAGCCAAGCACCGCACTGGGAGACCCATGGCCCGCGCCTACGGTGCTCCCTTTGCTCACCCAGGCCGACGATTGCGGCGACTATGAGTCTGAGCTCGCCGTGGTATTGGGTAAGACCGCTAAGAATGTCTCTGAGGCCAACGCTCTGGACTATGTCTTGGGTTACACTGCCTGCAACGACGTCTCTTCCCGGACGTACCAACTGAACCAGTCGCAATGGTGCTTCGCTAAGGGATTCGATGGATCCTGCCCACTGGGTGAGTTCTGTTGTCTTAGTGTATTGGTGAAGACGGGGTCATGAAACTAACAAGTTGTTTTCCAATAGGCCCTACCTTGGTTTCCAAGGATCTCATTCCTGATCCAACCAAGTTGAAGATGCGTGGCTTGAAGAACGGCGAAGTTCTCCAGGACTCTCCCATTGAGTAAGTTCACTTGCTCTCGTAACATCTCATCAATACTGACAGGCCTTGCAGCGACCTCATCTTCAGCATCCCGAAGCTCATCAGCTTCCTGTCTCAAAGCACAACCCTGCCCGCTGGAACAGTAATCATTACCGGAACTCCTGCTGGAGTTGGCCTGGGCCGGACACCAAAGGTCACTCTGAAGGACGCCGACGAGTTCCACGTTGAGGTTCTTCCCCATATCGGCACGTTGGTCAACACCTTCCAGAATGAGGTTGGACAGTAGATGCGAGAGTGCGTGTAGGACAAGGCGGTATGAGATGAATTGAGGTGCACGAAGACAAGGCGGAATCAATGAGTAAAAGAACACAAGTGATGAGCTGCTTATCTGGGTTAGACTAAATGATACATGAGTTCCCAACATGACTGTCTTGCAAGATTCCAAGTTCCTATCGTTGATGGCACTTCACGCCCCCTAAATCCCGGATGATTATATGCACTGTTTGTTCCTACCCCACGCCGTGACGATTCAGATTTCCGTGGGATGGTTTGCATTTCCCTCACCCACCTTAACAAAAGTTGCCTCGCCTGGTACTCGGTCAAACAGTCCTTCCTTAGATTTTACGATGAACTCTTCAAAGCTAGATTCACAACATCACTCGCCTGGAAGGTTCACTGCGATTAATACCCGATCAAGGTAGTGGACATCAGAGCTTCATAAGAATTTTGTATTTGATTCATTCTATGTTCGATGTGGTGGATTAACTAGCTCTCGAGCAGTTGGGGAACCTTCTCAAGGAGGTGCTCAACAATAGCGTCCGGCCCCCTCTCAACCTGCAGCCCATGAGGGATCGCGTGGGTCTTGATGTTAGGAACAATTGACCTTGCGGTTGCCTGGATCTGCTCTGCCTCCTCCGCGGTCCACATTGATGCACAGAACTGCGCAGGTCGGTTAGTTGAAGAAGCTTCATTTGGCTGGGGTCACTCATACCAAGACGTCTGGCTTGTGCTCTTTCACCTTGCCCTCGACCTCGGCGATTGCTGTCGATACCGTCAGCTTCCAGAGTTTGCATTATGGATGAGTAATGTGACTTACTCTCGCAGTTGGCGACATAGTCAATCGTGTACTGGTCCTTGAGCGCCTCAGTCATGCGGCCGATGAGCCTTTTCGCACGTTCGGGTGCGGTGTTGACTGTGACAAGCTTGAAAGGACCCTTGGGCGCCATGGTGCGGGGTTGTTGTGAGAATGAGGGGTGATGGAACAAGGCAAGTGATGACGTTGAAGATTGTGATGCTTGATCGCAATGGCTTGTGGTGAGATGATTGAGCAAGGAGTATAGTTTTGGCTGTCTTCCGGTAGAATGAGCCGCGTAAGTACGTGCGTGATGTTGGACCACGATGATGTGCCGCACCCCTATCCCGATGGCCGCTGACAACTCCCATATATCCGGCAGATAGCGGCTTGAGCTCCGCCGAAGTCGCACCCGAACGTCAACCCACAAAATGGTCTGGAAGCTGACTGTTCCATCGCTTCTGTGCCAGAGTTGGAGACAGTTTGGTCCTCATGCCGGCTTTGCCGATTTCGCCTCCATCTGCCCAGTTCCACCAATCTAAAGCCTTTTTGGGTTATTCTCCCGTGACCTCTACCTTCGTCGTCGAACTGGCGCTGTTGGGGACACAATTTCGGCGGATAACCCGTGGATCTTCGGATATCCCGAGATATCCGTCCACCTGTGACCACTGCCTTCAGCCACTGGCGTCCACCTAATTACTAGCAATTAGTTGTTCCCCATGGGACGCATCCCGTGCTTCCGGCTTGTGTGGGGGATCTCCGGGGATTGCATTAGGGACTTGCCGGCGCCCCTATGTCCGCGAAAGTAAAGGACATGGGTTGAACTGCTGAACCCAGCTGCAACCACCTCTTGAAGATTTGAGGATTTGAGGGTAAGGGATTCCTTTCATCGCGACTTGTTTTCCAGATCTTGATTCTGCATCTCTGCCCGACCTGCAGCTCATCGCCAAGCAATCTTAAAATGTTCCGTTGGCTCAACTCTTGGTTTTCACCCAGGGCAAACGCATCTTCACCCAACAGCAACGGAAACATGGCGGTGAGTTCTCATTCTATGAAGACGGGTTTTCCGCGTCAATGCTGACGATGAATATGAAGGTCACAGCGCATATCAGATCACCAGTCCAACTGGAAATCATTGTTGTCGGCGCCGGACTGAGTGGATTGGCCACCGCAGTGGCAGCCGCTTTGTCGGGACACAAGGTCACCGTCTTTGAGTCCGCGAAGGAGCTCCTCGAGGTGAGCCCCATCTCAAAGTTCGAGGGCCCCAAATGAGGTTATTGACATTATTCCCCAGGTCGGTGCGGGCCTGCAAGTAACGCCCAACTCCACACGCATCCTCCAGAAATGGGGTCTGCCAGACAGATTGTGGAAATCGGCATCTGAGCCGACGGATCTGGTCGTGCATCGCTACTCTGGAAAAGTGCTCGCATTGGAGGAGAACTTCAATAAGAATATTCGCGCCAAGTATCAGGCACCATTCATCGACTTGCACCGCGTCGACTTGCAACTGTCACTTTATGAGCGCGCCAAGGAACTCGGCGTCACATTCAACCTCGGCGAGAAGGTTGAGAACATCGACTTCGATATTCCCGAGCTTACGACGCAGTCTGGAATCAAGGCTAAGGCAGACCTCATCGTCGCTGCAGATGGACTCTGGTCGCGGTCGCGTGCGTGTTACCTGAAGAAGGATGACCCGCCCCTGGCAACGGGTGACCTTGCCTATCGCGTGGTTCTCAACCTCGATGAGGTCACGGATCCGGAGCTGAGAGAGTGGATTCAGAAACCTCAGGTCCACTTCTGGGTCGGTCCCGGTGCCCATTGCGTTGGGTACTCGATGAGAGCGGAGAAGATGTACAACCTGGTGTTGCTTACGCCCGATGACCTTCCTAAGGGTGTGAGCCGTCAAGCAGGATCGATCGAAGAAATGCAGAGCCGGTTCGAGGAATGGGATCCGATATTGAAGAAGTTCCTTAGCTCGGTTGACAGTGTTGAGAAGTGGAAGCTGATGCACAGTAAGTTTTCGTTTTCAGACTCACCATCGCATAAGCTAACATGTTTCCAGGGGAGGAAATGGCTTCTTGGGTCAACGAGAAGTCAAACTTTGTGTTTGTGTGAGTACTCTTCTAAGATCTGAGATATCGACCCTCACTAACGCTTGCCAAGCGGTGATGCATGCCACCCCATGCTACCCTACCTTGCACAGGGTGCCAACTCAGCCGTGGAGGATGGTGCTGTCCTTGGACTGCTTCTTGGTCACATCAAGTCTAAGTCGCAACTCCCTGCAGCCTTAAAGTCATACGAGAAGTTGCGCAAGGCTCGTGGCGAATCTATCGTCAGAGAGACATTCAAGCAGGTGAGTTTTTCTCTTTAGATCTCAGGGCATCCATCGTCCGACATTTACTGACACCCCCTAGCGTCACGATTTCCACATGAATGACGGCCCTGAGCAAGAGGCCAGAGATCAGATCTTCCTGTCACAACTTGGCAAGGAGCTGAAGGGGGCCTTTCCAAGCAGGTGGACGTGCCCTGAGGTGCAGCCCTGGCTGTACGGATACGACGCGTACAAGGAGGTCGAAGAAGCGATGAAGAGTGATCCCTTTGACAAGCCCCACGCCAACTTGTGAGCAACCAAGCTTGCAATCGAGTCAGGGGATTTAGGCATTTCGGCGTCTTGGTGATATTATTACGGGCTTTGGAGCATGCCTCGGTAATCGGCATTTTGTGTATACCTAACTCTTTATTTCCGCAGCGATAGCATACCATCCTTTACTTCCATTCTCTCCCTGCCACGACCCGCCGAAGAGCTGAAAATCACTATGAAGCTTAGCGCTGATCGTGACCCGCCGCCGCCACTGACACCCCTAAGCCAAGCCCTGTAGCCCCTGTAGGACCCCCTGAAGGAGCTTTGCTACGATGCCAAATTTTTGACATGATGTCTGCAAATTGACATGGTGTCACATTTCGGTAAGTCAAACCCCCCACTTCCTGGCACCCCCCTGTTTCTGGCACCCACAAAAACGATGGGATCACAACCCAACCTCCTCATTACTATTAACTATTGATCCTCAACCACACCCACTACAATACAACTGCCAGCCTCACTAGGGCATTCAGAGTCGCTGGATTCAGCCGTAATAACCTCCTTTTCACCCGCTTCGATTTGAGCCCGATGGATATCCCTGATGTTCGCAAACTTCGTGTTGGGATCGATCTGAACAGTCTTCCTCTTCCTAACTGCAGCGTTGGTAACAGGCCCTCAGGTGAGCCAGCTGCTGCTGGGCAACTGCCAGTTGCCAGGCCTGCTCTGTGAAGCCTTTTTCACCTTCCTGAACAGCAGCCGTTGAGTGCTGGTATCATTGTCGAGTTGGGTGTATAAGTGCAGTTGACCGCTGAGCTCTGCCAGCTTCCTGGGTGTCGACCAGACCACTGCAGAGGAAGCAGAATCCCATGGCTCAACAGGGGTAGTTTGTTGACCATTATGGCATCGCTTTTGCCCCGACTGGTTGGTTTGGGTGTGGTGGGCAGCAGAAGGCTCAGGTAATACCATAGGGTTCATCAGGGCTTAACCATCGCTACAGGGTGTAGACCAGTCCACTTCCAACCACTTCTGATGTTCGAGACTGATAGACCAGCAAGTCGAGCCTTCTGGTAACAGTCCAGGAAGTTCCTTTACCTATAATGGTAGAGTCGTTCCATTGAGACAAGTAACCGAGCTCCTTCCGATAGGCTGACTTAACAGGGCTGAAGACAGACTGGTCAAGTGGCTGGAGGACATGAGAGGAGTGTGGTGGTAAGAACAGTAAATGGATATTGTTAATATAGCAATTCCACATGAAGTCTGTCGTCGTATGACTCCCATGCCCATCCACAATCAACAGTCGAGCCTCGCCCTCAGCCTCGGGCATAGTCTGTGGGATAAACACCTTCTCTAACCATTCAATGGCAGTTAAGTCTGTAGTCCAGCCATTATCTGTTGCTGTAAACTCCCACATCATCGTATGGAACCAGATGTAATGGAAACCACTGTTGTTGGACCGTCTTCCCTTGAAAATGATAAGAGGACGAAGTGCCCTACCCAAGGCTGAGATACACTCAATGATAGAGACCCATGCCCTCGACCCAGGTTGTTTCTTGCGAACAGACGTCGTCTCAGCCATGCCCAGCACTAACCCATTAGCTCCTGACCCTCGAGGATGCCAGTCTCATCCATATTATATCTGTTGGCTGGTTTGATGTCCTTGATCTCAGGGATAGCAAGGAACTTAAACCAGTTCCTAATGACCTCAGTAGATGCCCCATTAACGCGTCTAGAATCGATGGAACGACTTCTCTGAACCTTAATGATAGGGTTCCTTCTCACGAAGGCATAGATCCAGCCTTTTCCTAATGGTTTGGTATCCCCAGCAGCAGCCAGAACTCGCTCTGCGAATTCCTTCACCTGTTGGTGCGTTGGTGCGAGGCCCAGCGAAGCCTGAATGCGAACCCATTGTGCCAGCTTACTCTCCTGGTCAGGAGACAGCCTCTGCCAGTCAGCAAAGCCACTTTCCTAGTCTGACCACCTTGGAGACGTAGTTGGAGGGTTGATCGTGGTATCCCATACTCCAATGAGGCTCTCTTTTGACTCTTGCCGTTTGAGATGTCCTCGAGAGCCTGACGAAGCTGATCTTCGGTATATTGAGGCATTAGATATAGAAGAAGGTATGTGCAAAAAATGAGCCCATTTGGACTCGAATTGAAAATGTTGTGATAAAAGGAGGTTGGGGGTGGGCATTGCGTTGTGGTGGATTTTCGCGTTTTTGTGGGTGCCAGAAACAGGGGGATGCCGGGAAGTGGGGGGTTTGACTTACGTGGAAATCTTCACGTTCCTGGTGTCACCAGTGCACATAGTAAGGGGGGTAAGTATATATGCAGCAAGTGCGGCTTCAACTTGACAAGAAAGACAAGGGTTGCATTCACTCTCTTATACCTAATTATTCTATGGGATGATTATAACTATTAGTATAGTTTGTGTAGATAAGCATGGATTTGAGGTCTCAATGACCTCTCATGAAACCGCGCTTTCTAATGGGTGGTTTCTGCCCTTCAGGCTTTTTATACTCCTTCTCACCATCCTCAGTCTCAACCACATATCGACCCTTTTCTTTTTCCGCCTTTCTCTTGTCGTGCTCCGTCTTCCATCGCATGAAGTAGCAACAAAATGGGAACAGCACAGTGTTGACTGCTATCCAGGCGAAAAGCACGCCGAAATTTAACCCGATCCTGGAGTGCAAGTCGAAGAGCAATTGACGGCTACCTTCAACAACCTGGTGGAGTGGCCAAGCGTAACCCCAGTGGTAGAATCCCGGTGATAGATCGATGGCATAGAAGGATGTCGAAACATTCGATATGACCCAGAATATGAGCCACAAGGCCGTCCATGGCTGCCCAACAATCATTGCGACGTTTTCGCAGGCGAGGCCCAAAGCGGACATGCCAACGAAGTTGAGCATCCAGTAGACTGGGAAGGTGCCGCGGCCATAAGCTGTAGCTCCAAATGTAGGGGCTGGTTCCGTTGGTGAAGCTGGAGGCGCGCTGAACGGTATCTGGAAGGCGAGAGATATTAAGCTATAGCTGAGAGAGATGATGAAGTAGGCGACGATTGTAGCTAGCCATCTCCAGATGATGAGCTGCCAGAAGTGTAAAGGTGGATGACCCTGCGGTTGTACGTATTTCTACGCAGGGTAGATTAGCAGCTGTATATCAACAGGATGCGATGATTATGCCAACTTACTGAGTGAATTGGCAAGAAGAAAGAGAAGGAGAAAAACGCCATGATGATCAAGTAAATTAGACCAATGCTCACGGCAGGTGTAGCAGTAGCAGGCTGGAAGGGGCGTAAATCAATCATCAGCGGCGCAATGCCGGGGTTGACAGCAGAAGAAGCTTTCGCGAGGTTATCTCGACTCAAGGACGTGTTAGACATAACAGTCTGACCCCATTGCTTTCCAAATTGTTGCGTAAATTGCTCCGTAAATTGGGTGATGTAAGGCGAAATGTCGCTCTGGTACGTTGTCGAATCTCTCGCGGTTTGTATAATGATCTGCACTGAGCCTGCGGGGTCGTAGTTTGCATCTCCAGTCGCAACGGCCTCTTGGAGAGCTGCTGTAGCATTGGGGTGAATGATCACAGCCGCCCAGCTATCCCAGTCGTACACGGCCATTCTCACTGCTGTGGGATCGTTGTTGAAATGTGAAGGTGGTAAGATTGTCCATCCCAGTGACGGGCCTGGCTTGTCCAGGGACTTCTGTGCGGTCTGTACGACTGCCGGCCCAACAATCGGCTGTACGGATTCGTACGGAGAGATCTGTCCATCAAAGTCGACGACATGGACGATGATTGATCTAAGGTTGTCCTCGGTGCGGAAGAGAACGGCCCAGTACATTGACAAGACCGCGAGGATGAAGAGAAACAGGATAGTGATCGTCTGAATCCATAACCGAATGACGTGGGCGCGAACCTTTTTCATTGATGGGTGCCAGAATCCAACAGAATGGTGAGGTTTCTGGTGACGATGGTGCACGCCGTTTTCCTCGTTGTCTTGGCCATCGTTCTTGAAGTGATCGACTTCGGTACGGGCCGGTGAGGTCGGCGACTGAGACCTAGCCATTGTTCCTGGGTTGGGCAAATTGACTTCTTTTCTGCAGACTGAGAAGGATTTCCCCTGATTGACAGTCAGATGGCTGCAGTGGCTTGAAAACACTCGATCAAATATACCAAAACGACCGCTGTAATACGCCTCTGCCGCTGTCAGTGTCTTGGCTTTATGTACATCCCATTGAATTTGATAATTCCACGTCAAATCCTCTAGCGTGCAAGTCGATGATGCGTGGTGCCAGTGATCCATTGAGATGGCCAAGTACATGTTAACAATTTTGCTGGGATTACCCTGTCGTACAGCCATTTGATTGGTTGAACACGTATCTGTCGCGACGAGGTACTTTGAGCTGTCGACTCAGCTCCGAGATGACATCAGAGCTCATGGAGTTGCGCTAGAAAAGACACTACCCCTGTCCAAGGTGAGTCTGCAATCTGTGTAAGTAAGCAGGCGGGCGTCTCGGCCTTCGTGCTTTTTATCTAGCGTCGGCGGCTCTCGAACTTGTACTGAGCGTTTAGCATCCTCAATCTTATGTTAGCTTGAGAATCATGGTGCATCTCTCGATTAGGTTACGGAACCTCGATCCCGGCTTTGATGAAAAGCCCGATGCAATGTCAAGACCAACCAAGGCATGTCGCAGTAGATTCTGCTTACACATGACCCGAGATCCCACGTCAACAGAGAAAAGAACTTGAAGTGATATCACGGCGTTCTGCCTTTCTGATTATTACCTGTAAGGGCCAGCCGTGTATTTGAAATAGTAAGCTGAGACATATATCTTGTTATGCACCGGCAACTTTCAAATCTATCAGACCAGTGCATCTAAAGTGGTTTGACTCTTTTCCATCGTAATCTTCCAGACCTTGGCAAATCGTGAAGAGTTCAGCTCAGCCGTGACTTTTCCCAATTTTCCCTCTCCCTCTAGGCGGCTTTCCGCTAGCGGACCTGCAACGATGAACGATGATGATTGTGGGATGGTTGGAGTTTCCCCAGCGGCCACGTCCATCAGAAGACACGCGTTATGCGGACCTGGAGCCTTGAACTTGAAGAACAAACAGAAGCCGTTTTCAGTTTCTGCGTTCTGAACATGCAGATAAGGGACCTCTTCTTTGCCGCTAGTCTCAACGTCGTAAGAGAGCATGATGGAGTGGCTCCAGGGGCCACTACTGGCCCAACGATCCGGCGGGGATGCCTTCACGTCGCAATACCCATGATCCTGTTCTTGTGGCAACTCCACGACGATGTGCTGCGCATCGGAATCTTTGCCCCAGAGCGATTCCATATCTTCCGGATCGTCAGCCCTAACGAGGATAGTCTCAAGTTTTGCCTGCTTAACCCAATCATCTGGAACTGAGACAAAGCCGAGCTTGTGACTGCACCTGTAGAATGGCTCAAGATCGCTTTTTCTCTCCAGATAGAGCCCTATCTGACGACCCGCTTTGTTACAGTTGAGTATAGCTATCGTGCTCGTTGGGGAGAAAGTGAAAGAGATTCCTGCAGCGGAACCAATCTGCTCATTGTTATCTCCGGGGATAAATGAGAAGCCATATTTCGAGCTGCTCGGGTCGAGTATCGGCATCTCGATTTGAATGCCTCTATTTGTGAACGAATACGGTGCCACGCGATGGTCGGCATCGATCCTGGTGACGCTGCCAGACTGATCAAAACAAGAGGGGGACCTGGCGAGGAACCCAGTGTTTCGAGAAGTTCTGTCTGAATGTCCAGGCAGTAACCAGGCAAATATTGACTGGTCATCCGTTCGCCTCATGATCTCTTCCTGAAGTCTGATGAATGCCATTTCACCTTCGCCGTATAGTAGAGGCATGCTGACACCGAATAACCCAAGCAAACAATACGCCTGATCTTCGACTCTGGTAGTCTTTCTCTTCGCAGCCCAGGACATTCTCTGGGCTATGCTATATCGACCTAAGATTCCGTATTCGAAGAACTTGTGGTCGATACCGGTGATCTTCCCCAGAGGTTCTCGCATCTGGTCTCGTGTACCAATTTCGTACCAGTCATCTGAGTAGAATATGACAGTAGAAGGTGCAATGAGCTCCTGAAGCGTCCAGCCACGCGTGAACCACCGACTATTCATGAAGGTCTTAGAGTAGCCACCGAGAACATCAACATCTTCCTCAGGGACGTCTTCAAGGTACGCATAACAGACGCGAGAGTTCTGGTACCAGACCCACATGGAATTGATGGCCTCCGTCAACTCAGATGAGCTTGTCTTGTCGATGCAACAAGTGTCGATCCACTGCGAAGTCAATTAATGGGAAACTTGCTGTTATTGCGAGAGCCCAGGGTCAGGTACACTAGGCTCTTGGGCTCAACTTACTATGTAGTCGAACCCATCCGACAATGCCTGATTACACGCTCCGATCAGTTTCTTGTAACCTTTAAGACTAGACGCGTTTCCGGCGAGTAGGTCCTGAAGTGTGACTTCCTCCGAACCCCAAGTATGGGATAGGATAGCATATGGAATGCGAGAGTGGGTGAAAACCCGCAGCTCCTTCGTTCGCGTATTAAGGAGCCGCATCGTATCTGTAAGGATTGGTTTCAAGCCAATGAGAGCCTATGGTGCACATGGACTCCGGGCTTTCTGAAGCTGAACAGGACTGGTCAAACTAGATGCGGGGGCGTATGCAACGAAATGAAGAACCAGATGGGGTTTCTCAATCAGGACGATAAATCTCACCTGCATGATCTATCACGTGTAACTACTGTGACAAGTAGGCTAGCTACATGCACTTATGCACACCTTCGGTTTTTTGGTACCATCGGGGAGGCACCACAATGGCCCACTTGAAGGACGCAACTTTGTGCTGGATGGGTCGAGTTTGGATTGAACACTCAGCCGCTAAACTACCTCGACTGATTACCCTATGACATGTAGCGGAATGATGGGTGCCTGTAACCAAGTTGACTCTGTTCAGCTTCTGTCCGTCCATCCAGGCGGTGATCTCTCTTTCCAGCAGCTCTTGCTTTGTTCTCATATAAGCAATAGAATATGCCGAATACCGCCAATAGAACTGTTAGACTTTGTCCGACAAGATTGATAGTGTGTCCAGTGAAGTACTTCGGGGCGTCCTTGAACGTGTAGGTCCACCTATTGTAAACATCAATAAAAGTGCAGGCATGGGTTGATTAAACCCAAAGACCGATGTGTGTTGTCATAGGCGTTTGACAGGTTCCTAGAGATTTCTACTTACGTCGCAACGATTCCTCCCATGGTTCCGATTGAAACAACGTAGGCACTGGTGACTGCGCGTACGGAAGGGCCTGCTGAGTCTATTATCGAGTGTGTCAGTTTGTTTCACCTTCTTGGGTCGACCGAAGGTCATAGACTTACTGTTCATCGCCCAACTCACTGCAACAATATTAGCAAAAGAAATAGACTGCGAAAAAGGCATTGACTCACGAAATCCTGGACCACCTGGGAAAGCACCTGCTGTGACAAAGAATACCTGGGATCATTAGTGAATGTACGCAGAAAGCAGGCAAAAGGATAGAGAGCTCTTACGCCCATATATCTGATGTTAGCCTCGGTCGCAAATCGCAAAATGGCGAAACCGATAACAGCAATCATCGAAAACACGGCAAGGTATATACCGCGTTGACGTGTTTGGTCGCTGAACCACGCGATGATGATGGCTGTTATAGCAGCCACAACGTACGGCGGTACAGAGTACAGCTGCGCTCGCGTCGCAGTCCAGCCCAAGTCGGCAAGAATAGTCGGCATGAATACCGAAATTCCCTGAACAGTGATATTGATCAGGAAAAAGCCGAAGGCGCACGTATAATTGTGGATGCAAAACACGGCTCGCTTCACGTCGGAAAGAGTGACTTTCTGATCCACATCAGCCTTGTGCTGGCGCTGCAGACGCTCTGCCGCAATTGCTCGTTGTCTCTCGTCAAGAAAGTAAGCAGTAGCGGGAGTTGTAGGCATCCAGAGAGGTGCGAAACCTCCGAAGAGCATTGTGACGAATCCCTCAAAGAAGAATATGTTCCTCCACGTATGGATAGGTGCGCTGTCGAACCCCCATTCCGGAATGCGAGAGAGACCAGTGGCAAGCAGACCTCCGAATGCGCCAGCTAACGACGCCGCTGAAATGAAGATTCCTAGCCGGAACAAGAGTTCTTCCCTCTTGTAGAAGCTGCTCAGAAAGAAGGAGAACCCGGGCATGGCACCACCTTCAAAGATACCCAAGAAGGCGCGGGCAACGATGAGTCCTTCATATGAGCGTACGAAAGCCGTGCAAAGTGAAACTAGACCGAAGCCAACGACGAGGAATGGGAGGTAGAATCGTGGGCCAACGCGTTTAAGAATGATGTTGCTCGGTACTTCGACGAGAAGGTAGATGATGTAGAATATTGACAAGGCCCAGTTGAACCGGTACCCTTCGAGGTTAATATCCTTGGCCATGCCCTGGATCCTGGCATTTCCTATGTTCGCTCGATCCAAAAACTACTCCGAAGATAGGATAGTCAGTGGCGGCGCGACAGCCAGCGAATATTTGATGTGAGGAGAAAATCACATACGCAGAGAAGATACAAGGTCGTCACCAGTGGGACAGTGTGCCAGTCGAGCTTACGCTTGATGACCTGTTCCTCCTCTTCCGTCCACTCCAACTGTACGGGCTCGTCCGCATACTGGATAGACTCGGACTTGACATCGACCGTCGTCGGCTCGTTATACTCTGTTTTAGACATTGTTAATCGTCAAGGCCTTGCTCTGTCACGAATATCGAGAATTACTCCTGCGCCAGCAAACAGAGAGGGGTAGGGAGGGAAGCTTACGTTTCTTATCAAACTCGATTGGTATCTCGTCTATTGTGGAGAGCACCATCTTGACAGCTGGCCGAGACGATGCTCGGAATCCTTTGAACGCAGACCTTCCGAAAATACTACGTTGATGGCTGGAAAATTTGCCTAGCAGCTTGTGGATGCGACGTTGAAAACGGCCAAGCCCATTTAGTGTAGCTTCAATGAGGGGTCAAGGTAGTGACTGGCCCCTATTGTTATCTATCCAAAGCCACTAAGGAGCGGGAAGCAAGTTTGAATAGCTGGCACGGACAGTTTATCACCATCAGACTTTCTTCGGCAGATGTCTTCTGCATTAAAGCCCAGCCCTGTCCGGGGTGGCCTTCGTCCAATGACCCAGACCCAGGTGCCCGTCAAGGGTGGCACGTTCGGCCCAAGAATGCGGGGTACGGGAGGAAGAACACTTGGATTTCTTGGGATTTAAGTCTTTTTCATAGTTCAACACAGATTGAGTCGCATTGAAGTGGGCGGCCGTGGAACTGATGGTTGGCATTTCGCTGGGGTTTGTGCTGAATATGGTTTGGAGTCTGCCAGGCCCGCCCAGTGGAACCGCTTTCCCAACCTTGGGTCTACACTAACTTCACTCGACCATCTGAATTTCGAGGCAAAAGGCCTTTCCCCACGTCGCAAGCCGGAAAGGAAATCTGGTTACCCTTTGCGAGTTGGTACGTTCCCTGTTACAGTCTATGTCTTCACCAAATGCTTGGAACAGTTGGTTTTCATCCGGGCTCTTCGGAACCGAGTTGCTGACAACGGGTTTCACTACTTTGACGTCAAAGCCGTTACAGGATGACAGAGCACAATGGTGAAGTCAGATCATTGAAGTATGCCGTGTAACTGCAGGCGCTGCTGCTAGGTATGCAAACACGAGGGCCAGAATTCCGAGAGAGGTGGTTACGAGTACAACCTAGATCATGATTGCCAGCATATCCACGCCGCACTCACGCAGCTCCGATGCCACCTTCAACTCTGACTTCGATAGCGAATCAGAACCAAAGGCCCCCAGGATCACCAATGATTATGTGCAGGCGGTGGGCACTATGGCGTTCATGTGCTCTCATACTTGTTTGTTGCCAAGGCGAACGAGAAGCGGCCTGGTGGTGGAATGGGGTCGTCAGATGTTTTCGCACGGCCAATAGTGCTCCGCGAGGGATGCTTCGAGTGAAACGCGCACCGAGAGAGTCAATCGTATCATCGGTTCCATAATCGGATACAGCTGCATGTCAAAATCAACGGCAATCTCTTGCACCTAAGCGTAAGTTCAGCGAAGGGTCCTGAATGTGACCCGTGGGTTTATGGTCGCGTAAGGAGTTATGCCATAATCCGCCTTGCTGTGCTATGACATGTCTTCACTGCGACACCCGCGTTTGCTACATCTCTTGTATTGAGAGCTTCACAGTCAGCGCGTTACTCAAGTGTGCCATCTTGCAGCACATTGTTACATGCCATGTTCCAAAAGCTATCAACTATTTAGTCGAATCGCGACGCTCTCACAAAGCCCTAAGGAATCCTTTTCGTCTTGGCGGCTCAACTCCCGGTTGCTTGGGAATTTGCTTTTCGAAATCATACCTGTGCAAGTGAAAGTGTGGAAGTTTTGTCTCCTTTCGACGAATCTCTTTTTCATCTTTCCACCTCAAAATATAACATGCGGGGACGAACAAAATCGTGTTAACCGACACCCACGCAATCAAGACGCCAAAGTTGAGGCCAATGCGCGAGTGCAAGTCGAATAGAATCTGTCGGCTGCCTTCAATCACATGATGATAAGGCCATGCATACGCCCAACGGTAGAACCCGGGCGCAATATCGGGAGGCCAGAATCCGGTCAACGTGTTCGTGAGAGTCCAAAACGTTAACCACAAACCAACCCATCGAGGGCCGATAATCATGGCCATGTTTTCACACGCCATTCCAAGTGCTGCCATACCGAAGAAGTTCAACAGCCAGAAGACGATGAACGAGGCTTTTCCATAAGCATTTGGATTCCTAGCAACCTCCACTGCCGGAGCTGGCGGGACTGCCGGAGCTGGCGGGTTGGATAAGGGACTTGAAAGACAAGAGAGATCAAACAGTAGACCAGCGACAAGAAGAAGTAGGCTGCCATGAGTGATAAATATCTGCGTATGACGTAGTGCCAGTAGTGCACGGGAGGATGACCCTCAGGCACAATGCATTTCTACATACCAACATTGTTGTCAGTTTTGTATCAAAGCATCAGAAGCTCGGACTTACTATGTCGTCTGCAAGGTAATAGGTGAAACCAAGATGGGCAATGAGAAAGCTTAGCCCAAAGGTAACTGCCGGAATTGCCGCAGGCGGCCCGAACGGCCGGAGATCTAGCATCAAAGGTGACACCCCGGGGTTGACGGCACTCGCGGCTTGCCGCAGAGTCTCCTTTGTCAGGGAGTCATTGGCCATTACCATGCCGCCCCATGTTTTGCCGAATGTTTCTGTCAGACTTGACGTGAAAGACGTGAGGCTTGGTAAGATGTAGCTATACGTCATAAATGAATCTCGGCCAGACATGGTGATGATTTGGACTGCGCCTGTTGGATCGTATGAAGAGTTTCCGATCGAGACTGCCTCTTGCAGTAAAGCTGTCGCGTTCGGATTTATGATGATAGCTGACCAGGCCTTGAAATGATAGACCGCTTCGCGAACCTTCATTGGGTCGAACCCGAACTCGTTTGCGTCGCGTATTTGATATCCGATTGATGGTGTGAGGCTCCACAGCGTCTCGTTTGCCAATTTTGTGACCTCCGGACCTACTAGGGGCGTGATATTGTTGTAGGGAGCAGATTTTCCATCAAAGTCGACAACAAAACAGACGAGGGAAGTGAGATTTTCCTCGATGCGAAACACAATGCCCCAATAAAGGCAGAGAATGAGGAACATCGAGAAACAGATGATGAAAGCTGAAGATGGTGAGCTGTGGCTGCAAATGAGCGGGTGGAGCTCGGATGAGGCTTACTGTTTCTGCACCACATCATAGAAATATGCTTTCGTAACTAAGTCAGGGCAAGAAAACTCATTAGACGCTGTCGAGGGTTTCGAGGCTGAGCCTATGTTGAGCTGCACTTACTGTTGCCAACCCTGGGTCCCACCAGCTGACTGATTGCGATGGAAGGTTTTCATGCTCAGGTAAGCGACTTTTCATCCAATCCCCGACAAGGTCTGCCCTTTGAGTATCGAGGCTATTCAGAACGCTGTTTGACTGGTCGTCTCGGGAGGCTTGCGCTGCGGCGCCGGTTCCTCGGTCACCGCCGCTGTCGACGTCGGTATCTATGTGCATTTCGGATGCTGCACAGGTGCGGTAGCCTGCAGATAAATGAATGGCTTTGGCCTATTCTTCGAAATTTTAAACTCAGTTGTTGCAGTGTATATATTGTAGTCAAGAGCAAGGTCACCTTCCGTCGCAAAACCTCCGGCGCGGTGTTTTTGGTGGCCTATGATTGACATAGTTACCCACAGTTATGTGACCTCACCAGCATAAATGGTGGAGATTAAGAGCGGACATCTTAGTCCGGATGGATAACAATTCGTCATTTAAATGCTCTGATACATGTGTCCCTTGAGTCAATGTGGGCTTTGCTCGGTCGGCCAGTACATGTAGTTTATCTAGCGGGCCATACGGGTCTCAGCTGAAGTCCAGGCTCAGTTTAATCGATTCTTAATCAGGCCAACTCGCCTTCTCAAGTAGCGTATCAATCTTGACGGTCTCTGCAGGCCATCGGGCCTTTCCAACCCAACAGATCAGACGCTCCAGTTTTGCGTGCAGGAGTCACTATTAACTTGATCACTGAGCATCAGCTTGCCCTTCCCATATTTGTAAAGCGGGTTCATGATCAGTCTCACTCCCCTGCATTAAGGCGAGCACCTTGACGTCAGAAAGATGTCAACTAAGCCAAGTGGAGCAAGAGCCTTCAAAAAGTCACCTCAGTGACTCTAGTCTTTTCAGGGAATCTCACAACGCGCCCGATATGTTTGATTGTGGCAAGTAGCCGGAGGAGTTCGTCCGCGACTTCGCGTGCTACAGGGTCTTGAGGGTTTGACATGTTCTGACATATTATACGACAGATCGGTTCTAGGCACCTCAGCTTTGAAGTGGAGCTCGCCAGAATGCTTATGAGGAAGTGGTGTTAGACGAGGACGCCCTTGAATTATGACAAAGGTTGAGGTATTACTAGTAGGACTGCGATAGTCGCCATTCCCAATGAGGAGAAGTCTGTCTATTGATACCTTCATCTACTTACTGAAGTAGCCTGCTCGGATCATTGACTTGCGTCCTTCACAACCACAAATTACACGCTCGGCAGAAAGGGCCAGGTGGTATCTAACCTGACTTGAGCAGACCTCAAGGTTGTACAAGTGCATTTCCCATCAAGGAGATTTTTCCATGTGCCATAGTCAGCTCCCTGAGTGCGTAGGTACTCTGTATTACTATGCGCTATGTTTCGACCTTTGGATGACTGTTTCGTGGATTGGAGGCCTCACAACATGGACTCATACCATCCTAGTACGGCGAGGACGAATTTGGAGGAAGCATTACGATAATGGATTTGTACGGTCTAGATTAAAAAACCCTCTGGGCCATTCAAATTATCCCTAGTCTTACAAGGCAACAACGATAACATTACATAGCAAGCGGAGGCTAGAATCCGAGTAAGATCTTTCGCCAGTTGATCTTCTTCTTTCCATTCTCAGTAGATGTAGCAGTTGTTCCGTAACCCTCCTCTTGCACATCATGCTGCCCAACGATGGAAAGGAAGACGTCGTTGAGCGTCGTAGGACTGACACTATGATGCTCGATGCCCAAGATATCCTTGTTCTCCTCTAACATCACGATAAGCTGACCAATTGCACTCAACTGGCCGTTCTCCCCACCCTGCATCTCTCTTCTGCTCTGATGGCTCAGCTGAGATCTTTGCAGCACATCTGATGCCGCGACTGAGAACCGCAACTGGCCGTGAAATGTTTGAGACTCCACTTGGGCTGAGGGAAATTGCTGTAGAACCCAGTCTCGCATGCGATCCATCTCTTCCGATTTCGAGTATGGAGCAGTGCGACTGACCAGATGAACATATAATGAGTCTCCAAAGCGACTTTGAAGCTGGTCAACTTCGCCAATGGCTAACATGCGTTGTGCGATAATGCCAGCTCGATCAGCAAGTGCATCAGCCTCTTCCATGCTGTGGGTTGTCAAAAGTATAGAGCGACCTGGCACAATGTGCTTAGTGTTCGCCACATGATGCGCTTTGCAGCGGCATCGAGGCCTGAAGATGGTTCGTCAAGCAGTATCACCGACGGGTTCCTGTGAGGGCGATGCCGAGGAGAGTTTACGCTTGTTGCCCCCGATAAGTGTTGCGCCATGACGTTGGCATGGGCATCGAGGCCGACGGCATGCACAACGGCTTCTTGCTTCTCAACATCGCCAACTCCACGCAGCCTGGCGTAATGGCGGAGATGTTCAAGAACACTCATGGACTCGACTGCGTCAAATTGTGGACACACTCCGAGATTTGTCCTGGCTCGTGCTCTCTGGTTGATGACGGAGACTTGCTCGACGAAAACATCGCCGCCATTACGGCTAGGTTGGATATCACCCCGGATGAGTGAGATGGTTGTCGATTTTCCGGCACCGTTGGGACCGAGAAGCGCGAAGACTTCTCCATGGCGAACACCGAATGAGACATTGTCAACAGCTGTGAAGCTACCGAACTTCTTCGTCAGATGTTTGACCTGAAGGCCGTCGCTGTTCGTAGTCGACTCGACCCGTAATAGCTCGCTGGCAATCTCTGGGTCTTCGTGTGCTTGTTCAACTCCGGCGTTGGAGTTCCTGCTGCGCTTGAAGATCGCAGGTAGTTTGTTCCCAGTGTCGTGGTAGAGAAGAATGCCAAATAGCAGTATCGCCTGCAGGACGAGGTAGAGGATTGGACCTCCATACGCCTTGATTGCGCCTGGATATCCAAGACCGGTAGCGGAACATGCCAACGAGAAGGTATTGAGACCAATGAGAAGGGCTCGGAAGACGGATGTGACGGGAAAGAAGGCCGAGATAGTGTAATGCCCTATCAGAATATTGCGATCTGTAACAGTGGACGGCGAAAAGGTGACGATGTAGAGAAAGGCGATCAAATATATCGCAAAACCGACACTGTTGTAGGCCATTATTGCAGCAAAAGTCGCAACTTGGCTATTGGTGAAGACCGAAATGACATAAGACAGCAGAATCGAGGTGATGCCGTACAACAAGAACACAGGGAACAGGTAGCCCGGGGCGTACCAGATGCCCGAAGAGACGACGAATATGATAGCTGCAACCAGGAGAGGTAGAAAGAAGACTCCGAAGTCGAAGACGAGGTGAGACGTCCATGTAGATAGCGACCGCACTCCGCTGGAGTACTGCAAGCCACGAGCATGGCTGTGTCTCTCAGCGTTGGGATACAGTCCAAAGAACGATGGAATGATTGAGCAGACGATGCTGAAAAAGATGGCCAACTGAACTGTGGATGACGTCGAGGAGGGGATGACGCTGTCAAATGGGGTGTATGTGGTCGCAATGCTGATATTTGTTTTGACGATACTGAGCAGGTTCTGCATAATGACCGCTGCGAGGACTGCCCCTGTTCCCTCATTATCTGCTCGGTAGGCAACTGTTGAGGGCGTGTCTGGGCTGCCGACCCAGAAACCACCTGGAGTGACATTCTTGCGATTGTCTTCCATGTATCGCGTAAGGTCGGCGTAGGTGGCACTTTGCGCAAGTTCGGTATTCGTGGAGCTATTGGGTCCCGGAAGCAAGAAGCCAAAAAGGTCGCCAAATGATGAGCTAGAGAAAGAGGAAGAAGGACCAGCAGCGATAAGAGCTCGGTCAAAAGCCTTCCTGTAGTCATCGAAGCCTTCTGCAGAAGCTTGACTAAAGTCTGCCACATCGCAGCTAGCAGGGCTCTCGTCGGCGATAAGGAGCTGCATAATTGCTGCTGCAACGATCGGAACAACAAATACGATGGCGTATGGAACCCAGTTGGTCTTGAATAATGTGAAGCGTTTGCGAATCAGGGTAGGGATTTGCTCAAAAATTCCCGTCTGACGGCCAGATTGAATCCCCAACGAGTCTTGTCCACCATTAACAATAGACTTTTCTGTGAGACCTTTGCCAGAGTCGACTGACCCATGGGCTCTCCCCTGATTAAGGGGCTGAAGATCCTCCCCTTGCACCTCATCGGCCACATTGAGGAACACATCTTCAATATTCGGACTGGAGATGCGGTAGGAAATGCTTTGAGTCTCAAGGTGACGGATTACATCGGCGGCGATGCTCGATGAGGGAGCAGTGTAGATGATGGTATTTGATGACACAGCTAATGTCGCGCCGTGTACTTCTGGAGGAGCTCTCAAATCCTTTGCATTGAGGACGTGGATACGGTAGCCGTCTCCGAGAGCGTTCTTCAGGGCTACAGACGAGCCTTCAGCCTTCAGGCTGCCCTTGGATAGTATCGCAATGTTATCGGCAAGTAAGTCGGCTTCGTCGAGGAAATGCGTCGTCAGAATGATAGTCCTCTTGCCACGTTCCGAAAGAAGGATGTCCCAGATCTTCCGCCTTGAGAGCGCGTCAATGCCAGAAGACACTTCATCAACGCAACAGACGGCACTTCCACCAGTCAACATCATGCCAAGCTGAAGTTTGCGCTTTTGTCCGCCAGATAGATGTCGTGATTGGGATTTTCGCTTTGTGGATAGGCCAATCGAGTCGATCAACTGCTTGAGTCCTCCTTACTCGCAAGGCTCCACGGAGACTTGAGCTGATTAAAGATCGTGATGTGTTCGGCAACGGTGAGCTCATCCCAAAGAACGTTCTTTTGTGGCGCGATACCAATTCCACCGGAGGCATCTATGGAGACACCGCCATGGTTGAACCGGCTAATCCCAGCGATGGCATCGAGGGTCGTGCTCTTGCCACTTCCATTGGCACCGAGAAGTGCTAGGATCTGGCCCCTCTTTGTCGTCAGATTCAGACGATCAATGGCCACTGTAGGAGCGCGAGGCTTAGACATGGAGGAGAACAGCCGTCGAAGAAAGCTCGGGCGATAAAGTTTGGTCAAGCCGTCAATGACTATAGCTTCTTGTGGCCGGACACCGTCACCCTTGTAGATTTTACGACGCTCGGAGCCGACTCCATGAATTTGACGTTCGACGTAGGCGGCAAGCAGTGTGTAGAAAAGGAACTGCAGGATCAGGAAGATCCAGATTGCAATGCCTGGAAGGGTAGAATTGCTTCCTGGTGGCGTCTTGAGAAGATTCATCGGTTGTCCCTCGCCCTCAAATCGCGCCATGGACCTCACAAAGAAGACGAAGGCGCATGGGGTGAATAAAAGGCTCAAGACGGCGACGGCGCCAGTGCTTGGGTTAGGGAGTCCCTGTGCCAAAACACCCAGGAGGACATAGACCAGAGAGTTGATGACACCGGAAAGCTGAGCCTTTTTGAAGAAAGTCGCGCCGAGGATGGCTTGCGAAGTAAGAGCCAGGCCACCCAAGATGAAGAAGACTAAAACAACACCGATGCTAGTCTCTCTCCATATCATGCTCCTCGCTATGACCGATGCGACGACCCAGCCTGGGAAGTAGATTGTGGCGAAAGAGTAGAAATTTGACAACATGCGGATGACCTGGGGCTCCCAGTCATAGCGAGTGGACATCATTGAGTCAATGAGTTGAGAGAGCCCCTTCTCTCTCTCAGTTGCGACGTGACCGGGCAGATGGTAGCTAACGCCAATCAGCGCTAGGATAAAGGAGACTGCCAGATAATCGATGAAGGTCTTTTGGTATTCCGGACGCTGGCTTGTCGTTCGTCTTCGGTCTCGTCGGTGAAACCCCATTCCTGGACATTCTTGAGAGACGCTGAACTACCATTTGTCGAGTTCAGACTGGCAATGGCAGAGTCGACGGCATGTTGAAGAGGGAGCGTATACACTTGAACATCACTGTCGTCGTTGTTGACCTTCGTTGTTGACCTTGAATGATGACCCAAAGACTCCATCCCCTCGCAACGTGTAATTCCAAAGGCCTCCATCACCCTCAGTGGGGGAAGAATGGAAAACGACGGCACCGTAGCAGGTAGTAGTCGCACGGAAAGATGAGCGGCAAATGGAGCCAAGATCGGAAGGGTTTGTGATCGTTGTTGTAATTTTTCCAGCTGCAGAAACTTGAGCAGAGATTGCCTCTATTACGCGGTCTACATCACCGCCTGATAGTCCGCTATTGACGAGAACGACAGTATTACGAGAGCCATCAGAAGCGGCCAGGCCTTCCGCTAGTGATCTTATAGGTCGAGGATCTGCAATTCCAAACTCGTTCGATGGGCTGTTGAGATTCTTGCCAATGCCGAGGTACACTGTGAGTATGATTGGTAAAAGTATTGCGGTGTAGATAGTTGAGACGGGGTGGCGGGCGAGAAGTATGATGAAGTTTTTAGTCGAGAGCACACCGACTTGGCGCCATAATGCGGACTTTGGTGCCGCCATGGCAGTATTGAGCGGTCAGTCGGCGTCAGCCTGCCGATCGTGCAGTGATGTAAGGAGGAGTATAGTTGTGGGAGTCGGTGACCTGGTTTTCTGCGATGCTTATGGAAAGAAATCACTGGCAGACTGTTTAGAAAAGAAGAAGATGGTACCTTGAATATGTCGAACTAATTCCCAGAAGAATCACTGGCATCTTACAAGATATTTGAAGGGCCATAGAGCTCGAGAAAGACATAAGAGTCAGGGACAACTTTATGCCCAGAGTGGCGCCTCCATGTCAGCATAGTTACAGGGCTAAGCGATACAGACATATCTGCCCAACGGCGGTGGTGGTAAGCGAGGACGCCTTCCTGACATTTGCTCTTTTGGGACATTCAAGAGGCTTCGTATGGCCAGGGAGCTGCACGCGTCACAAGCTAGAGCAGGAGACTTGTGCAGGAAGGGCATGATATGGGCAAACCTCAACAGGGACTAGATGAGGCAGACACGCTCAGAAATCGTGGCAGACAGGTCTCATTGGACAGGTCTCGATGTGTTGATGGACGGCAGAGGGTTCCACGTTCTTCGCGTCTTCGCTGACCCTTCTGTGAAGTGCTAGACTATGTCTGGATGAACCAATTGCCTAATGTGGTTAGCACATGACTGTCAGATCCATCAGCCACCGATGCCGCCAATTGCGGCATTAGTTCCAAGCCCTGGAGAGGCACAGTTCCTGGATGCCTGGGATTATTGGGGTCTTCGTGCGACCTCTAATTGCCCTTTTGGGGATCGCTTTGCTTTGCATACCGCCCGACTTACCAGTCTCATGATGGCTACATGTTCGACACGCCCAAAAGCTTGTATCGATATCGCTGATTCATGTTCGAGCCATTGACAAGCAAGTTCACCGAGTGCAGGAGTGCAATTGATGCAACATCGTTGGATCTTTTGTTTTGATTGGCATTGTCGTTTACCTTAGGACGTGGTGGCTAGCATTTCCCAGTGCTCAAGCTCATCAAACCGTTGCAACAAAGCTGACCACAGCATTGCCTAATCGGCGCTCACCATTTCGCTCTCTGCATCAACAGGATGCCGTCGTAATTTCGCGATCAAGTTCTGCATATCAGGAGGTTAAGCAGTGTTTCTTTTCGCCCTGCACAATGTATTGCTCTGTCAGGCGGAAGCCTTCAGGCCATCGCTCCCGTTTGATTTGAGGTGGAAGAGTGGGAAAGTTATATAATCAAAGTACTCGGCCTCCATTGGCATTCCATGTCTGATTTCTATTCAAAACCAGGCCCGCGAACACCAGGTCGCTTCGTATTACTTTCCCATCTGTGTCCAAGATAACCGCCCCCATACTGGAAACCGGCATCCACAACCCCCAACTCAGATGTGGGTATAGCTTCATCGGCCCTCTGGCGCAACGGTAGCGCGTTCGACTCCAGCTTGAGACTTCTCAAGATCTTATCGAAAGGTTATCTGTTCAAATCAGGTGGGGGTCAGTATATGCACACGCTGAGCGCAAGCTTTTTGCCTCATTGTGTAACTTAGTTATCTACTAACATATGAAGAAGAACATGAAGGAGCCATAGCAGCATGAAACAAACGTTGGTGAGCCTTCTTTCGTCTTGCAAGCAACCTCCAAAGTGAGTATACTGGAGTCTCAGCCATGTGAAATTGGTTCTTCAATGGTTATTGTGGATCAACTAGGGCTACGTTTTGTCTACCCTTGACCGATGTCACTGACCGAGATTGACCGAGACTCACCGAAAGGACCGAAAACTCTCTCATCGTTACTGCGGTAAAACAACCGCCTGTCGTCCCAAGGAGCGCCATTCGCAATTGATTACAAGGCCTTTGTAAGATAAGAAATCGATGATAAGTAATCATGTGAAGTCAGTCCCTTAGCTCATTCATTCTTCCATCCACTGCTCCTCATGCCGGGACTAGTGACTCCCAATAACAGAGGTCTCAAGCTTCTGGCTGATAGTTAGATCTTGTTTCTTTTTATTCAACTCATTTCCAGCTTAGACTTTCTCTATGTCTGGCCACTTAAAGCTGGCCCAGAAGACTTCGATGTTCTATATCTCTTGCCCGTCACTACATCTGTGGCCGGATGTCTCCTTGAACCGAACCCAGGAGACGGAGTAATCCCGCCCTTGATGGCCTAGATGATGGTCCGAGCTTTCGGTGCTGGCCCGCAACCCCGCGTCTCGAAGGTCGGAGCTTCGCTCGGTACGCCGGCAGGCACTCGAATACACCCTGAACTTGCCTTATTTAACAATGTAACTGGTCATGAGAAGAACTTTGAATTGACAAGATCTAATCAGTGAAACTTCTGGGCCTGAGCCGTTCAATTACTAGTCTTAAACACAACACCATAATGTCCCCTCGCGCTCTAGAAGCTCTTCGCAAGTTCACCTCCTGTGACGTAAGTGCATCTCTGGCCAAGGTCGTCGATCGGCCGGCTTCAGCCATCAAATCTTATCAATATTATATCAAAATAGTCGATAACATTTGAGCCAGATTGGGGATGCTCTTGTCAAGCTCAAATACCCCAGGGCGGCTTGATGGGATCCGCATGCCTCGCCGGGCGCGTCAGGACGCGTCTTCGGCCCCGCAGTGACCGTCGAGATGGTGGAGATGAGCAATACCGCGGCGCCCAAGCTAGACAAGCACTTCGTCGACCACAATCAGGAGGGCGGCATTATGTACGTTCAGCAGCCCAAGGGCTTGCCTTCGGCTTGCTGGGGCGGGCTGATGTCTACGAGAGCAAAGTATCTCGGGCGGAGGCTGTGGTTATTGATGGTCGCATGCGAGACGTTGGAGAACACAACGAGATGGGATTCCCCGTGAGTTTCCTCTCTCTGACAGTAAAGAAGGGGATGAGAATCCTGACAACTTTGGTTAGGTGTTTGCGCACGGCACTTCGATACTCGGATCCAACACTTTCACACGGGCTTCAAGAGTCAATGTGCCGCTCCAATTCAAGGGGGACCTTTGGATCAATCCCGGCGACATTCTGGTGGGCGATGCCGACGGCGTCGTAGTCACTCCTATTTCTCTGGTCGAGAAGGTGGTAGCTCTATGCCAAGAAAGGGCCGAAGTTGATGAGAAGATGTTTGTCGAACTGAAGAAGGGGGCTTCCATGGGAGACCTCATCAAAAGCGTCAGGAAAGATAAATGACTGTTGTAAGATGAGTAGTCTTTATCAGCTTGCAGTACAGCCAAAAGTTCTCACACTTTGACAATGTCTCATTGCCAATGAAATAGACTTGGTCGCTAGCCCATTCCGATCACGACACGTTGCTTCCTCTCGAGCCCCGGCTCTACCACGGCCATTCTCATCATATTTTTCACCGTCCAAAGATATGGCTTGGATTCTGAACCATTAGAAGATCCCACTCCTCATCTGAGAGCCAAGACCTCAGGCTCTTGAGCCATGCCGCATCATCTACCTCAAGATACGGCGTCTCCCTCATGGCAGCCCTCGTGTGTCCGGACCTTCATTCGCGGCGTATGCGGCCAATCGCTGCCCCACAGCACCCGCTTGTTCGCATCGACAAATGCGCGCACTAGAAACTTTACATCTGAGTATCCTGGGTCTTCGTCGCTGATGCGATACGGTGCGCTCAGCTTTACCCACAGATGGCCGTCCCTTACTAGTCTCATCACGGCGTCATACCCTGGCTGGGTCGTCGGGTCCTCGCGATGTTCACCGGGCAGCAGACTTGTCGCCTTCAGCAACGCAAAGTGATCTGTAACCAAGATGACCCCTTGCGAGACTATGACATCTCGGACGAAGGGCTCCAGCGTGGTCCAGAACTCGGTGCGGGTCGTCGTCATCGTTAAGCTCCAGGGAGCGATAGATCTATAATCCTCTTCAGATGCGCACGCAGAGCAACTTTTGCAACTCGACATCTTCCATAGCTTTGTACTGATACAGGTTCACGCGAAGGCCGCGGACACCCGCTCTGTGCATCGCAAGTAACTCCTCGTCTGTCGTCGTTTCAGGATCGATAACGCCAACAGCCCGGGTCTTTTGGCTACCGAGGCGAGGGACGAACGCCTTGAGAGATGTGCAGTCATTTCCGTAGGATAATCCATGTGTGAGTACAGATCTCGTGATGCCTAAGCTTTTTTGAATTGTTCAAACGCGGCAATCGTGGCGGCGGAGTTAAATGCCTGTTTGGGCTGTAAGGGAAAGATTCGGCTTAACGACGAAAGTGTTTGAATTAGCGGGTTTTGTTGTTGATAATCAGGTCCCTGAAGGAATTTTCCACACGAAAAGTAGACCTACGTTCGAAGATATGGTGATGAGTATCCCATCCACCGCACGGGAGCAGAACGGGTTGTCTCTCCTCAATCGATGTGGCAGAAGGAGGCATCGCGAAGGAATCAGTAAGAACGAGAACGTTTGCCAGTACTGGTGAGCGGTAATGCACTCGTGGCTTTAACTGATGTCGAAGGCTCTTCCAGCCGACGACGCCATCATTCATATAACACTCATCTTCACTCGGGTTCCTCCAAGTGCTGTTAACATTAGCACGAAGACGATGGTTTATGCCAGCACTACGTAAGGTAGAGAAAGCAGACACAAACAAGCATCTTCTACACGTTCACGCGACAAGATCATCAGTTGCCTGCAGGTGAACAGTCGAGGAGTTCCTTCAAAGGCTATCCGTCTGAGAAGTATCCGGCTGGCGGATTGCTCCGTCAATATCCGTACGGCAAACGACTACTCCGTACGGATGGTAACAAGACAAATCTGCTCCACAGGAGACTGGTCAGAGCGTCTCCGTGGAACGCGTGGAAACCATGGACTCCACGCGATGCGTGGAATGCTCCCCTCCCCTCCTGGCCTGGGTCTGACGCTACGGTTTGGGGTTGGAATCTAAGCTTTGGACTTTGCGTGTCAATTCATCCGCTCTAACGTACGTGAAAATAGCCACAAGGGGTAGCCTGTAAAGAGCAAATTGGGGCTAATCCGAGCCGTACAAAAACTCTACATCGAGCTTCAGCGGTCTACGGATAGCCTCCCGTAGTACGGAAAACGAAAGCGAGATACGGTACGGAGTAGTAGGCCTGTGTCCCTAATTCTACCAATAAGCCATATGCTAGTCAGCAAAAATGGACAGCGAAGGCTTGCTGGTTCTTTCATCACCGCTACAAGAAGATGACCACTGGTGTTGCCTTGACCTACGCCTAGGCCTCTTCAAATCGACACAGAGCCGCATAATTACACCTCCGGCCCCTTTTCATTCAATAATTATTCCCGGCGCAGCCGCCACCGGCCCTGTGTTCCTGCTTAATCGCTGTGGTCAAAGACGTAATACATCAAGCTCATAATGCTCACTTACATCCGGCGGAGCACTCATTCCCGTCACCGCGAGTCAGATTAAGTCATACTCCCGCGTGCCAAACAAAGCCAAGCGAGCGTCCGTCCGAGTACAAAAGTAATCCCGTAATGAACAATGCAGCTTTTGAGTTCATCCCACTTCCCGCTCGTAGTTTTCGTCCCAGCCGTCCTTGGAGTAAAATCAAGCCGCCCTATGATGCTGTAGCCTACTATACGCCCATCGCCAGTGCGCTCTGCGTCTCAGATGCATCGAATTCGAGGCGGGAGGCGATTTATCAAGTGCGATTCCGCGAGGATGACAACTGCCGAGGGGGTTCCTAGGTGAAGAATTTCACCAAGGTTGACGAGAAGATCGTCAAGCTCACTAGGGCAGCATGGCAGCGAAGTGACAAGTCCCAGTGGGAAGCTGGAACATCAAAACCACAGAAGCCTCCTTATGATACTAGGGCCAGTAGTGCGATGACGGTAGATTCAATCGTACGACTAGGCGATTGGGAGGTGTTATGCACGGAGGGCCTACGGCCCGCGTGCTCCCCGATGCCCCGAAGCACATTTTGCTACACGCTGATTTGCTCCACCATCTGCCGTGCCCTATCGAACGTTATCCGGCAGAATAGTTCAAACTGTAAACAAGGTATAGACTATCTTGGGATAAGGTGGAAGAGTCTATTCAAGCATGAATAATTGTTGGTAACTCCAGCCTACAAGCCATATCGGGTCCACGGACCATAAACTAATAGATCTCCGACTCCCAGGAACCCACTCGTCATTTGGGGCATGCAGTAGCGAGACCTAGCTGTGAAACCTTCTGTGAACGGAAGAACAATTTAAGGCTTCAACGAGAATACCGCCGGCGGGTTGACAAGGTTCATCTTGTCAGGCAGAACATATTGCGAATGCTCTTGGCGAACGAGCGACAGCGTCCAGACTCCAGTGTCCGCCAGCCCTGATTAGACTCAGCAAAGTGTCCGATGCAAAAGTATGGAGTACAGGTACGCTTACCGATCCAGGTTTGCCAATTGGGCACTAAGCCAGCTTCTCCACATACTACCGAGGTCTTCCAAGGAAACATAGGCGCTGTACCGCTCGCTTAGGCCTTTCCCGAGTGTCCCAAGTGCAGTGCCTAGAGGTATCCGCTGCAAAGGTGAGCTATTGTTGCTCCCTGATATGCTCCTCTGTAAATGGTCTTAATGAAGGCTTGAATAGTAGCTGAAACTTCTTATAGCTCTTGTGAAAGCCCTCATATGATTCTATGTGATCCTCCCCGGTATGCCTGATGTATGTTTCCCGCGGATTCTGTGTGTCTATCCCGAAAAAGTAGCCCAAGCCACATCCCGTCAGGGGTTGGGTGAAAGGCGGAAAGTGACGTGACAAGCCCCCTGGGAAACACTCCTCCCGGGATCCAGTAAATGTACTTGGTACCTAACGTAAGTACTAGCTTGTTTAGTAGCTATGTGCCTCGCCATTGTCGGGAGCTGCCCCGGGCTATGCCTTTTTTCCATTCATTTCCTCGCCAATTCCTTCCAGGTCGCTTACCTTCACACCGCGGGACATAACCTCCAAGAACGAGAGAAAATCGACAACTTCATACCAGAAATGGCTACACGGGCAAATCCGCCAAAGAAGGTCCGGCTCGCTTGTCGTCGTTGTCGCACAAGGCGAATAAAGGTGAGACTCTCTCATGATCCCCGACCTGCCTTGTGGCTCCAGTCAGATCAAATCCCGCGCTGGGGTTTGGTATTACTAGCCTGGACAATGACCGGGACCATCGCCGCGTTACTCCGGCTCAAACTGTTCGGGTTGCTCATTCTCAACTTTTCAGTGCGACGGAGAAGTCCCTGCCTGCACGAATTGCGCAAAAGCCGGCGAAACTTGCCTAGATGTTGATAGTCAGAACTCGCGTTTGTTGGTTCCTCGCAAGTAAGTGTAAATGCCACAATTGCCATGACCCCTACTGCGCCCTCATTGGTCCCATTCTGAGCGCTTCATACTGGAGTCCCATCCGCCCTGCAAGGTACTCAAAGACGGCTAAAGGAGTCCATGGCTGATGATCCTTATCCGTGTATAGCTTTGCGAGTGCGGCACGTGCTAGAATTCAATGGCTAGAGGAAATAATCAAACAGCGGCTACCTGACGTCGACATAGCAGGTGGCCCGCAGATAGACGCCTTTCCGGACCCGAAAGGATCGGGGTCGTCGGAGGTGGAGACCACGATGAGGACAATATCTCGACATCGTCTCCCGGTCCGGCCGCGGATGTAGTCAACCGGTGCCGGTGGGAGGGACTATAGTTCTGGGGTCGCAACGACCAGGCAGTCTCAAGCGTACCGCGGAGGCCGCGGATCCAACGACCACGACGAAGAGTTCCCGGATCGTGCACATTCGGTCGCCAGGAACTTAGGGATGTTGTCGCTCAACTCGGATTCAGATCAAAAGCATTATCTGGGATCGAGTTCTGGTGTTCTTTTCACAAATCTCATTGGGGCGTCTCCCTCAAGTGCGGGCTCAACACCGGTTGCTTTGATTGATGACGTCCAAGCCCAGGGACCAGCATCTGAATGGCACGACAGCACCATCCCAAGCAACGTCTCGCAAGAATATAATCGTGCCTTGCACGTGTGTCTACGACAGGTTCGTATGCATCTCTTCTCTACTTAAGAGATTGCACACTTCATTGCTGTTACGATAAAGCTAACGCCCGTCTACGCGCAGGAACTTCCAAGGAAAGAAGATGCCATCAAGCTCGTACACACCTACATTCGCTGGATGCATCCCGACTACCCAGTTTTAGAAGCGACATCTCTACTCAGTGCCATTGATGCTCTGTATGCAACTTTTGAATGCTCGCTGGAAGAAGATCCCTTGCCAAATGGCTGGCCAAGTTCCGTTCAAGCGTTTAGGTGGAATGGACGGCAGATCACCCCGAGCGATCAAGGTGTGCAAGCGGTGCCTATGCCCGTTGTTGCTTTTACCCTCTTCATGGTCTTCAATATCGCAGCTATCATGAAGATCAGATCGCGGATCTACGAGTTTCCTCCCGAAAGGTTCTACCGTGCCGCTCTACATTTCTCGAAAGATTGTTTCTCGCAGATATCTCTGTCGTCGATTCAAGCCTTGGTAACTCTGATTATACACAGCATGTTGACCCCTGCAGAGGTTAATCTTTTTACGCTCATCCATATTGCATTGGCGCATTGCGTGGAACTAGGGATTCATAGGGAACCACCTGCGGCCATCCAGCCAAGTAGCGAATTTGAGAATCAGCAAATTAAGAGGTTGACTTTCTTCACCATATACTCCTTGGACAGGCAAGTTTCGAGTAGTGCTTTGATTATACGATTTACTAACAATAGTAGATCCATATCATCTATCCAAGGCCCCCTTGGCTTCCGCGACGAAACATTCGATATCATGATGCCTGAACCACAATTATCACGCACAGGCAATACGAACGGCCTCAATACGATTCCATCCTCCTTCTCGGAGGCTGTACTGAGATATGCACGACACCAGTTCGAACTCGATAGACTGATTTCCGACGTCAAACAACAACTTTACCATCTGCCCTGCGACTCCTCCTGGTTTTCAATGCCGCGAAACCCGACCGACCAACAAGAAAGAATCAAACAAGAGCTCGTGAATTGGTGGCGGAAGGTGTCTAAAGAATCCTTTGATTTCCCGGTGTTGACAACCGACAGCGTCGCATCTGGAAGCTGAAGCTGAAGATCAAGTATCACACCACGATGGTGATGCTCTATCAGCCTTCACAGGTCATTCGAAACCCTCCTCCCGAGTCTCCAGGTCTGCTTCAACAATGCTTCGTCCATTCTGCAGGACTACCAAATGTTGCACCTTCATCATGGATGGCGAACGGTCCAAAACATTTTCGCGGCTGGGGCGACGCTGATCTATTCTTTCTGGACGTGCCCCGTCGTCCGTCAAAGCGCGTCTACAGCCGACCTTTCCAAAAGTCTACGCGCTTGTTCGGGTCTCTTAGCAGTTGGTGGGGAATGGTGGCCGTCTGTCAAAGGGGACAGAGAAGTTTCGGGGCTATTGTCGACCTCACAGTCCGCAAACTTTACACCGGCAATATGCCATCAAAGAATCCCCGACTCTTCATGCCTCTCAGCGCCGAAGACGGAGAGACTGCGATTGAAAACTCAGAAGGGGCACCTGTCTATGACGCAGCTGGGCAGCAGTCTGACCTTTCTCACATAGCGCTCAACGGGGCGGACGCACCTGGCACCAGATGGCGGGAGCCTCGATGGAGCTACCGAATGCCCACGACCCTGTACATTGGCAGGAGTCTATCCCGACCACATTCCATTCAACAACGAACGACTATGTTCCGGAGATTGAGACTTTTCTTGCCGATTTCGACAAGTCTGAGTTTAGCTGGAGCTTTCCTTTGACCAGCATTAGCGATCCCTACGACATAGCGAACTTCCCGAACCCGGGATATCGATGACGCAGCTAGGCACTCGTCAGCGTCGTGTTGGAATTTCCCGGGACTCTGGGACTTGGAAGGATCCAGCTGGCCTGAATGCGCTATCTTTTGGGCAACGAGAGTGATCCATGCGGATAGCTCCGGGAGTTGGACTCGGATTTGGTGTTAGACGGAGTAGTCCGGCTTTGGACCTTGCTCAGCTTCCGGACTACTCCGCGTATACCCCAACTTTGGAGCTCTAAACGGAGCTACCCAGGACTCTCGACTGTCTGAGCTTGAAGCAGAAGCTGCTACGAATTGTTCATGACATCGCAATGACCAGCACGGTTTGGTATCGCAGTACGAGTGGAAGGAGAATGAAAAAGATGCCGTGCCCTTGGAGGGTGTCTGGACTGGCGCTGAGGCATAGAAACCGCAGTCATGATGTTAGCGCTGTTGAAGGCAACTAGGTCAAATGGACGCTCCTTCAAACAATCTTCGTACGCAGCATGGAGAAGACATTTTGCAACTCCAGCCGCATCTGTACAAGTTCCGTTAAGTCCTTTGGAGCCGGTAAGTCTTTTGCATAACTCCTGTCAAAACCAAAGCACTGAGTCTGACCGTGACCTAGTACAACCCATTAGATTATGGATCGCGACTACAAGCCCTTCATGACCTGCAAAAGTCCAATAAACGACCCCTGACTCTCTCCGAAAAGATCCTATACAGCCACCTAGTCCCCGGCAAAGATGGGTGGTCGCTCGACGAAATACATCGAGGCAAGACAATATTGCGCCTGCGGCCCGATCGAGTAGCATGCCACGATGCCACAGCAACAATGGCCTTGCTTCAATTCATTAGCGCTGGTCTTCCACGCGTCAGAGTTCCGACATCCGTTCACAGTGACCACCTGATCGTTGCCGAGAAAGGTGATAAGGAGGATCTCGCTCGTGCTGCTAGCGACCACGAAGAGGTGTATGCCTTTCTCGGTAGTGCGACGAAGAAATACGGAATCGGGTACTGGAAGCCAGGAGCGGGAATTATACACACAACCATCTTCGAGAACTACGCATTCCCAGGCGGCCTGATGATTGGCACGGACTCGCACACACCGAATGCCGGAGGAATGGGCATGCTAGGTATCGGTGTCGGTGGAGCCGATGCTGTCGATGCAATGTCTGGTATGCCGTGGGAGCTCGTCTGTCCAAAGGTCTGCGGCGTGCGCCTGACCGGCAAACTCCAGGGATGGAGCTCGTCAAAGGACATAATCTGCAAGCTTGCGGGTATCCTCACTGTTTCTGGAGGTAAAGGCAAAGTCATTGAGTTCTTTGGTCCAGGCACCGAAACGCTGGGAGCTACGGCGATGGCAACCGTCTGCAACATGTCTGCCGAAATTGGGTCAACATCTTGCGTGTTCCCTTACTCTGAAGCGATGTCGCGATACCTATCAGCCACGAATCGGAAGAATATCGCCGACTATGCCGATATTTTCAAACAGCCACTCCTTCTTGGAGACGAGGGTTGCGACCGCTACTACGACGAAATAATCGAGATAGACCTCTCGACCCTTGAGCCTCACATTAATGGCCCCTTCACCCCGGACCTGGCACACCCACTATCTCAATTCAAACGACATGTCAGCGAGAGTTCATGGCCGTCAGACATCTCTTGCAGTCTAGTCGGGAGTTGCACCAATAGCTCGTACGAAGATCTAGAAAAGGTTCGCCATCTCGTCGTGCAAGCCAGAGAAGCCGGGCTAGAGAAGACAAAGACGCGATTCCTAGTTAGCCCAGGAAGTGAGCAAATCCGTGCTACGGCAGAGGAGGAAGGGATTCTCGATACGCTCAGACAAGCTGGAGCAGTTGTTTTGAGTAATTCCTGTGGCCCATGTGTCGGGCAATGGGATCGGGAAGACGTCGATGTCAAGAACGCCGAAAGGAACTCGGTCATTTCCAGCTTCAACCGCAACTTCACAGGTCGCCACGACAGCAATCCGGCCACTCATTCTTTTGTCACATCACCTGAGCTCGCCGCAGCATTTGCCTTCGCTGGCAATCTCACGTTCAACCCCATGACTGATGACATACCCATACCCGGTCCATATGGTGCTCCCAAGAAATTCCGCTTCACGCCCCTCAAGCTGCCGAGCTCCCGGTCATCTTCTCCAGGCGACGACCGTTTTCAACCTCCTGTACTATCAGACACAACGGAATTGAAAGTCAGCATCCTCCTTCCAGCGATAGACTCCAGCTCCTGACACCATTTAACGGATGGCGAGTCTGGCATGAACATCCTGATCAAGGTGCGTGGCAAATGTACGACAGATCACATCTCGCCCGCTGGTCCTTGGTATAAGTACCGGGGCCACCTGGAGAACATCAGCAACAACATGCTCCTCGGAGCCACCAATGACTTCTTAGCCGACGCCAGCTCATTGAACGTGATTGGTAAAGCCATGGATCCGGTCGATGGCCAAATCAAACCCGTGCCTCAAGCTGCGAGAAGCATGAAGAGCGCCGGCATCAGGTGGTGCATCATCGGAGATGACAATTACGGCGAAGGAAGCTCGCGAGAACATGCTGCGCTGGAGCCGCGATATTTGGGTGGTGTTGCCGTCATTGCCAAGAGCTTTGCCAGAATTCACGAGACGAACTTGAAGAAACAGGGCATGTTACCGCTTACGTTCAGTGATCCCGCAGACTACGGCAAAATACAGAAGGGGGACCAAATTACGCTTGTAGACGTCGAAGATGCTGATCTGCGGCCCGGAAAGCAGGTGACCATGGAGGTCGTCACCCTACAAGGCTCCAGGTGGACGGCCAAATTGAATCACAGTTTCGAAACCAATCAGATTGAATGGTTGCGGGCGGGGAGTGCGCTCAACCACATCAAGCGCGTTGCACTTCGCGGCGAAGCATGATTATACCTTATCGGCGTTAGGCCCCGAGACCCTAGAGGGATCATATGATAAAGTGTCACATTCTGTTCTGCACAGCGTTCTTCTTGATATCATAAAAACAGAGTAACCTTTTACATAGACTCGGACGTGTGCTGTGGTCATCATTATGATAACTCTTGAACTCTTTACGGATGTCGTAGTCATGATAAAGTACTATTGAACGAGAAAATGTTGTGCGGAGTGTGTAAATGGAGCAAATTGTGAGTCGACGATGTCGCGCCTCAACATACCCTCATCGTTATGGACCCCGCCATATCCGGCGGGATGTTTCATTGGAACGGGATGGATGTTCACGATTCATGTTGTCAAGCCACAACTCGCGGGACCCATGGTCTATGGCGGTATTCGCGAACTTCATGATGGCGAATACCAATTTGCATTTTCAAGGAGCAGCCCGGGCACCGAGACTGGATTTCTCCATGTGACGGACTGTTCCGCTAAGCCACGGACTACTCCGTTACGCAAGGGAGTGAAGGGTTCAAATTGTTCCGAGATGACCTTCACCAACTTTAGCAGCGGCTGGAATAACCCGAGACAGGTACGGACAAGCCCACTATGGAACGACTTGACGTCTCTATCTACACTGGCATGGCAGACACCTGGATCATACGATTCCGTGGCTGCCTATTGGCTGGATGCTGGCAGGAAGTAGAACAACAGGTTGGGCGTGTAATCCTCATAGCTTCAGGCAGACCTTTGTACGATACTCTACTAGCGGGTAAGAACCTGGGGTTAGATTGAGGGTCTGCGGGGTAATTCTGGGGTTTCCGTCTTCCTGCTCGACAACCAGAACAGACTGCCATTTGTGTCTCCCTTTGGGGTGTGTCTGAAAAGTAATGCTTTTGTTCGAAAGACATAAGTTAAGACCCATCGTCACCCAATACCATGCCGCGTTATTTCGACTGTGGCATGCCTTCTCTTGTTCTTGCAGAAAGAGACTTTGGATAAATATTGCACCTGCACGCAATTTCTATGATCGGTCCCACCCTCCCTTTCCTATTCGAAATTTCATCATTGGAGATCACAAGCTTCAATACCAGCGATAATGGCTATTGATAGATCCGAGGAAAAGGGTGACACAATGCAAGCCAGCTCTGATCATATCGACGATCTACACGCCTTTCAAGAGCATGATGCTTCTCTTGAAAGATGCCACTGAAAACAACTTTAGCATGGCAGAGGAGGAGTTCATTGCCCACGAAAAGAGTTTGGTGAGGAAACTCGACTATACACTCGTCCCTATGGTCAGTCGTCCGAAGCAGTAGCTCGAGATCCAGTGCAAAGGTTAACAGCTTCTAGGTCTGGCTCTTGTATCTTTTCAACTATCTTGATCGAAACAACATTGCGTAAGATTCTTGTAACCTTCAATTCCCGCAACATTGGTCAGTCTTTAACAGTAACTGGTAACAGTCAAGCCCGATTGAGCTCTTTGGAGAAGGATCTCAATCTGACTGGAAATCAATTCAACGTTGCTGTTTCTATCTTGAACATAGGCTATATGGTGATGCAGCTTCCTAGGTAAGAGAGACGTGCTTGGAATTCTGCCCATCCACGCTGAAGTACTGACATCCATCAAGTAACATGCTCATAACTCGAACACGACCCGGTATATACATCCCTGCCTGTACAGCATTGTGGTCTATCGTCTCAGCTGCCACGGCTGGAGCTGGCAATTACACCCACCTTCTTGTTATACGATTCTTTCTTGGCATCGCGGAAGCCCCGTTCTTTCCCGGAGCCATGTATCTTCTATCATGCTGGTACCCACGCAAAGAACTAGCATTGCGCACTGCTGTCTTATACTCTGGCGTCCTCCTTGCCACGGCATTCTCTGGACTTATTGCTGCTGGCGTGCTCTCGGGCCTCGAGGGCGCAAGGGGCATCGCTGGCTGGCAGTGGCTGTTCATCATCGAAGGAGCTGGAAGTTTTACCGCAGCGCTTCTAGGTTTCGCGCTGCTTCCTGACTTCCCCGGACAGAAGTCGGGCGTTGCCAAGTGGTTGCTCACCGATGCTGAGCAAAGAGTCGCGGTTGAGCGTATTCGACGAGATCGGGTTTCTTTGCCAGAGGCAGACTCGAGTGTCTGGAACGGGCTGAAACTTGCCATCAAAGACCCCGTACTTGGGTATTCGTGAGTCACGGAATTTGCAGAGACAATAGGGAACAGAGATGCCGAACAGTACACTGACACAATAGCAAAAGGTGGTAATGCTGACCGCGAATCACTCAGCCTATGGCTTCAACAATTTCTTCCCCACGATCGTCAAGGGCTTCAAGCTTGGTAGCAATACCTTGACCCTCATTCTGACGGCGCCGCCGTACCTTCTTGCCACTGTCGTCGCATTCACAACAGCCTGGTCTTCCGACCGTCGTAAAGAGCGCGGCTTCCACATTTCCGTGCCACAGGGCGTCGCATGTGTTGGGTTCATCATTTCGGTCTCCACGGTCAACATAGTTGCACGTTATTTTGCTGCATTCCTTTACATCTGCGGGTGAGTTGAGCGTATTCGGTCTTCGGGGATGTGAAATTTCAGCTGATGCAATGATCCAGATGCTTTTCTTCCAATGCCATGGTCTTCTCGTGGGCTAGCTCCACCCTGAACCAAACTCCAGAGAAGAGGGCGTGTGCGACAGCGATCATTAACCTGCTCAGCCAGTTAGGCAATATCTGGAGCCCCTACTTCTTCCCATCAAATGATGGGCCTCGATATGTTATGGCCAACTTGCTCATGATGGCATCGTCAGCCCTGAGTATTGTCACATGCGTGATCATGAAGATCATGCTTAACAGAGCCAACAAAAGCCTCAAGAGAGAAGGTAGAGACACAACACTGTTCACGTTGTAATTAAGATGGCATTTGGCAAAGTTTTCGGTGAAATCCTGGGAGCCGGATGAGAGAAACGGGAAAGAAGAAAGATTCACACCGTTGCTTTAATCTTCACAGCAGCGTAGTAACGATGAAGATGATGTTGAACTTAAGCATTAATATATGGTCATAACTTTTAACTTGCCGTCAAAGAAATGCAGCATAAACAGTGCTCATCTAACTAATTCATCGATGGAGTGGTCATCAAAAGTCCAATCCGGTAAGTTTCAGCATAGTTCAAAATTCGGGCACGATGCCACGCTACCAACAGGGGGTAGGAAACCTTCGGGAGAGATGAAGAACTTTAACTCAACACTGCCACATATTATTTGGTGACCGCATCAGCAATGCCGAAAGAGGATGACCTGGTCTGCTATTTGATCGGTTAAAAGTAGATACGCAAGTAAGAGATATCGAAATTTTGTATCCAAGCACTGATAGTCGTGATCTTGACGGTTATTGCCTTACCATAGATTGAAAGACCATCTTGCTATTGGAGTTACGTTTGGAGCACGATGCCTCCAGCTCTGCAAGATTGTATGTATGCCCTCGAAACAGTTCAACTAAAGAATATGCACCTTATACTCCTCACAGCCAAAGCCATTGATCTATGATAAATCCAAGGAGTGAGATATTCTCAAATTGGTGAAGTTAGCCGATAGATGCGTGATGTACCTCGGGGATCTTTTGCTCAATGTCCGTGTGACATCCGTTCAAACCTTAATAATGCTCGACCACTCATGTAAATTCATATTAAATTGAATCATCTCCTCTTTCGCTCCTCAGTCTGTAGTCTCCCATCTTTCCTCCAAAAAATCACATCATTATGGGAGAAGAAACGAAACCATTCGAAATCGCCATCATTGGGGAGGCATAGCTGGGATAATCCTCGCCATTTCGCTCGCTAAACGCAATGTACCCTGTATCATCTATGAGAAGGCCCATGCCTATACCGAGCTTGGAGTCGGCTTGGGCGTTTCGCCTAATGCTCTCAAGGCGATGGTAACTTGTGATCCGGCGATTCTCGAAGCCCAAGCGTGGCTGAGCCACCTTTCCGTGGGAGGTGTTTGACGGTACAGATGAAGCAAACGAGGACACCGTTCTTTTCACACTTGGAAACTCTACTACAGGAATTCGGGGTTGTCACCGAGGCCAGTTCTTAACGCACTTACTCAAACATGTTCCCAATGACATGATACATTACAGTAAGGAGCTGGATTGAGGACCCAAAACAAGTGGGCAGACGGATTCGAATGATCTTCCGAGACGGATCAACCGCTGAGGCCGATGGAATAATCGGATGCGATGGAATCAAATCTCACACAAGAGGGATCGTCATAGGACACAATCATGCCGCTACGAAGTGCACCTACACCCATAAGTATACTTACCGCGGTTTGATACCGATGAGCCAAGCCGTAGAGATTCTGGGACCAGACAGAGCAAGAACCTCCGGGTTGTGGGTGAGTTATTCTTTTTATCACTTTCAAGACGGTCTATTGTAAAACCATCACCTAACAATGTATTAGGTCTGCAATGATGCACACATAGTCACCTACCCGGTGGCTCATGGGAAAATGCTGAACTTGGTCGCTCACACCTCAACTACCGAAGAGTGGCCAAGCGAGACCCAATTTACACTCCCCGCTACAGTAGATGACTGCATCAAAGACCTTAAAGCTTTCAGTCCGCGAATGCAGAGGGTGATACAGCTTTTGAAAGTTCTGGACAGGGTATGTCTGCGATGAACACACTCCCAGTCATCTTTTATACCTTCGGGTATCGAGTTAACGACCTTCTCAGTGGGCTCTGTTCGATTTAGGCGATGACTCGGTCCCTACATATGCGAAGGGCCGTATATGCCTTCTTGGAGACGCAGCACACGCATCCACCCCGCATCAAGGTGCTGGAGCGGGAATTTGTGTTGAAGACGCGGCAGTCATGGCATCACTGTTGGCAGACCAAACGGTACGAGATAGTAGAGGAATTGAGGCTGCGTTTGCTGCATTTGATGCTAGCCGTCGGGAAAGGGGTCAATGGCTTATTCGGGAGAGTCGAAGGGCTGGCGAACTTTACGATCTCCGGACGGAGCATGAGAAGGACTTTGATAAGCTACGCGAGGAAATCTATGCGCAGGCAGAGGAGTTGGAATTTTGACCTCGACAGAAACATCAGAGATGCGTTGGAGGAAATGAGACGTCGTCTAGGTTCTAGGTGTAGAATAGCGATGGTATTGATCATATCGCCTTGCCTCTACTGAAGTTTGCGTATATTCACGGGTGCTTAGGAACCGGAAGGCTTTTGGCAATGAATCAGGGTATTAGAACCTGTAGTGACAAGAGCAAATGTACAATCTAATTGAACGAGTTGTCAACAAACAACATTACTCAGGCCCCGCGCACTGTTCAAGCAGCGGAACCACTTGGCATTGTGTTCCAATAATATGATGTCAGATGGGGCTTCCAGTGTTACGTAAATGTGGGCATTTAAAATTCTTTGCCCAGATCTGGCGATAAGGGTAAATGAACTCCGGCACTCCGATGGTTCCTTGTGAACAACTTCGATCAATTCAACGGGACTGCAGTGTCACCTACAAATCAACCTCCGGCTTTTAACGAGATTCTACCTTTCAAAAAAGAAACTATGCCCGCAGATTTCGACAAGCAAAGTTACTGGGGCGAGCGCTTCGCATCCGAGACCACTTTTGAGTGGTTAACCTCGTCTGCGACCTTCATGTCGATCGTGGACCCATGTCTCACCAATCTGGACGACTCGGCTCGCATCCTGCAGCTAGGTTTCGGAACGAGCGACCTGCAGAACCATATCCGGGCAAGAGGTTTTCAAAACATTACCAACGTTGATTTCGAGCCTCGAGCCATTGATCGCGGCCGTATGCTAGAAAAGCAAGTATTTGGTGACGTGAGAATGCGCTACCTCGTTGCAGATGCCACGCAGCTCCAGCTCGGAGAGACGTACGATCTGATCATCGACAAAAGCACTGTGGACGCAATCTCCTGTGGAGGCGAAGAGTCGGTATTAAGAATGGCAGAAGGAGTGAGACGACACTTGACCGATGGGGGCTTCTGGATCTCGTTGAGTTACTCCTCTGGCCGCTTCGACGTTGAAAACCTACCTTTCGATGTTGAGGTTTTTGCGAAGATCCCTACGCCTAAGCTGAAGTCTACCGACCCTGATATCTACCATTGGTGTTACTTGTTAACGCCAAAGGCTTTGCAATGAGGGTCAGTCATATCGATACGTTCCGTCGCAATTGAGGAGCATCGGAGGCAGGGACTATCACTTCTCAGCAACTATTAGATACCCAAACAAAGGTTATGGTAATTAAAGGCTCAGAAAAGGGCTTAGAAGAACGGGATGTTTCAATGTCTATGTTTAATCATCTATTTCTATTATGAGTCGTCATGTCTCCAAACCACTGCGCTCTATGCCAATGGCTTGCCCGGCTTGAAAGCAGGGTGAAACGGGTAGTCTATGTAACCTTGCGGGATGGACGGCGTGTAGAAAGTGTCGCGGTCGTACTTGTTCAGTGGAAGGCTGTGCTTGATGCGGAATGGCAGATCCGGGTTTGCCAAGAAATGACGGCCGAAGACAACAGCGACATCCCACTTGGCATACTCCTCGTCAACAGCCTTCTGAGCCAGCTCAGGTGAAAACCCGCCTGCAACAAAGACGGGCGAAACATTGTCCCAAATCTCCAAGAGGTACTCGATACCCTCGATCTTCTCGACATCTTCCCAGTTGTTGACACGAGACTCGATGATGTGCAGATAGGCAAGCTTGAGCTCCTTCAACTTCTGCGTGAGGTAAGAGAATTGAGGCACAGGGTCCTGCATTCTCATCGCCTGGAACGTGCTGTACGGGCTGATACGGAATCCGACCTTATCGCTGCCAATCGCGTCGGCCAGCGCGGCTGCGACATCAACGGGAAATCTAGCCCGATTCTCGACGCTGCCACCCCATTGATCAGTGCGCTGATTGCACGTGTCTTGTAGGAATTGGTCAACGAGGTAGCCATTCGCGCCGTGGACCTCGATGCCGTCGAAGCCAGCCGCGATCGCATTCTTGCCAGCCTGCGCAAAGTCCTTGATAGCGGAGGCGATCTCTTCGGCTGTCATCTCGCGGGGGACCGGAGACTCAGGGCTAATGGGAACAGCGCTGGAGCTGAGCAGCGGGTGGCCGCCCTCTTTCTCTAGAACAGGAACGACGGCGGCGCGACCCGGTGCAATAAGTTGGGCGTAAATGCTGCTACCGTTCTCGTGTACAGCATCCGTGACCTTTTTCCAACCGGCAATCTGGCGCTCGTTCCAGATGCCCGGCGCGTTGGGGAAGCCACCATGCTCCGGGGAGATGAGCACAGCCTCGGCGATAATGAGTGTACCGGGAACGGCGGCGCGCTGGGTGTAGTATTCGAGGGCGATGTCGAGCGGGATATGGTCTGCATCGAAGCGGAAACGGGTGAGGGGCGCCATCACCACGCGGTGAGACAACTGGGCCTGGCCGACCTTCAGCGGCTGGAAGAGCTTGGACGACATGATCTAGGCTGAGGGTTTATCTCAAATAGTCTAGGGAGAAAGTTTGGTAGTATCAGATGAGACAATAGAGTTGAGCGTGACAAAGATGGCCACCAAGTTGATCTTATCCAGATACCGTTTTGAAGAGGGCGGTCTGCCCCTCATAAGTAAGCACCTCCATTCCATTCTCACTGTTACTGTGGGTTCATAAAGATGGAGGTGAGCAACTGTTTGGTAGGTCGCAGTGTTCTGCCCCTTGGCGTAACGGTCCAGGACCAGGGGTTTGGGTTGGAAGCTATCGGAGCATTTGCAAAAAAGCGCATGGTGTTGGAGACTTTGGGAAGAGATGAGCCAATAGCATGTCACGGTCGGTTGAAGATCCTCCAAGACCTGTTGGGGTCGAAACAGGGCCTGCCACGGATACGGAACCCGAGATCCTGCTTAGAAATGCCCAGCAGTGAAATGTCCAATCAACTCCACTTGGGCCGTGTCGCAAAGCTAGAGCAGCCATGCCTTTTCGCTGGCTTCAGATTTTAGAGCCTAATAGTAATTAAATCAAGACCAAACCTTTGTGGTACTAGGTACACGATGGTGATCATTCTGATCCCCCATTGTGCCACACCAACTTACTCAATGACTCAACAGTGCGACACTACCTCGTAATACCTGTAATTCGCTTGCAATTATTCTAGCCTGATCTATGTATGTTCTATTATGATGCTTGTCTCCTTGAACCTTGAGACCCTAACGCCGATGCTATCAATGCATATGCTTATTGACATACTCCAAAACATATTTTGCAACTGTTTCCCACCCTTCTTGAAAGATAAGGCCATGGCTCATACCTCCAAACTCCTTGTATTTCACTGGCGCAGATCCCTTGTATGCCTTGAACTCCTTTCTGACGGTTCTCGCCGTTACAATGTGATCCTTTGAGGCTCCTATGAGTAACAATGGTGCCCTATCCGGTTTGTCGAACTGGACATAGTGGGGTGCCGCTTCCCCGGCTGTAACATTTGTTGCTAGTTGCCATAAGACCCGAGAATCTGCAGGTATGCAATACCGCTCCCACAACTTTTTGCTCTCCTCAGCGGTAACAAGGTTGCCGAAGCAGTATTGAAAGTGACTCTCAGAGATCGGTACTGTCGCGTCCGAGTGTAGCGGGTGGGTGAATATGGGCATCGCCGTTCTTATTGTGCTTGGCGAAATGTAAATGATCCCCGCTGGCTGCGCAGGGCACACAGCGATTCCAAGTGCGCCAAGTCCTCGCGATAATAGTATTTGGGCGAACAGGCCGCCGAAAGAATGGCCAATGATGATAGGGGGTTCTGCAAGCTTCCTGATGTATGTCTCGTAATGGTCTACAATGTCTTCGATTCGATGTAGGGATATCGGCTTCGGGTCCGCACGGATCTCTTCATGCGTTCGGCCGTCCACCCCCGGCCAACCCGGGGCGTGGACCTCGAATCCTTCTTTTTCGAAATATGGTATCCAGTACTCCCATGAAAGAGGTGTCATCCACAAGCCGTGGATGAGCACGATGGGAGGCTTAAAGAAATCCATAAAAGCTTGGCTGAATTGCCAAGAAGCGTGTCTCTGAGATTGACATTGAGTCCATTCAGGGAGGTTGCTGGGAGTTTTATTGATGATGCGCTTTGTGGCTGGCGTTGGTACATGACGTCAAGACTGTTGCGCAACGCGTCGTTGACAAAAGCCACGCTTTTGACGGCATGCCAAGCGCCCGCCCGTTATCCGAGGGTTTGGCGCAAACGGCTGCCTTCAAAAGTCCCTTAGTCGAAGTTTCCCGATCATCCAAACTATCTCGATCTGTTGGTTGTGTCTCTGATGTATTTCACGCTGAGCCGACGGGACCGGAGTATTTGCAATCGAGGATTCGCTGACCCAGCCCAATCTACTCTTCAGCCACCAAACCGAACTTCGACTCCTTTCACTGACTGTGACTCTGTAAGAAGTTGCACACATCAAAGTGCAGATCTTGCGATCGGGCACCAAGAAAAATTCAAAACACAGCGACCGGCAATTTGTTCATCAGCACTTTTACTCGTCACTGCACCGAAAGTGAGACTTGGCCCTTGAGCTTCCTGCCATGCCGTCCGAACTAGTGCTGCCACATGAATTTAGGCACTAGCACCAATCCTCGGCCGTGGCTCGTATCGGGAGGTTTTCAACTTTATCGCTTTCCCCGGAAATAACACACGTTGCGACGACCCTTCACAGCCAGTAACTCACATCACACAGTAACGATTGTAGCTCCGGCTGATGATAAGATCAAGGCGAATCAAAACTCAAAGCGACTGACAACAGTCAATTTCTTAATCCTGGGCTACGGGCAATCGGTAATCAATCACCGGCCTCAACCAGGCGTGCATCTGGCTGCCCTACTTGCATACTGCATGTACCTTCCAGGGCCTGAAATGTGAGCAATCCAAAACCACAGTCACATTTGACCATTTACCCATGTGGTTGGCTGGATAGAGAAATGCTGTCTTGGAGATTTCTCAATCATTTAGCCCTGGGTCTGGTGATGCAAACAAGTGGGTGTTTGACAGCCACGGCAGCGGTGGGCACGAGAATTAATAATATGTTGATTTCAAATCAACCTCGTGGAGTAAAAACTCCAAATTGGATTACTTGTCGTTGGAGTCAAAATAGTATGTGCCTGATGTTGAAGTATGTGCCTTATAGATGTATAAGCCTGACTGTGGAAGTATGAGCCTGAACTGAAGTTTACGATGTTGGGCCCCACATGCAGTTTCGGGTCACGGACTGTTGTTCCTCTACCCGTGGTCAATCGCATTTCTTTTAGAGCGCTCTTGACTGGTGTGACCTCTTGAGACCAGTGAAAAATAATCATAGAAATTGGTCTATGAGCCACTACGACTGGAATTGACAGTGACGAGGGCACATAGGCTTTCGTGCAATATTGCTTGCTATCTCTTTCTTTTTTCGTGTTCTTACAGTTGCCACCCAAGACTGATCATTCCAGTGCGTACCGATTCAAGCATGCATGGGTCATCAAGAGGTGATCACGGAACCTTTCAGAGTTTTAGATACTTTGATCACAAGGAGTGCTAAATCCTGTTAACGCCATGGTTTTGGTTTGAAGACGCTATTATCATTCAACGGAAAGTGCTAGTCGGTCGTAATCCCAACCCACTCTTTTCATATGCCATATCAATCATCTTCATCTGCTTGATCGAGTCTTCCCCAGTGACCCAGTAATGCGTCTCGCGCCCCTTGACCCGGTTGACAAACGCCTCGAGCTGATACCGGAATGACGACCACCAGTACTCGCCTAGACCCGGAAGCTCCTCATCGGCATCTTGATACGTGTACGCTGTGTGCGAACTAGATTCTACCCACTTCTTGACTGTTTGACCGTTGACGACGTTGCGAATCTCATACGAGTCTTCAACATCAATCCGATGCCAGGCGACCGCGTGCATGAACCCATGGAGAGTGACCAACCGCGTCCGCGTCTTCTCCTGGGTGTCCGACAAGCTTTTGTCGGGGACCACAACCTTCCTATGTGTGACTCTGGCTTCAGAAGGCTTCCAGAGGGCAGGGCCCTTCACAATGGTTGTGGCATAGCCAGTCCCGTTGGGAAATTGAAATCTGGCCTTGAAAGTGTAGTCGCACTGTTTGCAGTCGCCACCGTCAAAGACTGTAGTATCGCATTCGAGACACTCTTCAGGCTCTTGGCCAAAGATCATGCGCATGACTCCAAAGTTGTACGTTCCGAGTGCCATGATACTGCCGCCTCCAAGCTGGTATTTGTGGTTGAGGTTATCCGCCGCAGTAAACCAGGCGGGCGCCATGCTGTCTGTGTAAACGTGAATGACGTCGGCAGGAGTAACAAAAGTCATGAATTTGTGCAGTGCGGGATGGAACTTGTTGTGCATAGCTTCCAGCAAGACTCTCGGGCTTGGGTGCGTTGACGATAGTTCTGGCATGTTGAAAAGCATATCGGCCTCAGTCGTGTTATCAACCGACGGCTTTTCGACCAAAACATGTTTTCCAGCTCGTATGGCTCGTGTAGACCACTCATAATGCAAGGCGTTTGGCAAGGGCACAAAAACGGCATCGATGTTTGGGTCATCGAGAATTTCTTCAACAAAGGTTAGAGTCACTTGGCTCATAGAATATTGACATTGAATGTCTGGAACTCGATAAACCTTGATAAGTGTCCCTGACCTCGGGAATACCGTGCTTCTTAGCGAATTCCTCGGCGCGAGAACGATCTCTGGCAGCAATGGCCTGGATGATGACTTCTGGGTGTGACAAAGCCGGTGTAATCAATGCCATAGACCTTGCAGATTTCAGATTATCATCAACTGTTCTTTGACACCGGGCAGCCGCTTATACTCACACAATTTTAGCAGCTCCCAGAACTCCAACTTTTATGGCACCGTCTGTCTTCTTTACCAAAGGCGGGTTGAATGCCTTGTAAATACGGGTTGGAAGTAGTGCCATCTCAGCGACTCCGATGATAGGTTTTGGTCATGAGCCCGAAAGATGATGAGCGTGCGAATGAGGACATAGAGGCCGAGTTACTGAAATACTGTTGAAACACCTGATGTACTTCGGTACTTATGATAATTGAACCAATCTCTTTTATCTGCCTGGAATCCAGGAATCGCCTCCAACTTCCGGGCGAGGACGGATGTGTTTTTTAGCGCTGTCAGCAATGCACAGCCCCAAGGTCGCATCGCTGGAGCACTCCTACAGTCAGCAGCATTGGGAACGGTAAGCGATCGGCAAATTGTCCCATATCATTTCCCAAAGAAAACATGCTCAAAATGTGAAGGCTCCGCTCGATCTTCTCGAGTCTCGCTCCTGGCGTGGCTCTCACTGAAGCGGACGAGCGGTGCAGACGGAGGCAAGCTCCATGGTCCGGATTCGCTGAGGGGATGCCGGTGCCTTATATTTCCTGCGAAGCAATCTGCAAACCCCACATAAGATGTCGCTAAGGGGAGTCCTGCACGACCAGGGCGATTCCGCTTGCTCCCAGGATACTCTATACCCACCCTGGACAGGAAGCAATCTGAGACTTAACGATCTTTTCAGGAGGTGCGCATAAATTATACGAGAATGCGTTTATAAAAATATCTACATCCTACAATCTCGTTCCACGTTGTTTCCATATCCTGTCCAAAGCTAAATCTTACTCATCCTAGCTTAAGAAGGCACGAAGAGCTACACCATATTCACCTCGATAGGGCATCGTATACGGTAGAATCCTTGGGTATCATCTATCTACCAATACTGAGGCATAACAGCCTGTCGCTCCACTATGGGTGTCCTGTTCAGCCCGACCCTATGTAATCACTTCCGATAATACCATCATGTGGACGATCAACCTGCTTTGGCATCGTAACCCGGGCCGACCTGTGTTCACGCTGTCCTCCTACGCCTGACCTGAAAGGGTTGTTACAAGAGCGCGCCCGAAGATGAAGGTGAGAGAGGTTTTATGCGGCTTTCAAGGAAAGAATCTCCCACTTTCGTAAGAAAGCGCTCTTTGTATAATACCGGATCTATTGCAAATAATCCATGTTTTCTGACTAACACATAGAAACAGGTAATATCAATGACAAAGGATGCAAAAGATCCAGACCCAACATCTACTCGTAGTCAATTACAATAGCTTTAGGCATAGTAGTTAGAGAGAAGGAAGAGCCGGGCAATCCAACCACCTACAGATATATCAAAGGCGTGGCACTTCATGATCTCTACGGTAATAGTGACCTCAAGTCCAAGGTGTTCGCAGGTCAGGAGGTGAACGGGCCAGAAGTCAACCGGACATCCGAAGCATACCTCCCAGTTGGCTTAGAAATGTGAGTCGGCAAATTGATTTGATGGTTGCGAGCTACCCCTCATTTTCATGGCGATGGCACCCAAGGTCCAGTCCCATTGCAGATGGTCGAAACAAATCCAATGGGACGAACGAATCGGATAGGTTGGAGATGAACCTTCTTTCCCCAGGCTTTGCTGCCAGCCAGGTTAAGGTCCCTGCCGTGTCTTGGTAATCGGGCAACATAAAGACCGAGTTACCCCTCTTCTAGATATTGGTGATAGGATCGAGTGTTCTTCGTACATTATAGGTGCGACATCCTTCTACTGCATCTGATCCTATTCCTATACATCCAGAGTGCATTGAAGAGCTCTTCTGTACGACGACGACAATGGCACCGTCCGCGACTGAAAGGGCACAAGCCAAGTTCTTTGCCATCCTGGAAGATCCTCGACGTTATGACTCTTCAAGTTTGTCGCCCCAGCTTAGAAATGAAACAAACGTAGGATCAGAACTGACTTCGAGGCTGAAGACTCCAAGAACAGGGTGATGATAACGCGAACACCGTCCAGTGGTTCCGATTTGACCAACAGCATGACTGGCCGTCGTGGTAGCGCCAGCAGTCAAGCCTCTGCCACTGACCAACATCATCTTCGAAATAGACTCAAGACCTGGCTCTACCCCGGAGCGGTCTGATACAATTCGTCAAACCTTTCGATTTCCAAACGCGCTATAGTTATTGGAGACGCCAGACTGGATATTCGTCTCTGCGTGGTCTGGTGTTGGCGTTTTTATGCAACTTTTTCAAACCGTTTCCTAGGTCTTTCGGGGATACTGGGAGGATCGCAGATTGCCTGAAGTACAACTTGTTTCAAGGATGGTGTTATACTGTTTATGTCCTCTACTATCCTGGAATGTAACTATTTGTTTAGGATAAGAATTTATGAATGAGTTCTAGTCGAGAGACCTCTCATTGTTTATCTGTTCACGATTTACCAAGTCTTCGTTAGGCTTGGGGTACCTATGAAATGAAGACATGATGAATTGGATGCCATAACCATGATCGCTGACCCGAGACACAAAATATTTTCTAGACCCGTGACGGCTTACGAAATACTTCCTCAGATACATACAGCCGAGCAAAAGTTTGAGTAGTTCCCCGTGTCATGGATTATCCGTCTACATGCTACTCCACACAGCGTGTAATCAAGAACACAGTGAGCCGGCATGACGCAGGGAACATCGCGTTCAGAAAGTACCTAGCCCCATAGGCAAGCTCGGGAGAAAAATGAAAAATCATGTATTTCTCGCATGTAAGTGTTGAAGGAGGTGTTCAAAGTGCAAAGACCAATTAAGTCCGTCCAATTTCGTTCATCATCGCTAATAATCAGACGGTCTTCTCGGTCCCAGCCTCCCAAGCAACCTCGATAAAATGTTCTCTTTTGAGCATTCAAGATCTCTTATATGCCACAGAAGCAGGAACACAAGTCCGACGGCAACCATTTCTCGTTGTGAGTCCCGACTATGAGGCAGAAGCAGAACTCCCTCGCTGTGGTCAACCGGATGGTGGGGATGACCTCCAGTGTGGTGATAGACTGCCATAATATGAGGCTCCGTTTCTTCGCCGTGGTTGCTTTTGTCGCGTTCCGTCAGATGATAGCAGAGTGAGCCGAGATCTTGAGGTCTTAGCTGCCACTGCATTCCAGGGTGATTATCTGATGTCATGTTTAGGGCTGGGTATTGTCTAGATCTTGACAGAGAAGGCTGATTTCTTCCCATTGCAAAGGGTGGAAATAGGGATGCGAGAACTTGAAAGCTGCCTAGACCAGGTATTTCAAGTGCTGATTCTCCCTGCCGTTCACGGGGAAGAGTTCTAAAGGCACTTATCAGTACCTCAATTTCCAAGTTGTTTACGTGAGAAGGAGCGGTATATTCTGCCTTACATTGTGATGGCGTAATTATCATCAAGAACTACGCTTCTTTGATGGACTGTGACGAGAGTTTGATCAGGCGCAATGTCGATAAAGAATTCTACATTGGAATTCATCCCGTCGCCCTTAGGTCGGCGCATGAACATCATGTTGATTTTGTACATGCCAGATCCCATGGGAGCGCCTTTAACAGTCTCATTATAAATATTGTTGATATCGTAAATTGGGAGGTGCGTCACTCTGCTGGTATGTCTTGGGAAGAAGAGAATCCGAGAGAGCCCTGCCGGTGAAAGACGAACTCTGTTCTCTCTAGTTTGGGCGAGGCTCTGGGATGCAAGCGGTTCGGAATTGTAAGGAAGAGGCTTGTACAGACTGTCGACACTGCCATTACTCTCCATGTGGGCCGGTCTATGCCAACAATAGGGGTCGGTTGGTTGACACATTTCAAAATCGAACAACGGAGGTGAACGCGACTGAATTCGGGAAACGTTAAAGTAGATGTGGGCTTTCCAAATGAGTTCACAAGGACACTGGACAGCTGGGTTTAGAGGATTAGGGACATATTTATTAGGACTTCGCTGAAAACCTCCTCTACCTCACGCGATTTGCGTATTGCAACTTGCTTGAGCCTATGCCGTTGCAGACTTAGCCTTTCCTCTTAACTTTGAGTATTACCAGCATAGCATCCTCCAGCTGCGAATATGGAGCCTCCGAATACGTGAACAAATCCGGAAAACAATTCCCAGACGAGTCTAAGTCGCAAAATGGATATTAAGTCAGGCGATGGGGCCCTAGCTTCAAGTCGTTTTCAAATTTTCTGCGGCATTCGCATTATCAAGATTCACGTGCCTCGAGAAGTTCGAGGATTATCAACCCGCTAGCTGGCTGTCTAACCTAAAAGGGTACATGCTTCAACCGCTCCACTTAAGCGCTATCTAGACCCTGAACTGGGGTCATCTTAGATGCAGTCCAACTCGAGACGCATTTGCTAGACTTATTTTCATTGCATTAGTTCGGACGGAATCCCGCCTTGAACCTTGACTTTTGATGATGTAATCCATAGGACGACGTCGTTGCGGCTGGGACCCGACTCTGGGATTTGAAACCCTGTATGCAGCCGTGCTAATTTGTACGTGAAGGTAGCCAGCTATCATTTATCGAATCCTGACTCAAACACATGGTCAGGAAGTAGGTACTTTTGTAGGGTAGTGCGACGAAAAGAACTCTGCATTGGTATTTGCTCCAGACAAGATGCCGCTCCGATCAGCGATAAGTCACGTTCATTCTATTGGGATCGTGTGCGGCACGCATCAACTGGTGTATCGGTCACAAATCTACAATTGCACAGGAATCCCTTTCTCCGAGCGATCCTCCGGCAGTGTCCCAGCCGGTATCTGTTCCGAGGCGGCACGGCGTTTACACACCTTCACAGGAGGATGCGAATTCATCAGATCTCGCTGCCTATCGTGCATACAAGCATGGCAGATCTTACCCACCCATTTCTACACAAGACAAGCACATCCTTTATCTCAGTCACTTCAAAGTACCTCACCCATGCGGAGGTCATGTCCGTATTGATACAGCACGTCTGGAGGACTTAAATTTCCCTAAGGATGGTGGCATCACACAGGGAGTACAATTCGGGCTCCAACGTAACAAGCAACCTTGTAACGATGATCGTCTTTCGCATGGTAACAAATCGGCTTATTGCCATGGCACATCCGGCATTCGTTTAGTCTACTGACTCCACTGCACCTTGAACTGGGCAAACTCGACTTTCAGTCCATCCTTGGCGTCCTTATCCGGTCTCGCGGCTAGCGGACTGACGTCCAAGACCCAGTCATCATCATTCTCGTCCGCAAAGATCCAACAAATTTTCCTCAGCGGTATTCTTTTTTTGATGTTTCCGTCTTCATCCAGTAGCAGTTGGTGTACCCAAGCATTTTTGCCATGGGGACCTCCGTCCCGAAAGACCTCAATCGTCACGCTCTTATCGTCCTCGTCATCGCCTGGGGTCAAGGGATAGAGGCCCCAGTCGGCATACCGGTCACAGGTGACTGTGCTCAAATGAGGCTGGCCATCGTATAGCTCGATCCCGGTCTTGATCCATTTACTGTTTGGAGGCGCTGCCTCTGAGGCTAGTCTCGGCACAAGAAGCACACCAGATTGGTCGTATGAGTGGGCCCAGGGAGCCGAGAAAGTGACGCGAACTGAAAGGAAGTTCTTCAGAGGGCCAGTGCTGGTATGGATATTTGGGACTATGAATCGTCAGCGCATGTCGCAAGTGTCACAATATCAACGATAGCTAATGGAGAGGTCCGGATTGAATCTAGGTCGCAGGCCGAGACCCAAGAGATGAAGAGGTTGAGGTGGCCTGTATGTTACATGTACTTACTGTTCCATGCGTTGTGTCCGGGCTTTCTCCAGATATCAGTCCCAGGATCCGCCTCAACAGTGAACGGCGCTGTATTGTCCAGAGATGCCATATTCGGTAAAAGGATCAGGCAAGTAATCTGTGTGGTTTGGGTGAATGTGAGTACAGGTGTGCATGGGGGTGAGAGAGCTGACCGTTATTTATTTGTTAAATGCCCTGCGTTGCATCGGTTTCTTATTAAGCATAAGCCCCTTGCACCATTTCCCAATGGCTCAAGGGTGGCCTAAATTAGCCCCGCGCGGGGCGTGAGCTGATCGCTTTCTCGGTCAGCCCTACTGACCCCAGTCCAAGCTAAGGGGGTTAACTCCTTCAGCAGACACTAGCTAGGCTCAATGAGGCCGATTGAGGGTTGATCTGTGGCATCCTGGTCGTGGACTATTTGGCCTAAAGAGCTCATACAAAGTTTTGTTCTATCTAAGGTAATGTATCTATGTGGTTTTGTGCGTGGTGACCGTATCCGCTTCAATGTGAGTTGGCTTGACGGACTGTCTTGACATGAAATGCAAGAGAAACTATAGAAAGGAAACGGAAATACAAAACTTGTGAGAGACCGGTACAACCACAAAACGTAACTCTTGATCGCCCATTATGCTCAAATCTGCCCTTTTGCTCTCACTTCGTCAAAAACACTGTCCACGACTCGCTTGGCACGATAAACAATCTCCTCCACATCCGTGGGAGTGACAGTGAAGGGCGGGGCAAGAAGGAAGTGATCTCCGTTCCAACCATCGGCGCAGCCCGTGGAGGAAAAGAGGCAAACATCGTAGCCCTTCTCAAGTCCACGAAGACGCATACGGCGAGCAAGGTTCAAGGAAGGGTCCAGAGGTGCCTTTGTAGTCTTGTCTGCCACGAACTCAATGCACCAAAACATGCCGCGGCCGCGAACATCGTCAACGTGGGGGTGGTCTTTGAATGCCTGACGAAGGAGGTGGCCAAAGAGGATGCCCATGAGACGCGCGTTGCGAACAAGGTGCTTCTCCTTGATGATGCGCTGCACCTCGACGGCAGCGACAACGTTGAGCGGGTGGCATTGATACGTTTGTCCGTGCTGGAAGGAGGCGCTGCCCTGCTTGAGGCCCTCGATGACGCGTTCGTGAATCAGGATGGCAGAGATTGTGCCATATCCAGCTGCGAGGCCCTTGCCCACGGCCTGAATGTCAGGAACGACATTGTCATGTTGCCAGGCGTGCATGTAGCCGGTGCGCCCGAGACCACACATGACCTCGTCGAAGATGATGAGAGCACCATGACGATGGCAGACATCTTTCATGGCCTGCAGATATCCGGGCAAAGCTGTAACGCATCCGAGAGCCTGGGAAAGTCAGCAAGAGAACTAGGAAGAAGCGGACCAGGCTGAGTATAGCTTACAGTGCCAACCATCGGTTCGATAATGAAGGCGCACACATTGCTGGGGCCTAATCTCTGGAACTCGCCCTCCAGCTCAAGAGCCAGTCGCTCTACATACTCCTCAACCGATTCACCGCTTTGTAGCTCTCTATATGGATGGCAAGGAGACACATGGGAAACATTGTCAGCCAGGACATCCATGAAAGGCTCTTTACGGGCCTTCAAGTCGCCAACGGCCAAAGTGCCCAGAGTACAGCCGTGCCAGGAGCTCTCTCTGGCGATGAATTTGGTACGAGGAGCTTTGGGATCTTTCTCAAGGAAGTATTGCCGAGCAAGCTTCATAGCTCCCTCGACGGCCTCGGAGCCTGCGAAAAGTATCAGTTTCCAGTCTTATGAACTCTGTCAAAGTCTCGTTCTTACCAGATCCTAGGAGGCACGCTCTCGACAACTGACCATTGGTCGACTTAACCAGAATATCGGCAAGCTCATGAGAAGGATCATTCTGAAAGTAGCCTGGGTGAGCATAAGTGAACTTGTTGAGCTGCTTGATGATGGCGCTCTTGACTCGCTCGTTTCCATGACCGATGGCAGAAACTGCTGCTCCACCAGTGGAGTCGAGAATCTTTTGGCCATTCTTCAGGGTGAAGTAGATTCCATCGGCAGATTCAACTGTTGGAGCTGAGGAAGGGTAAACGCTCTGATAAAAGAGTGAGTTCTCTGCGGGAATAAGATCATCGGCGACTGCGAGGGAACCCATGATAAGCTTTGGGTGAGTGGTATTGAATCAAGGTAAAATTGATAAGGGTGTAGATTAAAGATCGTGATGTCTGTGTCGGTGGGAGAAAGAGAAAACCTGCTTCAAAGATGCGATCTCTTGTGAACTAAATAGTCTGAGATGAGTATCTGAGAAGATGTGCTCATAGTCACCCCGGACTCCGTCGGTATGTAGATATGCCAACCAATCTCTCGACCGCCGAGTCCGCTCCGAGCTGCATGCTCTTGAAATGACGCAAGCAGGGGATGTTCCATCTTCCATGAAACTTCGTACTGCATTTTAGGCAGCTGCCTACATCCAACCATGTTCCACTAATTAACCATCTAGAGACAAAGATGGTACTTTGATGGTGGCGTTCTGATTGTCGAAGAAATTCTCTTCGTTTGACAATCACTAAAATATGAAGTCGATTTGTCATTTCATGGATGCCTCGTCTCCAACTCTCATGTCTGGGCTAGGCTGTCACCGCTGTTGACTAAGGTAGTTGCTTATGGCCTATACGAACCTGTGTAACAATCAAAACTCTCATATTCTGGGCAGATATCTCCAATCCCACTGGTAGGGCTTAGCAAACTTACGTGGAAACAATATCTGACCTTAAACGCCGGTGTGAGATGACCAAGTAATAAGTCAGTACGTATACCTAATTCTCCACTATTGATGCAAGTGCAAATGAGGAGAAAACTGATATTCTCTGATGAAATTCGTCACTAATTACCCTGAAATCTCTCAACCTTGGAAGCTTTGCAAAACCAATGAGAAAGCGGCGAATTTCCGTAAGCCATCCTACAGTCCCATTTGGGAAGGCGGGGCAGCCATAGCGCTGACGCATTGGACACACACCCATTGCTCATCTCACAGGTAGAAAGCCCTCTTCGGAGACTTTCGAATTCAAGATCAACTGAAGGGCTTGAAACCACAGTTGAAGTAGGCATTGCGTCTTGCTCGAGTAGTGCTGAGGCATAATAGACCCTGGAGGTGGGTAACACACGCGGTGGCGACGTCAGTATCAACTGGCAAGGCAGTAACACAGTGGATCAAATGTCTAGGGTTTGATAGCCGCATGTACCTCCCAAGACCAAAACCAATGCACACCGAAAAGCATGGCAGTAATTGTAGCAGGGCTACGATAGCCGCCTAGTATACGGCTCACCTAGTTTCGTAATGGCATTCCACCACGGTCAGTAAGAAGCCACTAATGACGTGAGTTTCGGGCACATCCAAGTGCCCGATGGTCCCGGGTTCCCCGGTGTGAACCTTGCATCCCACCCCCACGGGGATGGGTCTCCGGCGTTAAGGGTGGTCCTTGATGACAGTCAGACAAACACAACTCTTACTGAACTGGGAACTGGAACTCCCATTTAGGGTCCACACTTATACGCACTGTACCTGGAAATACTAGTAGACATGCAGGCCAGATGCAACGTGAAGATCGAAGTCATTGAGGATCCATGTTTGTGCAAGGAGCGGTGCAATGTCTAAGCGCGCTGTAGAAAGATACATGTAGGTTCTTGGAGGCTCTGCATCTGTGTTTCCTCCAGGAATACTACACAGCCATCCGGATACAACCCTCCTTCGGGTAAGGTAATGAGCACACGCAAGGTTACCGTGGATCTCATAGATCCTTCCTTTACAAAAGATCCTGCTCAAGTATCATATCTGCCTCGAAAGCTTATCACGTTCGTTACCTTGTAACTGGGACTGGTTTTCTCTTACCTGTTTAGGCAAATATCTTGACCTTGTTCCTCATATGAGCAACCCCACAAGAACCCCTGTTGTATGCCTTTCCTGCTAGACCATTCGAGGTCATTTCGAGCGAGTCTTTCTCCGTGGAGCACGCCTCTCGAACTTAGGCGTGTTACGCGGTCACTATTTCCTTTTGTCCATCATATCTACGCTGACATAGCTTTGTCACCGCCATCCAAATTGAATGGTAGCACAACCAAGAAGGTTCTTCATCGATGTTGTTGCTGTCTGACCACACCTCCCACGTCTTGTTCTTCATTCACTCTCACTCAATTTCGTTTGCAAAAGTCACCATATACTTGTTCAGAAATCTCTCCGTTTTTGTTTTCTCAAAAGTCTTTACAAAGAGAACTCTATAGCGCCATGGCAAGCATCATTGCGACCGCAGCTGCACCAGTCAGTGCACCGGCTGAGATCCAGCCTGCGTCAAACTTTTCTCAGCACGATGAAGAAAAGGCTAGTCGGGCTGCTACAAATGGGGAGCATGGAACGAGTAATGACAGCCCGTCTACCATTTCTGACAACGTTCACGCTGTGCAACGATGGAACTCACCCCCGATTAACAAGTATCGAACCGCTGCAACGTTCTGGTCATTTGTTGTGGTAGGAATGAACGATGGCTCTTATGGTGTAAGTCCAAGACTTTCATCTTGAATCCCTAAACTCTATGAAGATCAAATTACTCACAAGTCAGGCTTTGGTCCCTCTGGTAATTACAAATAATCTACCCTTCACCCAGTAAAGCAAACCTCGCTCACAACGGCTTTAGCTGGAAACTTACTATAATCTGAACCATACCGTGGTTTCCCTGATCTTTCTTTCTCCCTTTGTAGGATATGCCATTGCATCTGCAGTGAATAATCTCATGCATGTTCACTTTGGCCAAAGAGGTGTAGCATGTATTGCTCCCTTATGCCATTTGATTCCGTATCTAACTTTCTCGTTTCACCCACCCTATCCTGTCCTCGTAAGTCAATGGACCTCTGCAACTACCAATTGACCAGCTAATGATTGGACTTTACATGTAGGTTGCCCTGTTTGTCCTCGTAGGCATGGGCAATGGATTAGCAGACGCTGCTTGGTGTTCCTTCATAGGGCAAATGGCGAACTCGCATGAAATGTCCGGCATTTTGCAGGCCTGCTACGCTCTTGGGGCAACCATAGCCCCCCTAATAGCTACTGCCCTCTCGGCTGAGGGTCAACCAGGCTGGTTTGCGTTCTACTACGTCATGACTGCGGCCTCGGTGGTTGAGTTCGTTACTCTGACTGCTACATTCTGGACTCAGACAGGCGCTGTGTACTTATACGAGAACCCCACCGAGTCTGGAGGCAAATCAGGCCGGACCCGCCAAGCTTTGAAGAATAAACTGTCGTGGATCTTCGCAATTTTTGTCTTCGGGTACTGCGGTGCTGAGGGTAAGTTCTCTGATCCTGTTTTCTCTGAGTCATTCATTGATATCCCGTGGTTGTCAACATTAAACATAGCTGACCAAAACTTCTGGACATTGTAGTTGCACTCGGCGGATGGATAGTTGTCTTCATGACTCGCATCCGCGGCGCCACCTCGGTCACTGGCGGAGCAGTAGCAACCGGCTTCTGGGGCGGCATGACGGCTGGCCGTCTCTTTCTGTCTTTGGTAACGATTCGCCTTGGAGAATTCTGGGCCATGTTTCTTTATCTCGGTGTGACTATCGTGCTAGAACTCATCTTCTGGCTGGTGCCCAACCTAGTCGTGAGCGCAGTGGCAGCAGCACTAATTGGCGTGGCTATGGGTAAGTCAACCCACAATAGTTCCAGGGCCATGTACAAGACAGGAAGACGGCGGACTAACTGTAAAATGATAGGCCCAATGTATCCGGTGGCAGTGGTTCTCATCACCAAAGTAATGCCTCGCTCGCTTCATGTCGGTACCATTGGGTTCGCCGCCGCTTTTGGTGGATCAGGAGGAGCTATCTTGCCATTTGCTGTTGGCGCTATTGCACAGGCAAAAGGTGTGCAAACTCTTCAGCCAATTGTGCTTGCCATTTGTGTCGTTCTCGGCCTTTTGTGGGTATTACTTCCTCGACAGCCAAGACAGAACAAGGAAACAAGCGGAGAAGAGAGTTCGGGCCCTGCGTGCGACAACTAGGAGGAGCCGGTATCCGCAGATAGACGCACAACCTTATTTGGGACTTCACACATACATGTAGCCTTATTCACCTTAGGGTATCAATTTCAGATGAGGAAGGTGTACAATTAGACAGACTTTAGCGCTTCTTGAATATGAAGGGCAGATAAGAAATGGACCAAGATGGACATGTAGTCACTCATCCACTTTATCACCCATAATCTAGGTGACAGTGCAAACTCGTAGTAATTCTCCTCAAGGTAGCGTTTTCTTGTATGTTGGGATTAGATTTCCTTCTTTAGTTGATGCTACCATAATCGCCTTGATCATTCATCCACTTGTCTTCGTGTTTGCTTCACGACATCACGGCAAATTAGTCGCTCAAAATCGGCTTTCTTATTGACCCGTGGGTAGCTTGATGTTCCTGTAGCAACAACGTCTTTGTGATACGTCACAAATCAAACATGGATGAAGAATTAAAGTTGTGGAACGCCACGCTTGGAGTTCAATTTGATCCCGGTATTAGAATGGTTGATTTATGACACGCTGACAGATTCCCTTACAGCCGTTTATCTATCTCCGGGAACGTCTTGTGCTTTTATCTCGATGGAGTTGGTTGGGTATTCCTCATATCAACTCACTCTCTATACGATGCAGCAGATTGGGAAGCTCTGCCCAGTTGCTCATAATCAACTTGCATCCAGCCTTCTCCAGCACCCCTCTCAGTGCCTCCGCTTCGTCAACATTCTCGCAAGCACCGGTGTACCCAATCGTAATGATACCTGCCCGATTTGCAGAAGTCGCACCAGACCGACTGTCCTCAACCGCAATGCACTCGCCGGAAACCTTCCCCATAACCTTGAGAGCGTGGATGTACACGGCCGGGTCAGGCTTGGACGCAGGGACAGGCAGCGAGTCAGCAGCGCTAAAGACGTCATCGGAATGGAAGAATTTGGCCTGTTCAGTCTTCTCCAGCGACGCACGCACGCGACGCAGTGCAGATGAAGACACGACGGCAAGTCGATGATTACCAGCAGCTGTCAGTCGCTCCAGCTCAGCATTGGCTCCCTCACATGGCTTAAGTTTCTCCAAAAGCTTGGAGATGACACGGTCGTCTTCCATGAGGGCGTAATGCAGCAACTCAGAATCGGAGAGCTTGACCGAGATTCCGTATTTGACTTCCAGCGAGCGCATCTACAAATTTCGTTACTCAAACTCCAAATTCAGGGAAACAAATTTGATTTACCATGGCTGGAAAGCTCTGCCCTACAAATTCATGCTGCAGCTGACGGCCTGTGAAATTCAGACCGATATTGCGAGCAGCTAGAATCTCGTTGGTGAGATCAGCGCATGCCTCAAATGCTAACGTCTCGGACTGGACGAGGGTGTTGTCGCAGTCGAGGAGCAGAGTGGTGATCTTCTAATGACACATGTGAGTACAGCTGGCGACCAAATTAACGACAACAAGACCTTACATGTAGGTTTGTGCTGTGAGATCCCATTTTGTGCAAGATTTAGGTGATGTCGTTCTGTTACTTCGCTTCACCTTGTGACTTTGAAGAAGATTGGGAATGAGAAATCCCGGCAAGTTTTCTGTTGTCTGAAACTTCTTTGTAAATATCGGCTTCGTGACACACTCCATGTAGCGAAACTGATCTTTCCTTAACGAGGCGTATTTTTCTAGGCCCCAACCAGACGGTTTCGGTGAATTCCAGTCAACTGCAGACGCCTAATATGACAGGGTCAAAGTGCTGACATTACCAAGGCTTTCAGTAAACGAACCTCATGTTCCGATTTGGCCCCCGTTGCGATGAAGCCGAGAGAGAAGCGAGGCTGGCCCACTTGTCTCCGTCATCACCAATCCGTCACATCTCGGGCTGACACGGACTTTAGCGCATCACGACATCTTTGCCACATTTACAAATCACCTTGGATATTTACAGCTTCCTTTTTCGACGTTCTTAATCATCCCAAGACTGTGAGAGAAGTACCTCATAGTGACTTGAGATCTACATCTCACTGAGGTGGAGAAGACAATAAGATTATAGGCTCGCCCTGCCCTAGTACCTTACGCAAGCTTGATTATGCTTAGTAGTCCCTCTATGTAGCTTATGATAAGTGATAGAGTTCGAACCGAGATCGGGTTTCCAAGTCCCAAAGCTGACTAGGATCCGTCATGCTCTGTCCAATCGGGGTTGTGCCCAATATGAATGTGGAAGTGAAGACTCTGAATAGATGAGGTTCTGTGCGTGCCCTGTTGCGCGTAAACAGCGTAGGATCACGAACCTAGCGTCCATAAGGCGATGAATCAGAAGCGGTCTAAGATGCATATGCTGCGGGGTGTTCGTGGGGTGGGTTCCAATCGGGTGAATTTCCTCAAGACTTCTGCCTCACGCAGCTGGCTGCCCTCTTAGCCACAGGATGTCATCCTTGCCAAGATCCTCCAGCCCGCCTTGCTGCGTCGCCCAGAAGCTTGATGTTTAATTGGTTCCAGGTGCTGACATTCGACGGGCTGGCTGAAAAGTGAGATTTCTTGCGGCACAAATGGACTTTGGTCGAGGCTTTGGAAGCACGAAGCCATGGCACAACACGATTATTGTCATCATTCTCCGCAATCGGTAAACTTCGGAACATCAGGGGACTCGAAATGCAGATTCAGATTCGTGCTACCCACTCTGGTAGTTTGCATGGAGAGGCTAACCGAGCTAGGTCAGATTAGTCACTGAAGGTACTTTCAACTTATCAGACAAGGCAGGGGAGATGGCATCCAACGGGAAGAATCTTGTGCCCGGTGTCCCCGAAACTCGGGCTGAAGTACTCAGCACATCTTTGCTGCGCCTCTCAGGTAGATGGGGCGATCAGCGATGGCCTTGAAGGAGGTTGGGACCATGATGAACTTTGGTCGCTTGTTGGACCAATATTCTTCTCCCTCAGGAGCCCTATCTCCACTGGCAGATGGTAAGAATGTCGGCATTAAGTCGCCCTCAACGACATGGCAAGCACACTATGCAAATAGTGGAGTGGGTAAGGTACGATGGTATTGCTTACTGAAGATCACGAGTTCTTCAGTGGTACTTGTCGGATCTCGAAGACAGTGTTCGATGCACGGAGGAGGCTCTCTGTTCTTCTCATACTGTGATACATGCTTCTGAGCAATTTTCCATCGCATATTGTGCCCGAATGGATGCCTGAAGTTTCCCTGCTTGACCACAGCTCAAAGCAGCATCTGTAAACTTGGATGACTCCTGAATCAGCGTGGATTCCAATCCCTCGTTTGCTTCCGAAATGAGGTAGGGGGGTCGGAAGATAACGGCGCGTGAAAAGGGAGGAAATGGAGATTTAGTCAAGACTCCAGGTAAGAATCCAACCTTGCGTGCTGAAAGATGAAATCTCTATAAGATGTCACCATCTCAAGGCTTATATTTGCCAACTGAAATTTACAAGCTCACAAGACCTCTCTTCGCATTGATCTCCCATCTGCCAATATCTTCAGAATGCGGTGTCTTCATCTTTTGGTGGTTCTCGGGTCTGTTGCTCAGCTGTCTGTGGCCGCAAAGCCAGCCCATAACAACGGGTCTGCTCTTAGCCTTGAATATGACTTCATTATTGTCGGCGGTATGTAAGATCTTCCCGAATCATTCATCAATTTCGAGACTGAATCTGAGATAAAGGCGGAACAACTGGGCTCGTTCTCGCGGATCGTCTGAGCGAGTCCGGCGATCAACGAGTACTGGTCCTGGAAGCTGGGCCTGACCCTCATGTTGTTGCTATGCATGAGGCACCCGGTGCTGTTGAATACATCGCGGGTAAGTGCTGTGTTTATTGACATCTCTATCTAAGACTAGTGTGCTCATAACCTATCAAGGCACCGCAATCGATTGGAACTTTTACACTGAACCACAGGAGTACCTCGGTGGTCGAAAACTTGCCTACCACCGTAAGTTTGGGGACCATTCGTGATACTATACTATCAGCTCCTAACCCCTCAGGTGGACGTGGCCTTGGTGGCAGCAGCATTCTCAATGGCTTGTACTATGGCCGCGGTTCGGCCAATGTCTATGATCACTGGGTTCAACTTGGAAACCCTGGTTGGAGTTGGGAGGAAGTGTTCCCCAAGTTCATAAAGGTCTGTTCAAATCAGACCATAGGCTCAAATGATTTCTTTGACCTGACTTGGCTCGCAGGCTACTCACTTCAACCCGCCCAACAATGAAACTGGGTACAATCAACGTTACCAAACCTGGGACCCCGCAGCCTACTCAGATGGCCCGTTAGAGATTGGGTTTCAAGGGTTCGTTCCACCTTCAAGTGTTGCTTTCATTGAGGCGTGCGAAGCCGTCAACATTCCCATTGTTGCGGACTTGAACACCGGCAAGAATGTGGGCGTCAAGCAAGGCTCTGCTACCATCAACTCCAAGTACAGACGTAGCTCAGCTTATGACTACTACAAGGCCATTGCCAACCGCCCAAACTTACTAATCCTTCATGACTCACCCGTTCAGTCCATAACCTTTGCAAGGAATGCCACTGGAACTCCGGTGGCAAGCGGCGTTGTTTTCATCGACCACTCTCTTGGACGCCACCGTGTCATTTCAGCCTCTAAAGAAGTTATCGTAACTTTGGGCACCTTCCAGTCTCCCCAGATGTTGATGGTTTCGGTAAGATAACGTGGCTAGTGATGCTCTCCTGGTCGCGCTGTTGGCTAATCTTGATAAAGGGAATTGGTCCGAAAGCCACACTGGAGGCCTTTGATATAGAACCAGTGGCAATCAACGAAAACGTTGGCCAGCAGTAGGATCCAAACAAGTTCCCCGATCAGGGTCATATTATCTGACACCTCGCAGCATGATGGATCACAATGTTTACAGCATCTCGGCCACCGTAGTTCCTGAAGCCTCCACCCACTACCTCATGTTCAACACTACTAACGTTCAAGCCTCGCAAGATGAGTACTACTCAACTGGTAAGGGTGTATACACGGCCCCTGGAGGCATTACGAACGGCTTCCAGGAGTTGTCCAG